ATGGTGTTGTGTATAGCGCAGTATATAGTGTAGTGTAATAACTACATAGGGTGTAGTGTATAGTGTAGTGTATAGTGTAGTGTAATAACTACATAGGGTGTAGTGTATAGTGTAGTGTAATAACTACATAGGGTGTAGTGTATAGTGTAGTGTATAGTGTAGTGTAATAACTACATAGGGTGTAGTGTATAGTGTAGTGTAATAACTACATAGGGTATAGTGTATAGTGTAGTGTAATAACTACATAAGGTGTAGTGTATAGTGTAGTGTAATAACTACATAGGGTGTAGTGTATAGTGTAGTGTAATAACTACATAGGGTGTAGTGTATAATGTAGTGTATAGTGTAGTGTAATAACTACATAGGGTGCAGTGTATAGTGTAGTGTAATAACTACATAGGGTGTTGTGTATAGTGCAGTATATAGTGTAGTGTAATAACTACATAGGGTGTAGTGTATAGTGTAGTGTAATAACTACATAAGGTGTAGTGTATAGTGTAGTGTAATAACTACATAGGGTGTAGTGTATAGTGTAGTGTAATAACTACATAGGGTGTAGTGTATAATGTAGTGTATAGTGTAGTGTAATAACTACATAGTGTGTAGTGTATAGTGTAGTGTAATAACTACATAGGGTGTTGTGTAATAACTACATAGGGTGTAGTGTATAGTGTAGTGTAATAACTACATAGGGTGTAGTGTATAGTGTAGTGTATAGTGTAGTGTAATAACTACATATGGTGTAGTGTATAGTGTAGTGTAATAACTACATAGGGTGTAGTGTATAGTGTAGTGTAATAACTACATAGCGTGTAGTGTATAGTGTAGTGTATAGTGTAGTGTAATAACTACATATGGTGTAGTGTATAGTGTAGTGTAATAACTACATCGGGTGTCATGTATAGTGTAGTGTAATAATTACATAAGGTGTAGTGTATAGTGTAGTGTAATAACTACATAGGGTGTAGTGTGTAATGTAGTATATAGTGTAGTGTAATAACTACATAGGGTGTCGTGTATAGTGCAGTGTATTAACTACATAGGGTTTAGTGTATTGTGCAGTGTATTAACTACATAGGGTGTAGTGTATAGTGCAGTGTAATAACTACATAGAGCGTAGTGTATAGTGTAGTGTAACAACTACATAGGGTGTAGTGTATAGTGTAGTGTAATAACTACATAGGGTGTAGTGTATAGTGTAGTGTAATAACTACATAGAGTGTAGTGTAGAATGTAGTGTAATAACTACATAGGGTGTAGTGTATAGTGTAATGTATAGTGTAGTGTAATAACTACATAGGGTGTAGTGTATAGTGTAGTGTAATAACTACATAGGGTTTGATGAAGCGAAGTCAGCTGTAACTTAACGCGCCCGTGTCCTCGATGATTTATCTCCTACAAAGACTCTGGCCACGTCTCGCACGCCCCTTACGAGTTCTGAGCACCAAAGGGGTTTAAGGCTGCAGTAAGGGTTAAAAACCACGTCGCTAGACGTGGGAGTTGCCTACTTATTTGTGCGTGTTAGAGGCTACACGGGGCACCTTTGTCTGTGTCTCATAGCTGCTGATCACCAATAGCACTTGCCCCAACAGCCTGTTAGAGGCTACACGGGGCACCTTTGTCTGTGTCTCATAGCTGCTGCTCACCAACAGCACTTGCCCCAACAGCCCGTTAGAGGCTACACGGGGCACCTTTGGCTGTGTCTCATAGCTGCTGCTCATCACTCCCCAACAGCACTTGCCCCAACAGCCTGTTAGAGGCTACACGGGGCACCTTTGTCTGTGTCTCATAGCTGCTACTCACCACTCCCCAACAGCACTTGCCCCAACAGCCTGTTAGAGGCTACACGGGGCACCTTTGGCTGTGTCTCATAGCTGCTGATCACCAACAGCACTTGCCCCAACAGCCTGTTAGAGGCTACACGGGGCACCTTTGTCTGTGTCTCATAGCTGCTACTCACCACTCCCCAACAGCACTTGCCCCAACAGCCTGTTAGAGGCTACACGGGGCACCTTTGGCTGTGTCTCATAGCTGCTGATCACCAACAGCACTTGCCCCAACAGCCTGTTAGAGGCTACACGGGACACCTTTGTCTGTGTCTCATAGCTGCTACTCACCACTCCCCAACAGCACTTGCCCCAACAGCCTGTTAGAGGCTACACGGGGCACCTTTGTCTGTGTCTCATAGCTGCTGATCACCAATAGCACTTGCCCCAACAGCCTGTTAGAGGCTACACGGGGCACCTTTGTCTGTGTCTCATAGCTGCTACTCACCACTCCCCAACAGCACTTGCCCCTACAGCCTGTTAGAGGCTACACGGGGCACCTTTGTCTGTGTCTCATAGCTGCTGCTCACCAACAGCACTTGCCCCAACAGCCTGTTAGAGGCTACACGGGGCACCTTTGTCTGTGTCTTATAGCTGCTGCTCACTAACAGCACTTGCCCCAACAGCCTGTTAGAGGCTACACGGGGCACCTTTGTCTGTGTCTCATAGCTGCTGATCACCAACAGCACTTGCCCCAACAGCCCGTTGGAGGCTACACGGGACACCTTTGTCTGTGTCTCATAGCTGCTACTCACCACTCCCCAACAGCACTTGCCCCTACAGCCTGTTAGAGGCTACACGGGGCACCTTTGTCTGTGTCTCATAGCTGCTGCTCACCAACAGCACTTGCCCCCACAGCCTGTTAGAGGCTACACGGGACACCTTTGTCTGTGTCTCATAGCTGCTGCTCACCAACAGCACTTGCCCCCACAGCCCGTTAGAGGCTACACGGGGCACCTTTGTCTGTGTCTCATAGCTGCTACTCACCACTCCCCAACAGCACTTGCCCCTACTGTCTGTTAGAGGCTACACGGGACACCTTTGTCTGTGTCTCATAGCTGCTACTCACCACTCCCCAACAGCACTTGCCCCTACAGCCTGTTAGAGGCTACACGGGGCACCTTTGTCTGTGTCTCATAGCTGCTGCTCACCTACAGCACTTGCCCCCACAGCCTGTTAGAGGCTACACGGGGCACCTTTGTATTGGGTGTCGGCACGGCGTGAGTAGGAGGTGACCAGGACCCCCCCCCCCCATGCCCCCACTAGCCGCGTTATTAACAGCGAGGAGTGGTGACAGCTCATTCGCACCCCCCCCCCCCCCCACGGATCTCCGCTTCAAATTAAAGGCCCTCCCTCCGTGGTTGTGTGTGTTTGTGTGTGTCTCTGTGGTTGTGTGTGTGTGTTTGTGTGTCTCTGTGGTTGTGTGTGTGTGTTTGTGTGTCTCTGTGGTTGTGTGTGTGTTTGTGTGTGTGGTTGTGTGGTTGTGTGTCTCTGTGGTTGTGTGTGTTTGTGTGTCTCTGTGGTTGTGTGTGTTTGTGTGTCTCTGTGGTTGTGTGTGTTTGTGTGTCTCTGTGGTTGTGTGTGTGGTTGTGTGTCTCTGTGGTTGTGTGTGTTTGTGTGTCTCTGTGGTTGTGTGTGTTTGTGTGTCTCTGTGGTTGTGTGTGTTTGTGTGTGTGGTTGTGTGTGTGGTTGTGTGTCTCTGTGGTTGTGTGTGTGGTTGTGTGTGTCTCTGTGGTTGTGTGTTTGTGTGTCTCTGTGGTTGTGTGCGTTTGTGTGTCTCTGTGGTTGTGTGTGTGGTTGTGTGTGTGTCTCTGTGGTTGTGTGTGTGTTTGTGTGTGTCTCTGTGGTTGTGTGTGTGTGTCTCTGTGGTTGTGTGTGTTTGTGTGTCTCTGTGGTTGTGTGTGTTTGTGTGTCTCTGTGGTTGTGTGTGTTTGTGTGTCTCTGTGGTTGTGTGTGTTTGTGTGTGTCTCTGTGGTTGTGTGTGTTTGTGTGTCTCTGTGGTTGTGTGTGTTTGTGTGTCTCTGTGGTTGTGTGTGTTTGTGTGTGTCTCTGTGGTTGTGTGTGTTTGTGTGTCTCTGTGGTTGTGTGTGTTTGTGTGTCTCTGTGGTTGTGTGTGTTTGTGTGTGTCTGTGGTTGTGTGTGTGGTTGTGTGTGTTTATCTGTGGATGTGTGTGTGGTTGTGTGTGTTTCCCTGTGGATGTGTGTGTGTGGTTGTGTGTGTGGTTGTGTGTGTGTCTCTGTGGTTGTGTGTGTGTCTCTGTGGTTGTGTGTGTGGTTGTGTGTGTGTTTCTCTGTGGTTGTGTGGTTGTGTAGATGTGTGTGTGGTTGTGTGTGTGTGTCTCTGTGGTTGTGTGTGTCTCTGTGGTTGTGTGTGGTTGTGTGTGTGTCTCTGTGGTTGTGTGTGTGTGTTTGTGTGTGTCTCTGTGGTTGTGTGTGGTTGTGTGTGTCTCTGTGGTTGTGTGTGATTTTGTGTGTGCCTCTGTGGTTGTGTGTGTGGTTGTGTGTGTGGTTGTGTGTGTGTTTCTCTGTGGTTGTGTGGATGTGTGTGTGGTTGTGTGTGTGGTTGTGTGTGTGTTTCTCTGTGGTTGTGTGGATGTGTGTGTGTGGTTGTGTGTGTGGTTGTGTGTGCGTGTCTCTGTGGTTGTGTGTGCGTTTCTCTGTGGTTGTGTGGATGTGTGTGTGTGGTTGTGTGTGTGGTTGTGTGTGTGGTTGTGTGTTTGTGTCTCTGTGGTTGTGTGTGATTGTGTGTGTGTCTCTGTGGTTGTGCGAGTGGTTGTGTGTGTTTCTCTGTGGTTGTGTGTTTGTGTGTCTCTGTGGTTGTGTGTGATTTTGTGTGTCTCTGTGGTTGTGTGTGGTTGTGTGTGTGGTTGTGTGTGTGGTTGTGTGTGTCTCTGTGGTTGTGTGTGATTTTGTGTCTCTGTGGTTGTGCGTGTGGTTGTGTGTGTATTTCTCTGTGGTTATGTTTGTATGTGTCTCTGTGGTTGTGTGTGATTATGTGTGTCTGTGGTTGTGTGTGTGGTTGTGTGTGTGGTTGTGTGTGTGGTTGTGTGTGTGGTTGTGTGTGTGTTTCTCTGTGGTTGTATGACTGAGGAGGCGTTCAGGCTGGCTGAGAAAAAGCGGCAGGCCCACTCTCATCTTCTACAGCATCCCACGTCAGAGAATGAGGAGGCTTACCGCAGCTTTCCCTCGGAGGTTCGGAGAGCCGTGAGGCGCTGCAAGGGTAGGTGGTGGTCGCGGGTTGCTGAGGAGATGGAGTCTGCCTCAATGGCCCGCGATCACAAATCGCTCTTTAACTCCATCAAAAAAGTAACCTGCAGCGCCACACCTATTACCATCATTAGGGGAAAAAACGGTGATCCAATCTCCGACCCCCATGAACAGGTTTTGCAGATTCGCTGAGCATTTCTGTGAGGTCCTGGGGGAGGGGAAATCTCTCAGACAAAGTGGGGATGTCCCTGCTGAGGCTGCGGTGCCTCAAATATTGGAAGAAGTCGCCCCCTGTGAGTGGCTGGCTGAGGTGCCATCTGTTGAGGAAGTACGGAGGGCGATCCAGAGTCTGAGAACAGGAAAGGCACCCGGCAGAGATAATCTCCCAAGCGAAATGCTGAGGGAGGGTGGCGTTTGTGCACAGACTGCCCTATATGACATCATAACAACAGTCTGGACCACTGTACGGGTTCCGCAGGATTGGAAGGATGCCCTGGTGGTCCCCCTTTTCAAGAAGGGGGACCGCATAGACTGTAACAACTACAGGGGCATCTCACTCCTCAGTGTGCCGGGAAAGGTCCTGGCAAGGATTATTCAGCATCGCCTTGCCAGGCACGCTGAGGAGAGGCTTGCGGAGCCCCAATGCGGTTTCAGGAAAGGGCGGTCCTGCACAGATGCAATATTTTCTGTCCGTCTGCTACAGCAGAGGTGTAGGGAATTTCAACAAGACCTACATCTCTGCTTTATTGACCTGGTCAAGGCCTATGATACCATCAGTAGGCCTGGGCTCTGGGTTGTTCTTCTAAAACTACGTGGCCGGGAGTTGGAGCCATTCCCTGCTCACCATACAATGGGAGGTTGATTGATGCCCTGGTGCGGTCAAGGGAAGGCTCCCTATTGCTCAACCGTGTTATGTATGCCGATGATCTGGTGATTACTGCTCACTCAGAGGAGTTGGAGGCGCTGCTGCTGAGACTGGAGCGTGCCACTAAGAGGGTGGGGCCTTACCATCAGCCCCACAAAACGAAACACCTGCCTGGGCATTTTGTACCATCGGACACTCCACCCCCAACAACTCCGAATTGGTGATGGGGAAGTTGTGGAGAGAGTGGAGAGTTTCCCATACCTGGGCAGTGTGCTCATGACCGGCACCGGTTTAACAGCAGAGGTCTCACTCAGAATCAGTCGAGCAGCATTATATTTGCATCGGTTGCGTAACGCTGTGTGGAAGCTACCTGGTCTGTCTCTCCGCACTAAGCTTCAGGTCTTCTCGGCCACGGTCATTCCCTCCCTTCTCTACGCTTGCGAAACGTGGACCCCCCCCAATGGAACATCTTCGCCGGTTAGAAACATTTAGGCTGGCCTGCCTACGATCCATCCTGGCTTTAACCAGGATAGATTGTGTGAGGAGCTCACAAATCCTTGAAAGATCTGGGTAAGGTCCCATCGGTGAGCTCCACCGGCGGGCAAGGCTGCGTTGGCTGGGTCATGTAGCCCGCATGCCCAGCCACCGCATGCCGAAACAGCTTTTGTTCGGCCGGATTGAGGGGGGTAAGCGGGCGCGCACGAGCTAGAGAAGAGATGGAGTGATGTGGTACAGGAGGACGTGGAGCTGAGTGGACTTGCCGATGACTGGTACCAGCGGTGTCAAGATCGGCCTCTGTGGAGGAGGCTCGTGAAGGATGCTACTGGGCAGTTGGAGGCAGTCGCCCTCCAACAAGGAGCGACGCTCACAACAACGAGCGGAGCGCCGGGTGGCTAAAGCACAGCAGGTTGGCACAGTAGGGGGCACAGGTGGTGCATCAGCCAGTCATCTCAGTCAGTCGACCCGTGGCACCTGCTGGGTCTGCCCCGTGACCTCCTGCCAGCGGGCGTTCGACACTACACGTGGCCTCAAAGTGCACCTAGCCTGGCACAAGCGTCGTGGTGACGTCACCGCCACTTAGTGGCGAATGGCGGTTGTTGTGTGTGTGTGACTGTCATTGTGTGTTTGTGTGATTGTGGGGAGCGGTAGTGTAGCGGTTAGCGCTACGCTGCGCTACGAACCTGGCAACCCGAGTTCGATTCCCGCTCACGGCCAACACCACCCAGTGACAGATTATCTGAACCGGTCCTGGGCCTCCCCTAGGTCGACTCAGCCACAAATGAGTACTCGGTGCGGTGTGTAGTAAACATCGCCACTGGGGAGACAAAGGCGGCCGGGCGTGGTGGTGCCGGCCACCCACCCCCTCGTGTGCCACGGTGCACTTGCCCCGATAGTCTATCACGTGCTACACGGGGGGGTGGGGGGGCCTTTGTCTGTGTGTCGTCACGTGGCACAAATGAGTCACGAGGGCAATCGACAATGGGGAAGGGAGTCGTGGTCCCCACGTGTTCCAGGGAGTGATTGGAAATTAATGAAAAAAAAGGCGGAGCAGCGAACAAGGTGCCAATCACAGCTGAGTGTGCCCAGCTGCCTATAAATAGCGACACCACCACCAATTACAATAACACACACACCACTATCAACACCAACAACACCACACACACACACACACCACTAGCACCGCCAACAACACCACACACACCACTACCAACACCACTACCAACACCACCACACACACCACTACCAACACCACCACACACACCACCACCACACACACCACCACCACACACACCACTACCAACACCACCACACACACCACTACCAACACCACCACACACACCACTACCAACACCACACACACCACTACCAACACCACACACACCACTACCAACACCACACACACCACACACACCACTACCAACACCACCACACACACCACTACCAACACCACCACACACACCACTACCAACACCACCACACACACCACTACCAACACCACCACACACACCACTACCAACACCACCACACACACCACTACCAACACCACCACACACACCACTACCACACACACCACCACACACACCACTACCAACACCACCACACACACCACTACCAACACCACCACACACACCACTACCAACACCACCACACACACCACTACCAACACCACCACACACACCACTACCAACACCACCACACACACCACTACCAACACCACCACACACACCACTACCAACACCACCACACACACCACTACCAACACCACCACACACACCACTACCAACACCACCACACACACCACTACCAACACCACCACACACACCACTACCAACACCACCACACACACCACTACCAACACCACCACACACACCACTACCAACACCACCACACACACCACTACCAACACCACCACACACACCACTACCAACACCACCACACACACCACTACCAACACCACCACACACACCACTACCAACACCACCACACACACCACTACCAACACCACCACACACACCACTACCAACACCACCACACACACCACTACCAACACCACACACCATTCTGGAGGGCGAGGGGAGGAAGACCCCAGCCACATTCAGCTACTGCCCCCCCTTGACCCCCCCCTTTGCCCCCCTCTTGACCCCCCCTTGACCCCCACTTGACCCCCCCTTGACCCCCCCCCCTTGACCCCCCCCCATCCTCGCCTGCGGACGTCTCTACCCACCTGGAGAAGACCCCCAGGCCACGTGTCGACAACGGTGGTGCACCACAAAGTGGGGGAGGGAGGCTCTTTAACTTTTTCGAAGTTAATTTAACGTCGCACTTGTTAGCACGCTACGGGGTGCGGTTTCCCTTTTACATTTAAGGCAGGGCCATTTGGATATTTACGTAACATCTACTCGCGGGGCCATACAAAATTGATCAAGTTTAAAAAAAAACGTGCCCCTTTATATTCGGTCAAACATTTTAATTAACTCGCCCCCCCCTCCTAATGCGATGGCCTTGGAATCGCTTCTCTTTGGCGAGGCGTTGTGGCGATGTTAGCTGGCTATTGACGGCGATGTTGCTGCTGCTGCTGTTGCTCGCGACTGCTTTTCCAATGTTGTGTTTTTTTGCTCTACCTAGATTTGTTGAATTTGGAGTCCCCCGCCAGCGGTTGCCTTGGCTGGGCCTAGAGAGACCCCCCCACCCCCAACGATTTCGCGGGCCTCCTACGGCCCGCGGGCCGTATGGGCCTCATACGGCCCGCGGGCCGTATGGGCCTCATATGGCCCGCGGGCCGGACGTTACCCACCCCTGACTTGGCTTCGGGAGGTGAGGCGTTCATCCAGCAGTGGATTGACAGAGAGGGCCGCTGTCTTGTACAGCTGCGCGCGTGGTTGGTGTAGCGGTCAGCGCTACGAATCTAGCCACCCCCGGTTCGATTCCCGCTCACGGCCAACAGATGAACCGGTCCTGGGCCACTCCCCTAGGTCGACTCGGCATCAAATGAGTCACCCGGTGCGGTGTGTGCAGCGAACGTCGCCACTGGGGGAGACAAAGGCGGCCGGGCGTGGTGGTGCTGGTCACCCACCCACCTCGTGCGCCGTGCCGTTCCGGCCTTCATAGGTGCCGCTCGCTAACAGCGCTTGCCCCAACAGCCTGCTACAGACTATACGGGGGATCTTTGTCTTTTGCCTATGGGGCCGTCCATAAATGACGTCACGCACCTAGAGGGAGGGGGGGAGGAGGGTTCAGACATTTGTGACGAGGAGGGGGGGGGTTGTTTGAGAAATGTGACGTCACATCAAAATTGCGCAACTTTATAAATACATTTCGATTTAAAGCTTTCGTCACTGCAATGATTCATCTTCTTTGGTTCTTTCGGTAAAGTCACGTAGAATGAGAATAAAATAATAAATTGATAAAATAACACAATAATATTCTCACTGTTTGGTTCTTTCGGTAAAGTCACGTAGAATGAGAATAAAATAATAAATTGATAAAATAACACAATAATAAATATAGACACAACACGTTCTACTTAATTAAATAGACTGTTTAATAAAAGTTTTCTTCCTACAACATCAGAATGCAGCGCCACATTAAATACGCAACTACAATGACAATAGTTTATAGCGATTTGAAGCACTTTTTATTTTGGGGGGGGGGGGGGTGGGGGGCTTTGTGACGTCACATTTGAGGGGGGCTTTGTGACGTCATATTTGAGGGGGGGGGGTCAAAAATCGTCCCAAATCGCGTGACGTCATTTATGGACGGCCCCTTTGACTGAGAGACGATGGCTGTGGGTGGTGAGGCGTTCATCCAGCAGCGGATTGATTGGCAGGAAGAGGGGGGGCAGGTGGATTGTCTCGAGTTGATTGACAGAGAGAGGGGGGCAGGTGGATTGTCTCGAGTTGATTGACAGAGAGAGGGGGGCAGGTGGATTGTCTCAAGTTGATTGACAGAGAGAGGGGGGCGGGTGGATTGTCTCGAGTTGATTGACAAAGAGAGGGGGGGCAGGTGGATTGTCTCGAGTTGATTGACAGAGAAAGGGGGGGCAGGTGGATTGTCTCGAGTTGATTGACAGAGAGAGGGGGGGCAGGTGGATTGTCTCGAGTTGATTGACAGAGAGAGGGGGGCAGGTGGATTGTCTCGAGTTGATTGACAGAGAGAGGGGGGCGGGTGGATTGTCTCGAGTTGATTGACAGAAAGAGAGGGGGGCAGGTGGATTGTCTCGAGTTGATTGACAGAGAGAGGGGGGCGGGTGGATTGTCTCGAGTTGATTGACAGAGAGAGGGGGGCAGGTGGATTGTCTCGAGTTGATTGACAGAGAGAGGGGGGGCAGGTGGATTGTCTAGAGTTGATTGGCAGAGAGAGGGGGGGCGGGTGGATTGTCTCGAGTTGATTGACAGATGGGGGGGGCATTGTCTCGAGTTGATTGACAGAGAGAGAGGGGGGGCCATTGTCTCGAGTTGATTGACAGAGAGAGAAAGAGGGGGGGCATTGTCTCGAGTTGATTGACAGAGAGAGGGGGGGCATTGTCTCGGGTTGATTGACAGATGGGGGGGGGGGTCCATTGTCTCGAGTTGATTGACAGAGAGAGAAAGGGGGGGGGTCCATTGTCTCGAGTCGATTGACAGATAGAGAGAGAGGGGGGGTCCATTGTCTCGAGTTGATTGACAGGGGGGGGGCATTGTCTCGAGTTGATTGACAAAGGGGGGGGTCCATTGTCTCGAGTTGATTGACAGAGAGAGAAAGGGGGGGGTCCATTGTCTCGAGTTGATTGACAGGGGGAGGGGGGTCCATTGTCTCGAGTTGATTGACAGAGAGGGGGGGCATTGTCTCGAGGTGATTGACAGATGGGGGGGGGTTTATTGTCTCGAGTTGATTGACAGAGAGAGAAAGGGGGGGGTCCATTGTCTCGAGTCGATTGACAGATAGAGAGAGAGGGGGGGGTCCAATGTCTCGAGTTGATTGACAGGGGGGGGGGCATTGTCTCGAGTTGATTGACAAAGGGGGGGGGGTCCATTGTCTCGAGTTGATTGACAGAGAGAGAAAGGGGGGGGTCCATTGTCTCGAGTTGATTGACAGAGAGAGGGGGGGTCCATTGTCTCGAGTTGATTGACAGGGGGGGGGCATTGTCTCGAGACATTGCCCCGTGTGCTCTCTGGAATAATGAAAAAAAAGCCCCCCATCTGGAGGGTCGCCAATTGTCACTTTCGTTTGGGCCTCAACCCTCGCCCGGTTTTGATTGCGCGCCCTCCAATACAAACAACGACTCGGCAGCGAGTGATTGCGATTGTGCGTGTGGGAGAGGGGGTATTAGATGGGTGGCTGGGTGTGTGGCTGGGTGTGTGTGGCTGGGTGTGTGTGTGTATGTGTGTGGCTGGGTGTGTGTGTGTGGCTGGGTGTGTGTGGCTGGGTGTGTGGCTGGGTGTGTGTGGCTGGGTGTTTGGCTGGGTGTGTGGCTGGGTGTGTGGCTGGGTGTGTGGGTGTGTGTGTGTGTGTGGGTGGCTGGGTGTGTGGCTGGGTGTGTGTATGTGTGTGGCTGGGTGTGTGGGTGTATGTGTGTGGCTGTATGTGTGTGGCTGGGTGTGTGTGGCTGGCTGTGTGGCTGCGTGTGTGTGTGGGTGGTTGGATCGGTGTGTGGCTGGGTGTGTGTGTGGGTGGGTGGGTGTGGATGGCTGGCTGGGTGTGTGGGTGTGTGGCTGTGTGGGTGGGTGGCTGGCTGGGTGTGTGTGGCTGGGTGGGTGTGTGGTTGGGTGGGTGTGTGTGTGGTTGGGTGGATGGGTGTGGGGGTGTGTGGCTGGGTGTGTGGCTGGGTGTGTGTGGGTGTGTGTGTGGGGGTGTGTGTGTGGGGGGGGTGTGGCTGGGTGTGTGTGTGGGTGTGTCGCTGGGTGTGTGTATGGGTGTGTGTGTGTGGGGGGGGGTGTGGCTGGGTTAGGCTGGGTGTGTGGCTGGGTGGGTGTGGGTGTGTGGCTGGGTGGGTGTGTGTGTGGGTGTGGGGGTGTGTGGCTGTGTGTGTGTGTCGCTGGGTGTGTGGCTGTGTGTGTGTGTGGGGGGTGGGGCTGGGTTAGGCTGGGTGTGTGGCTGGGTGGGTGTGGGTGTGTTGCTGGGTGTGGCTGTGTGTGTGTGTGGCTGGGTGTGTGGCTGGGTGTGGGTGGCTGGGTGGGTGTGTGTGTGTGTGTGTGGCTGGGTGTGGCTGGGCGTGTGGCTGGGTGTGTGTGTGTGGCTGGGTGTGTGGCTGTGTGTAGGTGTGTGGCTGGGTGTGTGTGTGTGTGGCTGGGTGTGTGGCTGGGTGTGTGTGTGTGTGGCTGGGTGTGTGGCTGGGTGTGTGTGTGTGTGTGGGGGGAGCGGTGGCCCAGCGGTTAGCGCTTTGGCTGCGCTACGAACCCAGGGGTGTGGTGGGCGACTTTGAGATCCGACTCCTACCGAACGCCCCGTGACGATTTTATCCGAACCGGTCCCCGGTTTCCCCTAGGTCGACTCAGCCTCAAATCAGTTTGCTGATGGCGGTGCGTACTAGAACATCGCCACTGGGGGAGACAAAGGCGGCCGGGCGTGCGTGGTGCTGGCCACCCACCGCCTCGTGTGTGCCACAGTGCCGGTAGCCTTCACAACAGGGTGCTGCTACTCGCTAACAGCACTTGTCCCTACAGTCTGTTAAGGCTACACGGGGGATCTTTGTCTGTGTGGGGAGCGGTAGTGTAGCGGTTAGCGCTACGCTGCGCTGCGAACCTGGCGATCCGGGTTCGATTCCCGCTCACGGCCATCACCAGTGACGATTGTCTGAACAGGTCCTGGGCCTCCCCTAGGTCGACTCGGCCTCATATGAGTTGCCTGGTGCGGTGTGTAGTAAACATCGCCACCGGGGGAGACAAAGGCGGCCGGGGCGTGGTGTTGACCACCCGGCCTCCATAAGTGCCGCTACTCGCTAACAGCACTTGCCCCTGCAGTCTGTTCAGGCTACACGGGGGACCTTTGTCTTTGTTGCGCGTGGGAGTATTTCGATGGGCGAATGAGTTGGGTGGGATGGGGTTGATCAAGTGAGCGGGCTGAGCGATACGTTGGGGTGGTTGGTGGTGGTGGGGGTGGGTGGTTTGACTTCAAGTGATGACATTTGACTGAGTCACACAAGCGCAGCCTCTCTCCCCAGCTTCCCATCGGCCCGATCATCATCCTCATCATCGTCGTGGTCTTCAAGCAGGCGCTGCCGGGCCACGTTGCGGATTGGAACATTGTTTGCGTTCGTCTCCGGCGGTACTTCGTGTGGAGCGACCGCTGTGGTGTTCTGCATTGAGGTGGCTAGGAGATGTTGACTACCTCGCCTGGTGTGCAGGAGGTCGTCGGTTCAATCCTCAACCTTGATGACGCCTGCTGCTGTATATTTGGAGTTTGTGTGTCTCTCATCGTCATCATCATGGTGGCTTGGAGATGTTGACTACCTCGCCTGGCATACAGGAGATCGTGGGTTCGGTCCCGACCCTGAGGACGCCTGCTGCTGTATATTTGGAGCTTGCGTGTCTCTTTTGCTCTCTCATCATCACGGTGGCTAGGAGATGTTAACTACCTCGCCTGGTGTACAGGAGGTCATTGGTTCAATTCCGACCATGACAATGCCTGCTGTATATTTGGAGTTTGGGTCTCTTTGGGGTTCTGTGGGTCTCTCTGGGTCTCTGTGGGTCTCTATGATAGTAATTATTCGCCTCTATGGGTCTCTGTGGGACTATGGAGCTCTGAGTCCGCAGAGTGAACATCGCTCATCTGGAGTAATTGGCTGCTTTTATAAATGCGTCGTCTGCTGCTGTACATTTCCACAGGTTGATGATAATCTGACACTTCGTTGAGTTGGCTATCATTGCAGATAAGTTACTGGCTCAGTCGGGGCTTGGCCTGGCAGGATGGGGATGGATATTCTTTGGTTCTTTCGGTAAAGTCACGTAAAAAGAAAATTAATTAAATAATAGAGTACGACGTTTCGATCGCAGCACAAGCAACCGTCATCAGGTAGAACTAAATTTGAGAGAGAGACAAAAACACAGACACGGAGACACACAGACAGACACAAGCAGAGAGAGAGACACACACAACACAGACACACAGAGAGACAACACAGACGCACAGAGAGAGAGAGACACACAGACACAGAGAGAGACGCACAGAGAGAGAGACGCACAGAGAGAGAGACGCACAGAGAGACGCACAGAGAGAGAGACGCACAGAGAGAGAGACGCACAGAGAGAGAGACGCACAGAGAGAGAGAGACGCACAGAGAGAGAGACGCACAGAGAGAGAGACGCACAGAGAGAGAGACGCACAGAGAGAGAGACGCACAGAGAGAGAGACGCACAGAGAGAGAGACGCACAGAGAGAGAGACGCACAGAGAGAGACGCAGAACACAGACGCACAGAGAGAGACGCACAGAGAGAGACGCACAACACAGACACACAGAGAGAGACGCACAGAGAGAGACGCACAGAGAGAGACGCACAGAGAGAGACGCACAGAGAGAGACGCACAGAGAGAGAGACGCACAGAGAGAGAGACGCACAGAGAGAGAGACGCACAGAGAGAGAGACGCACAGAGAGAGACGCACAGAGAGAGACGCACAGAGAGAGACGCACAGAGAGAGACGCACAGAGAGAGACGCACAGAGAGAGACGCACAGAGAGAGACGCACAGAGAGAGACGCACAGAGAGAGACGCAAAGAGAGAGACGCACAGAGAGAGACGCACAGAGAGAGACGCACAGAGAGAGACGCACAGAGAGAGACGCACAGAGAGAGAGACGCACAGAGAGAGAGACGCACAGAGAGAGAGACGCACAGAGAGAGAGACGCACAGAGAGAGAGACGCACAGAGAGAGAGACGCACAGAGAGAGAGACGCACAGAGAGAGAGACGCACAGAGAGAGAGACGCACAGAGAGAGACGCAGAACACAGACGCACAGAGAGAGACGCACAGAGAGAGACGCACAACACAGACACACAGAGAGAGACGCACAGAGAGAGACGCACAGAGAGAGACGCACAGAGAGAGACGCACAGAGAGAGACGCACAGAGAGAGACGCACAGAGAGAGACGCACAGAGAGACGCACAGAGAGAGACGCACAGAGAGAGAGACGCACAGAGAGAGAGACGCACAGAGAGAGAGACGCACAGAGAGAGAGACGCACAGAGAGAGAGACGCACAGAGAGAGACGCACAGAGAGAGACGCACAGAGAGAGACGCACAGAGAGAGACGCACAGAGAGAGACGCACAGAGAGAGACGCACAGAGAGAGACGCACAGAGAGAGACGCACAGAGAGAGACGCACAGAGAGAGACGCACAGAGAGAGACGCACAGAGAGAGACGCACAGAGAGAGACGCAAAGAGAGAGACGCAAAGAGAGAGACGCACAGAGAGAGACGCACAGAGAGAGACGCACAGAGAGAGACGCACAGAGAGAGACGCACAGAGAGAGACGCACAGAGAGAGACGCACAGAGAGAGACGCACAGAGAGAGACGCACAGAGAGAGACGCACAGAGAGAGACGCACAGAGAGAGACGCACAGAGAGAGACGCACAGAGAGAGACGCACAGAGAGAGACGCACAGAGAGAGACGCACAGAGAGAGACGCACAGAGAGAGACGCACAGAGAGAGACGCACAGAGAGAGACGCACAGAGAGAGACGCACAGAGAGAGACGCACAGAGAGAGACGCACAGAGAGAGACGCACAGAGAGAGACGCACAGAGAGAGACGCACAGAGAGAGACGCACAGAGAGAGACGCACAGAGAGAGACGCACAGAGAGAGACGCACAGAGAGAGACGCACAGAGAGAGACGCACAGAGAGAGACGCACAGAGAGAGACGCACAGAGAGAGACGCACAGAGAGAGACGCACGAGAGAGACGCACGAGAGAGACGCACGAGAGAGACGCACAGAGAGAGACGCACAGAGAGAGACGCACAGAGAGAGAGACGCACAGAGAGAGACGCACAGAGAGAGAGACGCACAGAGAGAGACGCACAGAGAGAGACGCACAGAGAGAGACGCACAGAGAGAGACGCACAGAGAGAGACGCACAGAGAGAGACGCACAGAGAGAGACGCACAGAGAGAGACGCACAGAGAGAGACGCACAGAGAGAGACGCACAGAGAGAGAGACGCACAGAGAGAGACGCACAGAGAGAGACGCACAGAGAGAGACGCACAGAGAGAGACGCACAGAGAGAGACGCACAGAGAGAGACGCACAGAGAGAGACGCACAGAGAGAGACGCACAGAGAGAGACGCACAGAGAGAGACGCACAGAGAGAGACGCACAGAGAGAGACGCACAGAGAGAGACGCACAGAGAGAGACGCACAGAGAGAGACGCACAGAGAGAGACGCACAGAGAGAGACGCACAGAGAGAGACGCACAGAGAGAGACGCACAGAGAGAGACGCACAGAGAGAGACGCACAGAGAGAGACGCACAACACAGACGCACGCACAACACAGACGCACGCACAACACAGACGCACGCACAACACAGACGCACGCACAACACAGACGCACGCACAACACAGACGCACGCACAACACAGACGCACGCACAACACAGACACACAGAGAGAGACGCACAACACAGACACACAGAGAGAGACAACACAGACACACAGAGAGAGACAACACAGACACACAGAGAGAGACAACACAGACACACAGAGAGAGACAACACAGACACACAGAGAGAGACAACACAGACACACAGAGAGAGACAACACCGACACACAGAGAGAGACGCACAACACAGACACACAGAGAGAGACGCACAACACAGACACACAGAGAGAGACAGCACAGACACACAGAGAGAGACAACACAGACACACAGAGAGAGACAACACAGACACACAGAGAGAGACAACACAGACACACAGAGACACACGCACAGCACAGACACACAGAGAGAGACGCACAACACAGACACACAGAGAGAGACGCACAACACAGACACACAGAGAGAGACGCACAACACAGACACACAGAGAGGCACAACATAGACACACAGAGACACAGACACACACAGAGAGAGAGACGCACACAACATACACCCCATGTGTCCCCTACTGGCACGTGAGTGAAAAGAGCTTCATAGCTCATCGGATTCCCCCTGCAGTAGTAAATAAATGTATCCTTATTCTTAAAAAAAAAAGAGCCGCAAGTCTCCGCGAGGCCTTCCACCTCGATAAAATAACAAAATATATTTAGTTACGTTTTTAGGTTGTTGGTGTTATTTTCGTTTGTGTTTATTTCCCCCCTTACCCCTAGGTGACGTTCCAAGCGCCGGGCGCGTGGCAGCGGGAGGAGGAGGATGATGATGATGATGAGGATGCTGCGGATGATGATGATGATGATGGGGATGGCTCCACGAACCTTGCTCTGCGCCCTGCTCTGCGCCCAGGGTGAGCGGGCGACTTCCTCCAGCGATGTTCACTCGTTCAATTTATTTTGTTGAGTAAGAACTCGCACCCCCCCCTCCACCTAACTAAAGAGTGCAGCATCGTAATACATCACAGTATTGGTTGAACGAAGGTAGTCCATACCTGTCAACCCCCTTAGCAGTGTCCTGCCTTATTATAGACCAATTCAGGCCTCATTAGTCACCCCCCGTCCTCATGAATCTCAACGTTCATACTATACACTACACGTCAACGTTCATCCTATACACTACACTATTCACTACACTACACTATACACTACACTCTACACTCCACTATACACTCCACTATACACTCCACTATACACTCCACCATACACTCCACCATACACTCCACCATACACTCCACCATGCACTCCACCATGCACCCCACCATGCACTCCACCATGCACTCCACCATACACTCCACCATACACTCCACCATACACTCCACCATACACTCCACCATACACTCCACCATACACTACACGATACACTCCACTCTACACTACACACTATACACTACACACTATACACTACACACTATACACTACACACTATACACTACACACTATACACTACACACTATACACTACACTACACTATACACTACACTACACTATACACTACACTATACAATACACTACACTATACACTATAAACTACACTATACACTATAAACTACACTATACACTATAAACTACACTATACACTATAAACTACACTATACACTATAAACTACACTATAAACTACACTATACACTACACTATACACTACACTATACACTACACTATACACTACACTATACACTATACACTACACACTACACTATACACTACACACTACACTATACACCACACTATACACTACACTGTACACTACACCACACTATACACTACACTGTACACTACACCACACTATACACTACACCACACTATACACTACACCACACTATACACTACACCACACTATACACTGCACCACACTATACACTGCACCACACTATACACTGCACCACACTATACACTACACCACACTATACACTACACCACACTATACACTACACACTATACACTACACTACTACATACCTGCCAACCCCTTATCAGTGCCTACCTTATTACAGACCAATTCAGACCGTATTGGGCAACCCCGTGCCCCTTATATTAAACGGCTGTACGCCGTATGAACCTTAACACTCAATTTCCCTGTCCAAGAATACGGGGTAAACCGTATGGGTTGACCAGGTATGCTAGTCCTACCTACCTATAAAATCAAGGCACACGAATATATATAAAAAATATATATATAAAAATGAGAGAGGACACACTCGTGGTGAAAGCTAAAAAGGACAAAATAAATCAACAATGAGCCTTGCGAGAGATTCCTGAACTGGTCCGTTGCTTCGGAGAGCCCCCAGTCTGAGGGCCGGCGGGCGGAGGGGAGAGTTCCACGTCGTGAGGAGCGCGAGCAATGCGACAAAAGCGGACGTGAAATAAAAGGCGGACACTTGGAAGTGGGCATCTCTTTTGGCCACGTGTGGTGTTGCGACGTCACAATGGCCGTCAACTGGGGGCCGCCATCTTGAAAATGTCCGCTTTTGTTTCAGCATAAAACCGACCGTTAACGGAGCTACGTTTTTAAAAAAAACATGATTTTTACTGACATAGCGAATGTTCATTCGCATAGCGACCTGCCAACCCCATAGCGAATGAACATTCGAATGAACATTCGCTATGTGAAATAAAGTGTGTTTTTTGCCTTTGAACAGATTTGTTTTTACAGCGTTCCAGTTCATCATAGCTGCGTGCGAGTGTCCGCTATTATTTCAACCTGTCCGCTTTTATTTCAACTCAAAAAACCCCGCCGTTAACGGAGCTGAACTTGACAAAATTATTTTAAGAGCTCGAGCGGGGGGGGGGGGGTGGCGGGCGGGTGGCGGGCGTGACGCCTGCTCGCAACGGCCGCACAGACATGGTGACGGTGAAATTGTGATTTAAAGCTTTCATGACTGCAGTGATTCATATTCTCTTCAACGTGACTTTACCGAAAGAACCCCGAGGATATGGTGACGGCGGTTAATAATCTGCATAAACAATACACGTCGGCGTACATTTAAAAAAAAAAAATTCCGCGGGTACATCGATGGGCAAGGTCAACAACAACGCGTCATTTAATGCAAACAATTTCTTTGCTGGATCCAGCTGGTCACGTCACGGTCACGTGGCACATCCCGCTCGCTTGTTTCCCTTTCTCTCGATTGGCTAAGCGCCGCTTTTATTTCAGCGTACTCTCGAGAAAGGCCCCCTGGCTACTACCGAACGCAGCATAGGATGACAACATTTTTTTTAGGTTCAGCTAACAGGGCTTGGCCTGAGCAGAGCAAGGGTGTGTATCTACCAAGACAGAGGATGTCGGGGGAGCGGGGCAAACGGCACTGCAGGCACTGAGAACCAATGCCTTCCTAAGCTTTGTAAGTCATTGCAGCCAACTTAAATTGTATGCGCGTAGTGTATAGTAGTATAGTGTAGTGAATAGTAGTGTGTAGTGTATAGTAGTGAGTATTGTAGTGTATAGAGTAGTGAGTAGTGTAGTGTGAGGTGTCGTGTATAGTGTAGTAGTGTAGTGTATAGTAGTGTAGTGTGTGTAGTGTATACTATAGTAGTGGCGTGTATAGTAGTGTAGAGTGTAGTGTGTATAGTAGTGTAGTGTATAGTGTAGTGTATAGTAGTGTAGTGTGTGTAGTGTATACTATAGTAGTGTCGTGTATAGTAGTGTAGAGTGTATAGTGTAGTGTGTATAGTAGTGTAGTGTATAGTGTAGTGTATTGTGTAGTGTATAGTAGTGTAGTGTGTGTAGTGTATACTATAGTAGTGTCGTGTATAGTAGTGTAGTGTGTATAGTGTAGTGTGTATAGTAGTGTAGTGTATAGTGTAGTGTGTGGAGTGTATAGTGTAGTGTATAGTAGTGTAGTGTGTGTAGTGTATGCTATAGTTGTGTCGTGTATAACAGTGTAGTAGTGTGTAATGTGTATAGTAGTGTATTGTGTAGTGTATAGTGTAGTGTGTGTAGTGTGTATATATAGTTGTGGGGAGCGATAGTGTAGCGGTTAGCGCGCTGCGCTATGAACCTGGCGACCCGGGTTCGATTCCCGCTCACGGCCAACACCAGTGACGATTATCTGAACCGGTCCCAGGCCTCCCCTAGGTCGACTCAGCCTCAAATGAGTACCTGGTGCGGTGTGTAAACATCGCCACTAGGGAGACAAAGGCGGTCGGGCATGGTGCTGGCCACCCACCCCCTCATGTGCCGTGCCGGCCTTCATAGGTGCTTGCTAACAGCACTTTCCCCTACAGTCTGTTAAGGCTATATGGGGGATCTTTGTTTGTTTGCTTTGTCTTTGTTTTTGTAGTGTATAGTGTCGTGTGTAGTGTATAGTATAGTGTATAGTGTAGTGTATAATAGTGTATAGTATAGTGTGTAGTGTATAGTGTAGTGTATAGTGTATGGTGTCGTGTATAGTGTAGTGTATAGTGTAGTGTGTGTAGTGTATAGTAGTGTATACTGTCGTGTGTAGTGTATAGTGTAATGTATAGTAGTGTATAGTGTCGTGTAGTGTATAGTGGAGTGTGTGTAGTGTAGTGTATAGTGTAGTGTATAGTAGGGTATAGTGTCGTGTATAGTAGTGTGTAGTGTATTGTGTAGTGTATAGTGTAGTGTATAGTAGTGTATTGTGTAGTGTATAGTGTAGTGTATAGTGTAGTGTATAGTATAGTGTAGTGTATAGTGTAGTGTATGTATGTTGAACTTCCTTCGCGCCGTGCGTAGCCAACCGCGCTGATCGGAGTTGCGGCGAAAGGACAACAACTTAAACACAACAACAACAAGCAGTTCTAAATACAATTCTGAATAAACTAACAACAAGGAGGAGTTCCGAATACATTTATTTTCAACCCTGGGTCCTCCCCCTCCCCCTCTCTCCGTAAAGGTTCGTGCAAGCAGCAGACGTTCCGCGTGCGGCCCGAGAACAGCTCAGTCCCCGAGGGCTCGGCGGCGACCCTGCGATGCGAGGTGCAGGCCGTGTCCGGGGCCGTGCAGTGGGTCAAGGACGGCCTCCTGCTGGGCCCGCAGCGAGACATGCCGGGCTTCCCGCGATACTCCATGCGGGGAACGCAGGCCAGCGGTCAGCTCCATCGTCGCAGGCTGATCATCATCATCGTCATGATCATCATCATGATCCTCTACCCCCCCCACTACACTCCACCCGCCGCCCCCCTTAGCCACCACCTCCTCCACCACCACCACCACCACCACCCCCTCTCCTCCACCACCCCCTCCTCCTCCACCCCCCCCCTCCTCCATCCCCCCCGCCCCTCTTCTCTACCCCCCCCCTCCTCCTCCACCAGCTGCCCCCCTCCTCCACCCCCCCATCCTCCCACGCTTCTCTTCCCCTTCCCCCCTCCCCCCCTCCTCCCCTCCTTCACCTCCTCCACCCGCCCCCCTCTTATTCACCCCCTCACCCCCCCCCCCTTCTCCACCTCCTTGCCCACCTCCTCCTCCATCCTCACACGCCCCTCTCATTCACCCCCTCTCCGCCCTCCCCCCACATTCCTCCACCCCCCCCCCTTCTCCACCCCTCCTCCTCCACCCCCCCTTCTCCTCCACCCCCCCTCCTCCACCCCCCCCCTTCTCCACCCCCATTCTCCTCCACCCCCCCCCCCTCCTCCACCCCCCCCCCTTCTCCACCCCCCCTTCTCCACCCCCCCCTCCTCCACCCCTCACTCCGCTGTCGGCTACGGTGCAAAAAAAGTTCAACATCCACACAGGCAAAGATCCACCGTGTAGCCTTAACAGACTCAAGGGGCAAGTGCTGTTAACGATCAGGGCCTACACCACGCCCGACCGCCTTTGTATCCTGAGTGGCGATGTTTACACACGGCACCAGGTAACTCATTTGAGGCTGAGTCGACCTAGGGGAGGCCCAGGACCGGTTCAGACATCCGTCACCGATGGTGGCCGTGAGCGGGAATCGAACTCGGAAGGCCGGGTTCGTAGCGCAGCATAGCGCTAACTACTACACTACCGCTCCCCATTAACACGCACACACAACTACACACACACACAACTACACACACACACAACTACACACACACACAACTACACACACACACACAACTACACACACACACAACTACACACACACACAACTACACACACACACAACTACACACACACACAACTACACACACACACAACTACACACCAAGATAAAAGATCCCCCGTATAGCCTTAACAGACTGTAGGGGGCAAGTGCTGTTAGCGAGCACCTATGAAGGCCGGCACAGCACACGAGGGGGTGGGTGGCCAACACCACGCCCGGCCGCCTTTGTCTCCCTAGTGGCGATGTTTACACATCGCACCAGGTACTCGTTTGAGGCCGAGTCGACCTAGGGGGGGGGCCCGGGACCGGTTCAGATAATCGTCACTGGCGGTGTTGGCCGTGAGCGGGAATCGAACCCGTGTCGCCAAGGTTCATAGCGCAGCGTAGCGCTAACCGCTGCACCACCGCTCCCCACACACACCACACACACACCTTAACACACACACACACACACAACTCTGACCACCACCCCCCCCCCCCCCGCCCCCCGCCTCCTTGACACCACCACCCCACCAGGGCAATTTAACCTCCACATCGAGAGCGTGGAACTGGAGGATGACGGCTGGTTCCAGTGCCAGGCGGGCCGATCCCCTTCGAGCCATCCCATCGCCTCGCCAACCGCGTGGCTCACCGTGCTGAGTGAGTGAGATGGTGCTCAGGCTCGCCTCAGACTTGAGATGCCCTCTCTGTAAGGGGGGGGGGGGGGGGTGAGGGGAGCGGGGTCTGCGAGACATGGCCGGATTGTCTTTCTAGAACGTACATAATCTAAAAGACAAATGAAACACAGGCACGTTAAGTTACAACTTTGTTTCATCAAGCCATACACTACACTATACACTACACCCTACGTAGTTGTTACACTACACTACACACTACACCCTATGTAGTTATTACACTACACTACACACTACACTACACACTACACCCTATGTAGTTGTTACACTACACTACACACTACACCCTATGTAGTTATTACACTACACTACACACTACACCCTATGTAGTTATTACACTACACTACACACTACACTACACACTACACCCTATGTAGTTGTTACACTACACTACACACTACACCCTATGTAGTTATTGCACTACACTACACACTACACCCTATGTAGTTGTTACACTACATTACACACTACACCCTATAGTTATTACACTACATTACACACTACACCCTATGTAGTTATTACACTACACTACACACTACACTACACACTACACCCTATGTAGTTGTTAAACTACACTACACACTACACCCTATAGTTATTACACTACATTACACACTACACCCTATGTAGTTCTTACACTACACTACACACTACACTACACACTACACCCTATGTAGTTATTACACTACACTACACACTACACCCTATGTAGTTGTCACACTACACTATACACTACACCCTATGTAGTTGTTACACTACATTACACACTACACCCTATGTAGTTGTTAAACTACACTACACACTACACCCTATGTAGTTATTACACTACACCCTATGTAGTTGTTACACTACGTTACACACTACACCCTATGTAGTTATTACACTATAAACTACACTACACACTACACCCTATGTAGTTGTTACACTACATTACACACTACACCCTATGTAGTTATTACATGACACTATACACTACATTACACACTACACCCTATGTAGTTATTACACTACACTATAAACTGTAGACTATGTAGTCATTACACTACACTATACACTACACCCTATGTAGCTATTACACTACACTATACACTACACCCTATTTAGTTATTACACTACACTATACACTACACTATACACTACACCCTATGTAGTTATTACACTACACTATACACTACACCCTATGTAGTTATTACACTACACTACACACTACACTACACACTACACCCTATGTAGTTGTTAAACTACACTACACACTACACCCTATAGTTATTACACTACATTACACACTACACCCTATGTAGTTCTTACACTACACTACACACTACACTACACACTACACCCTATGTAGTTATTACACTACACTACACACTACACCCTATGTAGTTGTCACACTACACTATACACTACACCCTATGTAGTTGTTACACTACATTACACACTACACCCTATGTAGTTGTTAAACTACACTACACACTACACCCTATGTAGTTATTACACTACACCCTATGTAGTTGTTACACTACGTTACACACTACACCCTATGTAGTTATTACACTATAAACTACACTACACACTACACCCTATGTAGTTGTTACACTACATTACACACTACACCCTATGTAGTTATTACATGACACTATACACTACATTACACACTACACCCTATGTAGTTATTACACTACACTATAAACTGTAGACTATGTAGTCATTACACTACACTATACACTACACCCTATGTAGCTATTACACGACACTATACACTACACCCTATTTAGTTATTACACTACACTATACACTACACTATACACTACACCCTATGTAGTTATTACACTACACTATACACTACCCCCTATGTAGTTATTACACTATACACTACACCCTATGTAGTTACACTACACTATACATTACACCCATGTAGTTATTACACTACACTATACACTACACCCTATGTAGTTGTTACACTACACTACACCCATTTAGTTATTACACTACACTACACACTACACCCTATGTAGTTATTACACTACACTATACACTACACCCTATGTAGTTATTACACTACACTACACCCTATGTAGCTATTACACTACACTATACACTACACCCTATTTAGTTATTACACTACACTACACACTACACTATACACTACACCCTATGTAGTTATTACACTACACTATACACTACCCCCTATGTAGTTATTACACTATACACTATACACTACCCCCTATGTAGTTATTACACTATACACTACACCCTATGTAGTTACACTACACTATACATTACACCCATGTAGTTATTACACTACACTATACACTACACCCTATGTAGTTGTTACACTACACCCATGTAGTTATTACACTACACTACACACTACACCCTATGTAGTTATTACACTACACTATACACTACCCCCTATGTAGTTATTACACTATACACTACACCCTATGTAGTTACACTACACTATACATTACACCCATGTAGTTATTACACTACACTATACACTACACCCTATGTAGTTGTTACACTACACCCATGTAGTTATTACACTACACTACACACTACACCCTATGTAGTTATTACACTACACTATACACTACACCCTATGTAGTTATTACAATACACTACACTATACACTACACGCTATGTAGTTTCTACACTACACTATGCACTACACTATACAGTACATGCTATGTAGTTACTACACTATACACTACACCCTATGTAGTTATTACACTACACTATACACTACACCCTATGTAGTTATTACAATACACTATACACTACACTATACACTACACGCTATGTAGTTTCTACACTATACACTACACTATACAGTACATGCTATGTAGTTACTACACTATACACTACACCCTATGTAGTTATTACACTACACTATACACTACACCCTATGTAGTTATTACAATACACTATACACTACACTATACACTACACGCTATGTAGTTTCTACACTATACACTACACTATACAGTACATGCTATGTAGTTACTACACTATACACTACACCCTATGTAGCTATTACACTACACTATACACTACATCCTATATGTTTATTAACATTGTACATTTTTGTAACGACTGAGCACCAACGGGGTGGATGGCTGCAGTAAAAGATGAAGAACCCCTGCCCCTATGGACCACCTGGACCAGTGTACGAACTCTTGTTTTTGTGTTTTACCAGGTGTAAGGCCCCACCTTCTCAGCTACTACGAAGTGTGTTGCAGTGTAGTGCATAGTGTAGTGCATAGTGTAGTGTATAGTGTAGTGTATTACAGTATCGTGTCTTACTGTCTAGTGTAGCGTATAGCAGTGTAGTGTATAGTGTAGTGTATCATAGTATCGTGTATAGTGTAGTATATAGTGTAGTGTATTATAGTATCGTGTGTAGTGTATAGTGTAGTGTATTATAGTATCGTGTATATTGTAGTCTATTACAGTATCGTGTCTTACTGTCTAGTGTAGCATATAGCAGTGTAGTGCATAGTGTAGTGTATAGTGTAGTGTATTATAGTATCGTGTATAGTGTAGTGTATAGTGTAGTATAGTATCGTGTATTATTATCTACTGTAGTTTATTGCAGTGTAGTGTATTGTAGTGTAGTGTATAGTGTAGTGTATTATAGAATTGTGTATTATTTTCTTGTGTTGTGTATTGTAGTGTATAATGTAGTGTAGTCTAGTGTGTTGTGTAAAGTGTAGTGTAGTATGTTGTGTATTTCATAGTGTAGTGTAGTATGTTGTGTATTTCATAGTGTAGTGTAGTATGTTGTGTATTTCATAGTGTAGTGTAGTATGTTGTGTATTTCATAATGTAGTGTATAGTGTAGTGTAGTATGTTGTGTAGTTCATAGTGTAGTGTATAGTGTAGTGTAGTATGTTGTGTAGTGTAGAGTATAGTGTAGTGTATAGTAGTGTAGAGTATAGTGTAGTGTATAGTAGTGTAGTGTATAGTGTAGTGTATAGTAGTGTAGTGTATAGTGTAGTGTATAGTGTAGTGTATAGTGTAGAGTATAGTGTAGTGTATAGTAGTGTAGTGTATAGTGTAGTGTATACAGCATCTGAGAGCACGCGTTGTGTGGTCAGTGACGCTGGCTCTGTTACCCCCCCCCTACCCCTGCGCCAGTCCCTCCCCAGCGTCCCGTGATCTTGGAGCACGTGGGGAGCGACTCCGTGACCTGGGTCGCCGGGGTCGAGGTCACGCTCACCTGCACGGCCACGGATGCCAAGCCACATGCACAGGTGCAGTGGCTGAGAGGTGAGCGTGGAGAGGGGGTGGGGTGGGCCATGTAGCCCGCGTGCCCAGCCACCGCATGCCGAAACAGCTTTTGTTCGGCCGGATGGAGGGGGGGCTTAACACGGGCTAGAGAAGAGATGGAGTGACGTGGTACAGGAGGACGTGGAGCCGAGTGGACTTGCCGATGACTGGTACCGGCGGTGTCAAGATCGGCCTCTGTGGAGGAGGCTCGTGAAGGACGCTGCTACTGGGCAGTTGGAGGCAGTCGCCCTCCAGCAACAACGGAGAGGGGGGGGGGAGGAGCGACGCTCACAACAACGAGCGGAGCGCCGGGCGTCTAAAGCGCAGCGAGTTGGCACAGTAGGGGGGCACAAGTGGTGCATCAGCCAGTCATCTCAGTCAGTCGACCCGTGGCACCTGGGTCTGCCCAGTGACCTCCTGCCAGCGGGCGTTCGACACTACACGTGGCCTCAACGTGCACCTAGCCTGGCACAAGCGTCGTGGTGATGTCACCGCCACTGAGTGGCGAATGGTGGTTGTTGTGGTTGGTGGGGGTGAGGTGAGGTGGGGTGGAGCGGTGGTGCAGCGGTTAGCGCTACGCTGCGCTACGAACCCGGCTTCCCGAGTTCGATTCTAGCTCGCAGCCACCATCGGTGACGGATGTCTGAACCGGTCCTGGGCCTCCCCTAGGTCGACTCAGCCTCAAATGAGTACCTGGTGCAGTGTGTAAACATCGCCACTCGGGATACAAAGGCGGTCAGGCGTGGTGCTGGCCACCCACCCCCCCTCGTGCATTGTGCCGGCCTTCATAGGCGCTCGCTAACTGTACTTGCCCCAACAGTCTGTTAAGGCTATACGGATTGTATGTGTATGTATGTGTATAAGTATTGTTGTATGTGTATTGTATGTGTGTGTATGTGTATTGTATGTGTGTGTGTATAAGTATTGTATGTGTGTGTGTATAAGTATTGTATGTGTATATATAAGTATTGTGTGTGTATATATAAGTATTGTGTGTGTGTGTATATATAAGTATTGTACGTATGTGTGTGTATATATAAGTATTGTACGTATGTGTGTGTATATATAAGTATTGTACGTGTGTGTGTGTATATATAAGTATTGTGTGTGTGTGTATATATAAGTATTGTGTGTGTGTGTATATATAAGTATTGTACGTGTGTGTGTATATATAAGTATTGTACGTGTGTGTGTATATATGAGTATTGTACGTATGTGTGTGTATATATAAGTATTGTGTGTGTGTGTATATATAAGTATTGTGTGTGTGTGTATATATAAGTATTGTGTGTGTGTATATATATAAGTATTGTGTGTGTGTATATATAAGTATTGTGTGTGTGTATATATAAGTATTGTACGTGTGTGTGTATATATAAGTATTGTACGTGTGTGTGTATATATATAAGTATTGTACGTGTGTGTGTATATATATAAGTATTGTACGTGTGTGTGTATATATAAGTATTGTACGTGTGTGTGTGTGTATATATAAGTATTGTGTGTGTATATATAAGTATTGTGTGTGTATATATAAGTATTGTGTGTGTATATATAAGTATTGTGTGTGTATATATAAGTATTGTGTGTGTATATATAAGTATTGTGTGTGTGTATATATGAGTATTGTACGTGTGTGTGTGTATATATAAGTATTGTACGTGTGTGTGTGTATATATAAGTATTGTACGTGTGTGTGTGTATATATAAGTATTGTACGTGTGTGTGTGTATATATAAGTATTGTACGTGTGTGTGTGTATATATAAGTATTGTACGTGTGTGTGTGTATATATAAGTATTGTACGTGTGTGTGTGTATATATAAGTATTGTACGTGTGTGTGTGTATATATAAGTATTGTACGTGTGTGTGTATATATAAGTATTGTACGTGTGTGTGTATATATAAGTATTGTACGTGTGTGTGTATATATAAGTATTGTACGTGTGTGTGTATATATAAGTATTGTACGTGTGTGTGTATATATAAGTATTGTACGTGTGTGTGTATATATATAAGTATTGTACGTGTGTGTGTATATATATAAGTATTGTACGTGTGTGTGTATATATATAAGTATTGTGTGTGTGTGTGTATATATAAGTATTGTGTGTGTGTGTATATATAAGCATTGTGTGTGTGTGTATATATAAGTATTGTGTGTATGTATGTATATATAAGTATTGTGTGTGTGTATATATATAAGTATTGTGTGTGTGTGTATATATATAAGTATTGTGTGTGTGTATATATATAAGTATTGTGTGTGTGTATATATATAAGTATTGTGTGTGTGTGTGTATATATATAAGTATTGTGTGTGTGTATATATAAGTATTGTGTGTGTGTGTATATAAGTATTGTGTGTGTGTGTGTATATATAATATTGTGTGTGTGTGTATATATAAGTAGTGTGTGTGTGTGTATATATAAGTATTGTGTGTGTGTGTATATATAAGTATTGTGTGCGTGTATATATAAGTATTGTGTGCGTGTATATATAAGTATTGTGTGCGTGTATATATAAGTATTGTGTGCGTGTGTGTATATATATAAGTATTGTGTGCGTGTGTGTATATATAAGTATTGTGTGCGTGTGTGTGTATATATACGTATTGTGTGCGTGTGTGTATATATATACGTATTGTGTGCGTGTGTGTGTATATATACGTATTGTGTGCGTGTGTGTGTGTATATATACGTATTGTGTGCGTGTGCGTGTGTATATATACGTATTGTGTGCGTGTGTGTGTGTATATATAAGTATTGTGTGCGTGTGTGTGTGTATATATAAGTATTGTGTGCGTGTGTGTGTGTATATATAAGTATTGTGTGCGTGTGTGTGTATATATATACGTATTGTGTGCGTGTGTGTGTATATATATAAGTATTGTGTGCGTGTGTGTGTATATATATAAGTATTGTGCGCGTGTGTGTATATATATAAGTATTGTGCGTGTGTGTGTATATATATAAGTATTGTACGTGTGTGTATATGAGTATTGTACGTGTGTGTGTCCCAGGGGAGGAACCACTGCCCGGTGTGGAGGTCTCCGTGTCCGAGGGGTCACAGCCCAGGCTCTTCGACTCGGTCGCAATCCTCCGGTGAGCCATGCTGAGCCACACCGTTCCACGGGGAGTGAGCAGTCCGAGTACAGGGACTCCTCTGCTTACGAACGGATTAGGTTCCAGGGGGTCTGTTCGTAAGTCGAATGTTCGACTCCAAAAACTTAATACGGCATGTACACTAAACACGGGAAATGGCTTTAAAAGTTGTATAATATCGCGTAGGCGTAGATGCCACTGGTTCTTAATGTTCCGCAGATGTAGATGCACCGGTTCTTCACGTTCTATAGATGTAGATTTCATCCGGTTCTTCATGTTTTACAGATGTAGATGCCACTGGTTCTTCACGTTCTGCAGATGTAGATGCCACTGGTTCTTCACATTCTGCAGATGTATATGCCACTGGTTCTTCACGTTCTGCAGATGTAGATGCCATTGGTTCTTCACGTTCTGCAGATGTAGATGCCACTGGTTCTTCACGTTCTACAGAAGTAAATACCACTGGTTCATCATGTTCTGCAGATGTAGATGCCACTGGTTCTTCACGTACTGCAGTTGTATATGCCACTGGTTCTTCACATTCTGCAGATGTAGATGCCACTGGTTCTTCACGTTCTGCAGATGTAGATGCCACTGGTTCTTCACGTTCTACAGAAGTAAATACCACTGGTTCATCATGTTCTGCAGATGTAGATGCCACTGGTTCTTCACCTTCTGCAGATGTAGATGCCACTGGTTCTTCACGTTCTGCAGAAGTAAATACCACTGGTTCATCATGTTCTGCAGATGTAGATGCCACTGGTTCTTCACCTTCTGCAGATGTAGATGCCACTGGTTCTTCACATTCTGCAGATGTAGATGCCACTGGTTCTTCACGTTCTGCAGATGTAGATGCCACTGGTTCTTCACGTTCTGCAGATGTAGATGCCACCACCTCCATCTATTGCGCAGCGGGTGAACTTATGACTCTCGGTCCGAATATGCAACTGGACATACGGACAGATTTGTTGGGATCTCTGAATGTTCGTAAGTCGAATGTACATAAGTAGAGGAGTCCCTGTACTCAGCCGAAGCTCCTGTGATGACACCCACCACTGAGAAAGACAAAAATCGGGATCGATGATGATGGCAACGATTACGTTGATGATGATGACAGTAACATCGTTACAATAATAAAATGACAATGATGATGTTAACGCTTATATTGATGATGATCGTAACATCGTTATGATAATGATGATTATGATGATGACTATAATGACAGTGATTACGACGATGATGATGGCAACGATTACATTGACGATGATGGTAACATCTTTACAATAAAAACAATGATGACGGTGATGATAATAACAAGATCAATGAAGAAGATGATGATGATGTTGCTGATAATGACGAATAAAGACACCGATGACCATGGCGATGGCGGCCATGGCGACGGCGACCATGGCGACGGCGGCCATTGCGATGGCGGCCATGGCCATTTGACGATGGCGGCCATGACGATGGCGGCCATGACGACCGTGGCCGTGGCGACGCTGATGGACGGTGCTGGCCGTGTCCAGGTTTGTGCCTAAGGCGACGGACAACGGAGTGTCGTTCTCCTGCTCGGCGGTCAACACGGCTCTGGACGCGCCCCGCGTCACCTCGCTACGTGCCAACGTGCACTGTGAGTCACCCCACCCCCGCGATTGAACAGGGGAGAGAGTGAACAGGGGAGAGAGTGAACAGGGGAGAGAGTGAACAAGGGAGAGAGTGAACAAGGGAGAGAGTGAACAAGGGGGAGAGTGAACAAGGGGGAGAGTGAACAAGGGGGAGAGAGAGTGAACAAGGGGGAGAGAGAGTGAACAAGGGGGAGAGAGAGTGAACAAGGGGGAGAGTGAACAAGGGGGAGAGTGAACAAGGGAGAGAATGAGTGAGTGAACCGGGGAGGGAGAGAGTGAACAGGGGAGAGAGTGAACAGGGGAGAGAGTGAACAGGGGAGAGAGTGAACAGGGGAGAGAGTGAACAGGGGAGAGAGTGAACAGGGGGGAGAGTGAACAAGGGAGAGAATGAGTGAGTGAACAGGGGAGGGAGAGAGTGAACAGGGGAGGGAGAGAGTGAACAGGGGAGAGAGTGAACAAGGGAGAGAGTGAACAGGGGAGAGAGTGAACAAGGGAGAGAGTGAACAAGGGGAGAGTGAACAAGGGAGAGAGTGAACAACGGAGAGAGTGAACAAGGGGGAGAGTGAACAGGTGAACAGGGGAGAGAGTGAACAAGGGGGACAGTGAACAAGGGGGAGAGTGAACAAGTGAACAGGGGAGAGAGTGAACAGGGGGGAGAGTGAACAAGGGGGAGAGTGAACAAGGGAGAGAATGAGTGAGTGAACAGGGGAGGGAGAGAGTGAACAAGGGGGAGAGTGAACAAGGGGGAGAGTGAACAAGGGGGAGAGTGAACAAGGGGTAGAGTGAACAAGGGGGAGAGTGAACAAGGGGGAGAGTGAACAAGGGGGAGAGTGAACAAGGGGGAGAGTGAACAAGGGGGAGAGTGAACAAGGGGGAGAGTGAACAAGGGGGGGAGGGAGAGAGTGAACAGGGGAGGGAGAGAGTGAACAGGGGAGGGAGAGAGTGAACAGGGGAGAGAGTGAACAAGGGAGTGAGTGAACAGGGGAGAGAGAGTGAACAGGTGAGGAGTGTACAGGTGAGGAGTGTACAGGTGAGCTGACCTCTCCGTCGACTCTTGCCCGGCAGTCCCCCCGGGCCCGCCCTGGGTGGAGGGGTTGGAGGGTCGCCCGCTGAGGGAGGGCGACGGCCTGAACCTACGGTGCCAGTCTCAGGGGGGCAACCCCCTTGCCACCCTGCAGTGGAGCAAGGTGAGCATGCTCACCACTCGCCACGGCTGCTCACCACTGCTACACTCACCACTACTCGCCGCTACACTCGCTGCTGCACTCGCCACTGCACTCGCGATCACTACACTCAACACTGCACTCACCGCTACACGTGCCACTCTCGCCGCCGCTGCACCCGCTACTACTCGCCACGGACTCGCCACCGCTGCACCCAACGCTCGACCCTCACCGCCATCCTCACCACCGTTCGCCGCCGCGTGCACGGGCGTCGGGGTGAGCAGGGCGAGGAGGTGCTGCTCACCACGTGGGAGAGCGACGATGTGGCGCTGCCCCCGCTGTCGCGCAGCGTCCTCGCCCTCGCCCTGCGGCCCGAGCACAACCTCGTCACGCTCACCTGCGAGGCCACCAACCTCGTCGCGCCAGCTCCCATGACCGCCACCGTCACCCTGCGCGTGCTCTGTGAGTCCGCGCAAGCCGCGTCGGGCCCCGTCGCCTCGTCGCCACACCGCGTAACCTCGTCGCCACACCGCGTAACCTCGTCGCCACACCGCGTAACCTCGTCAGCTCGTTTGACTACCTCGTCACTTCACCTCGAACCTCACCTCGTCTGGCCACCCTTGCCGCCTCGCCTCTTCGCCTCGTCTGAACACCTCCGCTGTCAGCCGGGGTCTCTGGGGAGGTCTGGACCGCGTACCCAAAGCAGCCATTGCAGCTGCGTGAGTCACAGTCCCAAACCTCCCCCATTTACCCTCGACGTCAGGAGGAGTCGGGGATGATGCCAATCCCAGCCGCAAGCGATGATGAAATTCTCGCTTGGAACTTTCATCAGCTAACTGAGACCAGGCCACTTTAGGTTGAAATGGGGTCCTGGGTGTACACCCATCACCGGAGCGGAAGAATGGCAGGCGCATCTTACAGATGATTTGTCGATGGTCAGAGGGCAGATCAGCTCCACGGTACGTCCTGGTGTCAAGGACATGGGCCCCCATCCGCTGTTCTGCTACTATGTAGTCCAGCAGATGTTTTTGCTTGGGCCCGGCGTGCATGCATGATGTTGTGTGGATGTTCCGATGCCGGAACAGCGTGTTAGTAATTACAAGGCCATGGACTGCACAGAAGTCTAGCAGCCTCCTACCCTTGTTATTGAACTGATCTGGCCCATGCCTTCCAATCACTCCAGACCAGGTGCCAGCATCATGACCAACTTGGGCATTGAAGTTACCCAAAAGGATCCCGAGGGGCCACTTTAGCTAGCACCTGTGACAGGAGTTCATAGAAGGCATCTAACTCATCGACCTTTCCTGCATCCCTCCACTGATGTTAATCTTCGGTGGGGGTATAAATAACCACGACCACCACTCCTCGCATCTGGTTGATGGGAAGGTGAGCCCAAAGTAGCCTGGGGCTTACAGCTTCCCACACCTCACCGCCAGGAGCCAGAGCCGGTTCACCGGACCTCCTGAACACCACAGAGATCCAAGCGGTACCGGTCCAGCTTCTGACAGAGGAGTGGCAGCCTCTCCTCCACAGTGAGCATTGCACGCCGCCACCCGTAGTGGATTTTTGCTGTTTCTGGAGGAACCCCGAGGGGAAAAATTCAATCTCCTGGGTCCGCCAAATGGGGTTCGGCCAGGAGACGTCACGGACGCCTGGCCCCCCGGGGCCTCCGGCACAAGCTTATTGATATTTGTTTCGTGGTTTTGTGGTAATGAATTGAAGGTGGAGGGATTACCAGCCACTCGCACCCGTCTAGAGCCCCGTTTAGCCGCTGTGGTGGCTACAAACGCCATGAGGGGAATGGCAAATCTAAATAGGCCCTGCCCCCCACGGCACTGCCCATCACAGCGTTACCGTCCGGCACCAACGAGGAGGTAGAGGTTGTTCTGCCACACACACACAGACACACACCTACACGCACACCTACACACACACAGACACACACCTACACGCACACGCACACACACAGACACACACCTACAACAACAACAACCGCCATTCGCCACTAAGTGGCGGTGACGTCACCACGACGCTTGTGCCAGGCTATGTGCACCCTGAGGCGACGTGAAGTGTCGAACGCCCGCTGGCAGGAGGTCACAGGGCAGACCCAGGTGCCACGGGTCGACTGACTGAGATGACTGGCTGATGCACCACTTGTGCCCCCCTACTGTGCCAACTCGCTGTGCTTTAGCCACCCGGCGCTCCGTTCGTTGTTGTGAGCGTCGCTCCTCCGCCCTCCGTTGTTGTTGGAGGGCGACTACCTCCAACTGCCCAGTAGCGTCCTTCACGAGCCTCCTCCACAGAGGCCAATCTTGACACCGCTGGTACCAGTCATCGGCAAGTCCACTCAGCTCCACGTCCTCCTGTACCACATCACTCCATCTCTTCTCTAGCCCGTGCCGTGCCCGCTTAGCCCCCTCAATCCGGCCAAACAAAAGCTGTTTCGGCATGCGGTGGCTGGGCATGCGGGTTACATGACCCAGCCATCACAGCCTTCCCCGCCGGAGGAGCTCACCGATGGGCCCTTGCCCCGATCTTTCACGGATTTGTGAGCTCCTCACACAATCCAGTCTGGTTAAACCCAGGATGGATCGTAGGCAGGCCAGCCTAAATGTTTCTAACCGGCGAAGATGTTCCATTAGGGGGGTCCACGTTTCGCAAGCGTAGAAAAGGGAGGAAATGACCGTGGCCGAGAAGACCTGAAGCTTAGTGCGGAGCGACAGACCAGGTAGCTTCCACACAGCGTTACGCAACCGATGAAAAGATATTGCCGCTCGACTGATTCGGAGTGAGACCTCTGCTGTTAAACCGGAGCCAGTCATAAGCACACTGCCCAGGTATGGGAAACTCTCCACTCTCTCCACAACTGCCCCATCACCGATTGGGAGTTGTGGGGGTGGAGTGTCCGATGGTACAAAATACCCAGGCAGGTGCTTGGTTTTGGTGGGGCTGATGGTAAGGCCCCACCTCTTAGTGGCACGCTCCAGTCTCAGCAGCAGCGTCTCCAACTCCTCCTCTGAATGAGCAGCTATTACCAAATCATTAGCATACATAACGTGGTTGAGCAATAGGGAGCCATCCCTTGACCGCACCCGGGCGTCGATCAGCCTCTCATTATATCTGTACCATATGGAGATTCCCCCGGTACAGCTATTGAAGGCTTCACGGACTACGTGGTCAAAATAGATGTTAAATAATGTGGGAGCCAGAGGATATCCCTATCGCACCCCAAGATGTACAGGGAATGGCTCGGACTCCCGGCCACGTAGTTTTACACGGGCCCGCTCACCATCATGAAGGTCCTTAATGCCGGGACCTTTCCCGGCACACTGAGGAGTGAAATGCCCCTGTAGTTGTTAGTCTGTGCGGTCCCCCTTCTTAAAGAGGGGGACCACCAAGGCATCCTTCCAATCCTGCGGAACCCGTCCAGTGGTCCAGACTGTTGTTATGATGTCATATAGGGCAGTCTGTGCACAAACTCCACCCTCCCTCAGTATTTCGCTTGGGAGATCATCTCTGCCCGCTGCCTTTCCTGGTCTCAGACTCTGGATCCCCCTCAGTACTTCCTCAACAGATGGCACCTCAGCCAGCCACTCACAGAGGGTGACTTCTTCCAATATTTGAGGCACCGCAGCCTCAGCAGGGTCATCCTCACTTTGTGCCACGATGTTTTCCTGGCTGAGGGATTTTCCCTCCCCCAGGACCTCACATAAATGCTCAGCAAATCTGCAAACCTGTTCCTGGGGGTCGGAGATTGGATCACCGTTTTTGCCCCTAATGCTGGTAATAGGTGTGGCGCTGCAGGTTACTTTTTTGATGGAGTTAAATACACCTACAAACACACGCAGACCCACACCTACACGCACACCTACACACACCTACACACACGCAACGTGTCAACGGTGAGATATGTTGGCTGCGTCGTCTTCCTCCTCTTCCTCCTCTTCCTCTTCTTTGTCCTTTTCTTCTTCCTCTTCTTCCTCCTATTCTTCCTCCTATTCTTCCTCTTCTTCTTCCTCTTCCTCCTATTCTTCCTCCTCTTCCCGTCTTTCTCTTATTCCTCCTCCTCCACTTCCTCTTCTTCCTCCTCTTCCTCTTCTTCCTCCTCTTCCACCTCTTCCACCTCTTCCTCCTCTTCCTCTTCTTCCTCCTCTTCCTCCTATTCTTCCTCTTCTTCCCGTCTTTCTCTTATTCCTCCTCCTCTTCTTCCTCCTCTTCCTCCCCTTCCTCCTCGTCAGTCGGGCCCGCGGAGGTGACGCTGCTGGGCTTCGCCGAGGGCTCCGGCTTGGTGGAGGGCCAGGCGCTGTCGGTGGCCTGCGTCGCCTCCGCCAGCAACCCCCCGCCCACCATCCGCTGGTGGGCGGGGGGGCGCCAGCTCCAGGCCGACAACGACACCACCTACGAGGAGGTGAGGGGTGGTGGGGGGGGTAGTGGGTGGGTGGGGTACACGGTAGGTGGGTGGGTGGGGTACACGGTAGGTGGGTGGGTGGGGTACACGGTAGGTGGGTGGGTGGGTGAGTGGGCTACACGGTGTATTGAGTCGTCTCCACCATGACCCCCTTACAGTCAGCTGTACATGTGTCACGCACCACCTCCGCTTAGTGCCGCCCATTGCCCCATCCCCCCCGCCCCCCTACCCCCCCTCGCCCCCCTACCCCCCCCTCGCCCCCCTACCCCCCCTCGCCCCCCTACCCCCCCTCGCCCCCCTACCCCCCCTCGCCCACTTACCCCCCGTCCGTGCCCACAGGGCCCCAACGGGGGCCACGTGACGGTGAGCAACCTGACGTACACGGTGACGCGCGAGCAGAACGGCATGACCCTGACGTGCGAGGCGGCCAACGAGGCGCTCTTCACCACGCGCTCCGCCACCAGGGTCGTCAAGGTCTACTGTGAGTCGCCAGCCGGCTAGCCAGCTACCCGGCTAGCCAACTACCCAGATAGCCGGCTATCCAGCCAGCCAGCTACCCAGCTTCCCAGCTAGCTTACCCAGCTTCCCAGCCAGCTACCCAGCAGGCTACCCAGCCAGCTACCCAGCCAGCTACCCAGCCAGCTTCCCAGCTAGCTACCCAGCCAGCTACCCAGCTACCCGGCTAGCCAGCTACCCGGCTAGCCAGCTACCCGGCTAGCCAGCTACCCGGCTAGCCAGCTACCCGGCTAGCCAGCTATCAAGCTACCCAGCCAGCTAGCTACCCAGCTACCCAACTACCAAGCTACCCAGCTAGCCAGCTACCCAGCTAGCCAGCTACCCAGCTACCCAACTACCAAGCTACCCGGCTAGCCAGCTACCCGGCTAGCCAGCTACCCGGCTAGCCAGCTACCAGGCTAGCCAGCTACCAGGCTAGCCAGCTACCCGGCTAGCCAGCTACCCGGCTAGCCAGCTACCCGGCTACCCAGATATACAGCTACCCGGCTAGCCAGCTACCCGGCTAGCCAGCTACCTGGCTAGCCAGCTATCAAGCTACCCAGCCAGCTAGCTACCCAGCTACCCAACTACCAAGCTACCCGGCTAGCCAGCTAGCCAGCTACCCAGCTAGCCAGCTAGCCAGCTACCCAACTACCAAGCTACCCGGCTAGCCAGCTACCCGGCTAGCCAGCTACCCGGCTAGCCAGCTACCCGGCTTGCCAGCTACCAGGCTAGCCAGCTACCCGGCTAGCCAGCTACCCGGCTAGCCAGCTACCCGGCTAGCCAGCTACCCGGCTACCCAGATATACAGCTACCCGGCTAGCCAGCTACCCGGCTAGCCAGCTACCCGGCTACCCAGCTAGCCGGCTACCCAGCTAGCCGGCTACCCAGCTAGCCGGCTACCCAGCTACCCAGCTACCCAGCCAGCCAGCTAGCCGGCTACCCAGCTAGCCAGCTACCCAGCTACCCAGCTAGCCAGCTAGCCGGCTACCCAGTTACCCAGTTACCCAGCCACCCAGCTATCCGGCTACCCAGCTACCCAGCTAGCCGGCTACCCAGCTACCCAGCCAGCCAGCTACCCAACTACCCAGCTACCCAGCCAGCCAGCCAGCTACCCAGCTACCCAGCTGGCTGGCTACCCGGCTACCCGGCTACCCAGCTACCCAGCTACCCAGCCAGCCAGCTAGCCGGCTACCCAGCTAGCCGGCTACCCAGCTAGCTGGCTACTCAGCTACCCAGCTACCCAGCTACCCGGCCAGCCAGCTAGCCGGCTAGCCAGCTACCCATCTAGCCGGCTACCCAGCTAGCCGGCTACCCAGCTACCCAGCCACCCAGTTACCCAGCCAGCCAGCTACCCGGCTACCCGGCTACCCGGCTACCCAGCTACCCAGCCAGCCAGCTACCCAGCTACCCAGCTACCCAGTTACCCAGCCAGCCAGCTACCCAGTTACCCAGCCAGCCAGCTACCCAGCTACCCAGCTAGCCCCCTCATGTGCCATGCCGGCCTTCATAGGCGCTGCTACTTGCTAACTGCACTTGCCCCAAACGTATGCTAAGGCTACACCGGGCACATTTATCTTGCGTGTTGTGTGGGGTATCTGGGGTGTGGTGGGTTATTATGTGCGTGATGTGTGTGGTATGTGTGGTGTGTGTCTGTGTGTGGTGTGTCTGTGTGTGGTGTGTCTGTGTGTGTGTGGTGTGTGTGTGTGTGGTGTGTGTGTGTGGGTGTGTGTGGGTGTGTGTGTGGTGGTGGGTGTGTGTGTGTGTGTGTGGTGGTGTGTGTGGTGTGTGTGGTATGTGTGGTATGTGTGTGTGGTGTGTGTGCGGTGTGTGTGGTGTGTGTGGTGTGTGTGCGGTGTGTGTGGTGTGTGTGGTGTGTGTGGTGTGTGATGTGTGTGGTGTGATGTGGGTGTGTGGTGTATGTGCGTGATGTGTGTGTGGTGTGTGTGTGGTGTGTGTGGTGTGTGTGGTGTGTGTGTGTGGTGTGTGTGGTGTGTGTGGTGTGTGTGATGTGTGTGGTGTGTGTGATGTGTGTGGTGTGTGTGATGTGTGTGGTGTGTGTGATGTGTGTGGTGTGTGTGATGTGTGTGTGGTGTGTGTGTGTGTGTGTGATGTGTGTGTGGTGTGTGTGTGTGTGCGGTGTGTGTGTGTGCGCGGTGTGTGTGGTGTGTGTGGTGTGTGTGGTGTGTGTGGTGTGTGTGTGTGGTGTCTGTGTATGTGGTGTGTGTTGTGTGTGTGTGGTGTGTGTGGTGTGTGTGGTGTGTGTGTGGTGTATGTGGTGTGTGTGTGGTGTGTGGTGTGTGTGTGTGGTGTATGTGGTGTGTGTGATGTGTGTGTGTGATGTGTGTGGTGTGATGTGTGTGGTGTGTGTGGTGTGTGTGTGTGTGGTGTAGACCGGCCGGAGCGGGTGTGGATCGAGGGCTACGAGGAGGGCCGCGTGGTGCCCGCTGGCACCGTGCTGCGCATCACGTGCTACGCCAGCGGGGGCCACCCTCCCGCCACCCTCCTGTGGACCAAGGTGTCCACCACGCGTCCACCACGCGTCCACCACGCGTCCACCACTCGTCTACCGCTCGTCTATCGCTCATTCACCACTCATTCGCCGCTCGTTCGCCGCACGTCCACCGCTCGTTCACCGCTCGCTCATCCACCACGCGTCCACCGCTCGTCCACCGCTCGTCTACCGCTCATTCACCACACTTCTACCACGCGTTCACTGCTCGTTCACCACATGTCCACCACACGTCCACCACGCGCCCTCCAATCATCTACCGCTCGTTCACCGCTCGCTCGTCCACCACTCGCTCATCCACCACGCGTCCACCGCACATCCACCATGCGCCCCCACCGCTCGTTCACCGCACGTCCACCGCATGTCCACCACACGTCCACCAATCCTTCACACTTTCACCACGCGTCCCCCGCTCATTCACCACACGTGCACCACACCACACATGACACACACGTGACAACACGACACACTTGCCCTAACGGCCTGTTAGGGCTACACCGTGGTGATGGTTGGTGATGGCTGGTGATGGTTGGTGGTGATGGTAGGTGGTGGTGGTTAGTGATGGTGATGGTTGGTGGTGGTAGTGGTTGGTGGTGGTAGGTGGTGGTAGTGGTTGGTGATGGTGGGTGGTGAGTGGGTGGCGGTGATGGTTGGTGGTCACCGGTGGATGATGGTCGTTGGTGGGTGATTGCGATGGGCGGTGGTCGGCGGTGACAGCGGTGACGGTGGGTCGGTGGTGATGATTGCCGGCTAGCGATGGTCCGTTGGTGGGTGATTGCGATGGGCGCTGGTCGGCGGTGACGGTGGGTCGGTGGTGATGATTGCCGGCGGCTAGCGATGGTCGTTGGTGTGTGATTGCGATGGGCGGTGGTCCGCGGTGGTCCGCGGTGACGGTGGTGACGCTGGTGATGATTGCCGGCTAGCGATGGTTGTCTCCGTCATGGTCGTCTCTCTCGCGCACACCCCACAGGGCCCGTCGGTGGTGAGGGGCGGTGAATACCGCAGTACGGGTAGCCTGGCGTCGCGCGAGATATCCGTGGTGGCTGCACCCAGCGACAACGGAGCCCTCTACAGCTGCCTGGCCTCCAACAAAGCGTCGAGCAACAGCGGGGCGCTACGCAACACCACGCGACTCCACGTGCACTGTTGAGTTTTAGTTTTGACAACCTCGGTGGTGGTGGTGGTGGTAGCTTTAGTAGGAGCTTGCAGCAGTAAGGAGTAACAGCCAGGGGGGCTGCCCATTGAACCGATATTATCCGTAACCAAAAGTGGCTGTCGTTGGGTTTAGATACCATAAAAATGTACAGTGACGGGAAAAAAGTATTTGATCCCCTGCTGATTTTGTGCGTTTGCCCACTGACAAAGAAATGATCAGTCTATGATTTTAATGGTAGGTTTATTTGAACAGTGAGAGACAGAATAACAACAACAAAAATCCAGAAAAACGCATGTCAAAAATTTTATAAATTGATTTGCATTTTAAGGAGGGAAATAAGTATTTGACCCCCCTCTCAATCAGAAAGATGTCTGGCTCCCAGGTGTCTTTTATACAGGTAACGAGCTGAGATTAGGAGCACACTCTTAAAGGGAGTGCTCCTAATCTCAGCTTGTTACATATATAAAAGACACCTGTCCACAGAAGCAATCAATCAGATTCCAAACTCTCCACCATGGCCAAGACCAAAGAGCTCTCCAAGGATGTCAGGGACAAGATTGTAGACCTACACAAGGCTGGCATGGGCTACAAGACCATTGCCAAGCAGCTTGGTGAGAAGGTGACAACAGTTGGTGCGATTATTCACAAATTAAAGAAACACAAAAGAACTGTCAATCTCCCTCGGCCTGAGGCTCCATGCAAGATCTCACCTCGTGGAGTTGCAATGATCATGAACGGTGAGGAATCAGCCCAGAACTACACGGGAGGATCTAGTCAATGATCTCAAGGCAGCTGGAATCTACATCTGCAGAACGTGAAGAACCAGTGGCATCTACATCTGCAGAACGTGAAGAACCAGTGGCATCTACATCTGCAGAACGTGAACAACCAGTGGCATCTACATCTGCAGAACGTGACGAACCAGTGGCATCTACATCTGCAGAACGTGAAGATCCAGTGGCATCTACATCTGCAGAACGTGAACAACCAGTGGCATCTACATCTGCAGAACCAGTGACATCTACATCTGCAGAACGTGAACAACCAGTGGCATCTACATTTGCAGAGCATGAAGAACTAGTGGCATCTACATCTGCAGAACGTGAAGATCCAGTGGCATCTACATCTGCAGAACGTGAACAACCAGTGGCATCTACATCTGCAGAACCAGTGACATCTACATCTGCAGAACGTGAACAACCAGTGGCATCTACATTTGCAGAGCATGAAGAACTAGTGGCATCTACATCTGCAGAACGTGAAGAACCAGTGGCATCTACATTTGCCGAGCATGAAGAACCAGTGGCATCTACATCTGCAGAACGTGAAGAGCCTGCAGGATGAATCCGATGAGCTATTAAGCTCTTTTACTCACAGATGTCCAGATGCTCGCTGTCACCGTTGCTGTTATTGTTAGTTGTCGGGAGTGGGAATTGAACTCGGGTCGATGCGGTGGATGGGGGTTTATAGCACAGAACACTCACCTCTGCACCATCGCTCCTAAGATAAAGCTTCCCCCGCAATAGCCTAAACAGACTGTTGGGGCAAGTGCTGTTAGCAAGTGCCTATGAAGGCTACCGGCACTGTGGCACACGAGGAGGTGGGTGGCCAGCATCACCCCCGGCCGCCTTTGTCTCCCCAAGTGGCGATGTTTACTACACACCGTACCAGGTACTCGTTTGAGGCTTAGTCGACCTAGGGGAGGAAACAGTTCAGATAATCGTCATTGGCGTTGGCTGTGAGCAGGACGCTAACCGCTGCCCCACCGCTCCACACACACAAAGATCCCCAGTATCGCCTTTCGCAGACTGGGGTTGAGTGAACAGCAGACTGTTAAAGTATTTGGGTAACAAGTGGGTGGGTGGGTGAGTGCGGTGAATGGATGGGTCTGTAGGTGGGTGAGTGGATGGGTCAGTGGGTGGGTGAGTGGGTAGGCGCATTGGTGATTGGATGGGTCTGTGGGTGGGTGAGTGGGTTTGTGGATGGGTCAGTAGCTGGGTGAGTGGATGGGTCAGTAGCTGGGTGAGTGGATGGGTCAGTAGGTGGGTGAGTGGATGGGTCGGTGGGTGAGGGTGTGGGTGAGTGGATGGGTCGGTTGGTGGATGAGTGGGCGGGTGGGTGAGTGGGTGAGTGGATGGGTCAGTGGGTGGGTGAGTGGATGGGTCGGTGGGTGAGTGTGTGGGTGAGTGGATGGGTCGGTGGGCGGGGTGAGTGGATGGGTCGGTGGGTGAGTGTGTGGGTGAGTGGATGGGTCGGTGGGCGGGGTGAGTGGATGGGTCGGTGGGTGACTGTGTGGGTGAGTGGATGCGTCGGTTGTTGGATGAGTGGGCGGGTGAGTGGATGGGTCGGTTGTTGGATGAGTGGGCGGGTGGGGGACTCGAGTGAATCAACCACTCTTGCTTCACTCTAAATTCACTCTGATTGGTGTACCGCCTTCACCGCCACTGCCACCACCACCACCTCCCTATCCGTTCGTCACCCCCCCCCCCTTCCGGGCGCGCAGTCCCTCCACGCTACGTGAAGGTCACGGAGGCCAAGGATGGCCCCATCCACGCGGGCACCACCATTACCTTCCTGTGCCAGTCGGCCAGCAGCCATCCGGCCTGCAGCCTCTCCTGGATCAAGGATGGGCAGCGGTGAGGCAAGGGCCTTCTAGGCCCCGTGGCACTTTTGTTTCCTAGGCCTTGAGCGATAACTCTCTACAGACGGTAACTGTTTTGTCGGTTCTTAGCGATAACTCTCTACAGCCGGTAACTGTTTTGTAGGTTCTTCAGCGATAACTCTCTACAGCCAGTAACTGCTTTGTAGATTCTTCAGCGATAACGCTCTACAGACGGTAACTGTATTGTAGGTTCTTAGCAATAACTCTCTACAGACTGTAAATGCGTTGTAGGTTCTTCAGAGATAACTCTCTACAGACGGTAACTGTATTGTAGGTTCTTCAGCGATAACTCTCTAAGTCTGTAACTGTTTTGTAGGTTCTTAGCGATAACTCTCTACAGACGGTAACTGTTTTGTAGGTTCTTAGCGATAACTCTCTACAGACGGTAACTGTTTTGTAGGTTCTTAGCGATAACTCTCTACAGACGGTAACTGTTTTGTAGGTTCTTAGCGATAATTCTCTACAGACGGTAACTGTTTTGTAGGTTCTTCAGCGATAACTCTCTATAGACTGTAAATAAGTTGTAGATTCTTCAGCGATAACTCTCTAAGTCTGTAACTGCTTTGTAGGTTCTTCAGCGATAACTCTCTACAGACGGTAACTGTTTCGTAGGCCTTCAGCGATAACTCTCTTCAGACGGTAACTGTTTTGTAGGTTCTAAGCGATAACTCTCTACAGACGGTAACTGTTTAGTAGGCCTTCAGCGATAACTCTCTTCAGACGGTAACTGTTTCCTAGGCCTTCAGCGATAACTCTCTACAGACGGTAACTGTATTGTAGGTTCTTCAGCGATAACTCTCTACAGACGGTAACTGTTTTGTAGGTTCTTAGCGATAACTCTCTATAGACTGTAAATAAGTTGTAGGTTCTTCAGAGATAACTCTCTACAGCCAGTAACTGTTTCGTAGCTACTTCAGCGATAACTCTCTACAGCCGGGTAAATGTTTCATAGTTTCTTCAGTGATAACTCTCTACAGCCGGTAACTGCTGCCCCATGTTACTTAGCTACTGCCGCTGCCACTCCGCTTGCGTCAATGCGGCCACTTTCGTTGGTGCTTTCACCAGTCGGAAGGGCCGGGTGAAGGTTCTCGTAGGCCCTAGGCACTTCTGTTTCATAGTATCTCTCTCTCTCTCCATCTCTCATCATCATCATCGTCTCTCTCTCTCACTGACCCCATCAAAAGGTGCACCATGCCCGGCCTACATTGGGTTGCTGCTCGCGAGCATCACTTTCCCGAGCGGCCTGTTAAGGGACCGTCCATAAATGATGTCACGCACCTGGGGGGGGAGGGGGTGGGTCAGACATTTGTGACGATGTGTGACGAAGGGGGGGGGGGGGGCGGGGGGGTTTGAGAATTGTGACGTCACATCAAAATGCACAACTTTATAAATAAATATAGACACAACACGTTCTGCTTAATTAAAGAGACTTTATATTAAATTTTTTCTCCTACAACATCAGAGTGCAGCGCCACATTAAATATGCAACTACAGTGACAATAGTTTAAAGCGATTTGAAGCATAAATTTTGATTTAAAGCTTTCGTGACTGCAGGGATTCATATTCTTGGTTATTTCGGTAAAGTCACCACCACGTAGAAGGGAAACAATAAAATAATAAAAATATAAAGCAATAAAATTCTCACGACCGTTTCGACTGCAACACAAGCATCAGGTGTGGTTTTCACACCTGATGATGATTGCTTGTGTTGCAGTCGAAACGTCGTGAGAATTTTACTGTTGTATATTTTTATTATTTTATTGTTTTATATTTTTATTATTTTATTGTTTCCCTTCTACGTGGTGGTGACTTTGCCGAAAGAACCAAGAATACTATTTGAAGCATTTTTTTTGGGGGGGGGGTGGGCAGAGCTTTGTGACGTCATATTTGAGGGGGGGCGGTCTGAATTTTTGTGACGCCGTGTGACGATGGGGGGGGGGGGGGGGTAAAGAATCGTCCAAAATCGCGTGACGTCATTTATGGACGGCCCCGCAAGCCTACACGGGTAGGGGATATTTCTCTTTGTGTGTGTGTGTGTGGACATCCGTGCAAAAGAGCTTGATGGCTCATCGGATTCCTCCGCTCGGAATAAATATTCCGATTCCGATATTTTGGCTCGCAGTAATGTAGAGATTTGCCTCCCCCCCCCCACCCACCCCCCTCTCATGTATGGGTATTGAGGATTCATCTTCTTTGGTTCTTTCGGTAAAGTCACCACGTGGAATGAGAATAAAATAATAAATTGATAAAATAAAATAACACAATGATATTCTCACGACGTTTCGGCCACAACACAAGCGGCCTTCATCAGGTGAAGGGACGAGACTGTCTGGTAGGACTTTACCGAAAGAACCAAAGAAGATGAATCCTTGCAGTCACGAAAGCTTTAAATCGAAAACTATTGAGGATTGTTAATCAATATGAATTGCATCGATTCTGCTTCAGACGCAAACAGTACTGGGGCCAAGCGTAATTTGCGGGTTTAATCGCTGCGTCGATGCATTGCCAATTGATCTGTGGATCGGGTAATGTGACACGTGCCCCTCCATTTGATTGGCTCATATCAGCGAGATCGGCGATTCCTGGATTGTGTAATCATTTGACACGCTCCCCCTTCATCTGAATGGCTAATATCAGCGAGATCGGCGATTCCAAAATTGAATAATAATTTGACATGCTCCCCCTCATTTGATTGGCTAATATCCGTCACAGCTGCCACTATTATTCAGTGGCCTAAAATAAGATAAAATGTTTCACTCCGAATGACGCTGCAAAGTATTATCTGTATTTTGATTTAGTGTGCTGATCTTAAAGGTGCATTGAAAAATGTTGATACTCCGACCGATGCCTCTGTTGTTGTGGAGTAACTCATGCAGCCGGCTATGGCTCTAGGGTTTGGTGTTACATGTTATTTATGTAGTTTATTGTAAAAAAAATCGGTCACAGTTCCAATGATCACTGTTACATTGCATTTATGGCTTTATTTTTTGGTGATTTCTAAAAGTTTTTTGGTTTTGGCCTAGTTTTTGTTTATTGTAGTACGGAGTTAGACTGATGGCTTTAATCTTAGTTGTCTTGTGGTTGTTGGTGTTATTTGACTTGCATCCCACTGGGATTTTTGCACGCAGCGTTGGTGTACGGTGCTATTTCAGGAATATTTTGATGTTTTTTTTCCCTGGATTTTCTGTTTGCACGGTCGACACAAAGTCACTTTAAGATGTTGTTCTTGTTCATGTTTTTGTTTGTTGCGGTTGCACCCGATTCAAGAGCCCAATGGCTCAGAGGGCTATACCCAAAATAAATTAAACTATGAAACAGTTCGCTTTTATTGTTACCAGTAAACCACCCCACCCACCACCCCACCCCCAAGGCTACAGGGAGAGGCCGCTGAGAGCCACAAGGCCGAGCACGGAGGTTGGGCCTCGTCGGGGCACATTGCCCTGGTGCTGTCCTCCAGGGACCACGGCAAGCGGCTCACGTGCCAGGCGACGCACCCCTCGCTCCGCGAGAGAGTCAGCGCCTTCTACAAGTTCCACGTGCTGTGTACGGCTCGGCGCGTTGTCATCATCATCATCATCATAAGCCAATTATCATCATCATCAGTCCATCATCATCATAAGCCAATCATCATCATCAGTCCATCATCATAAGCCAATCATCATCATCAGTCCATCAGTCCATCTTCATCATCGTCGTCGTTATCATCATCATAAGCCAATCATCATCATCATAAGCCAATCATCATCAGTCCATCAGTCCATCTTCATCATCATCGTCGTCGTTATCATCATCATAAGCCAATCATCATCATCATCAGTCCATCATCATCATAAGCCAATCATCATCATCAGTCCATCATCATCATAAGCCAATCATCATCATCAGTCCATCATCATCATCAGTCCATCATCATCGTTGTCGTGATCATCATCATCATCATCATCAATCCATCTTCATCATCGTTGTCGTCGTTATCATCATCATAAGATCATCATCATCATCAGTCCATCAATCCATCTTCATCATCGTCGTCGTCATTATCATCATCATAAGCCAATCATCATCATCAGTCCATCTTCATCATCGTTGTCGTCGTTATCATCATCATAAGCCAATCATCAATCCATCTTCATCATCGTCGTCGTCGTTATCATCATCATAAGATCATCATCATCAATCCATCTTCATCATCGTCGTCGTCGTCGTTATCATCATCATCATTAGTCCATCGTCATCATCGTCGTCGTCTGTCCATCATCACCCCCCTGCCCCCATCCCCCCCCCCCCCCCCCCCCCCCCCCACCGTGTGCCACATTGCCGGCCTTCTTAGGGTGCTGCTTGCTCGCTAACAGCACTTGCCCCGACAGTCCGCGAGGACCTACACGGGGGAACTTTGTCTTTGTTGTCTTTGCCAGTCGCTCCCGAGCTGCAGGAAGGGCAGCCCGTGGCCTTCTCAGTGATGGAGAAGTCCGCGGCCCTGCTGAAGATCGTGACGCTCGCAAACCCACCGGAGGTCACCGTGGAGTGGAGCCGAGCTGGGCAGGCCCTCGTGAAGAGTGAGGTCACCACGCTCCTCACCACGCTCCTCACCACGCTCCTCACCACGCTCCTCACCACGCTCCTCACCACGCTCACTCAACACGCTCGCTCACCACGCTCCTCACCACGCTCCTCACCACGCTCCTCACCACGCTCCTCACCACGCTCCTCACCACGCTCACTCAACACGCTCGCTCACCACGCTCGCTCAACACGCTCGCTCAACACGCTCGCTCACCACGCTCCTCACCACGCTCCTCACCACGCTCGCTCACCACGCTCCTCACCACGCTCCTCACCACGCTCGCTCACCACGCTCCTCACCACGCTCCTCACCACGCTCACTCAACACGCTCGCTCACCACGCTCCTCACCATGCTCCTCACCACGCTCCTCACCACGCTCGCTCACCACGCTCGCTCACCACGCTCGCTCACCACGCTCGCACACCACGCTCGCTCACCACGCTCCTCACCACGCTCCTCACCACGCTCGCTCACCACGCTCGCTCAACACGCTCCTCACCACGCTCCTCACCACGCTCACTCAACACGCTCCTCACCACGCTCGCTCACCACGCTCGCTCAACACGCTCGCTCACCACGCTCGCTCAACACGCTCGCACACCACGCTCGCTCACCACGCTCCTCACCATGCTCCTCACCACGCTCCTCACCACGCTCCTCACCACGCTCCTCACCACGCTCGCTCAACACGCTCGCTCACCACGCTCGCTCACCACGCTCGCACACCACGCTCGCTCACCACGCTCGCTCAACACGCTCCTCACCACGCTCGCTCACCACGCTCGCTCAACACGCTCGCTCACCACGCTCCTCACCACGCTCCTCACCACGCTCCTCACCACGCTCCTCACCACGCTCGCTCAACACGCTCGCTCACCACGCTCGCTCACCACGCTCACTCACCACGCTCGCTCACCACGCTCGCTCAACACGCTCGCTCACCACGCTCGCCACACTCACTCAACACACTCGCTCACCACGCTCACCACGCACACTCACCACGCTCACTCACCATGCTCGCTCACCACGCTCCTCACCACGCTCGCTCACCACGCTCCTCACCACGCTCCTCACCACGCTCCTCACCACGCTCGCTCAACACGCTCCTCACCACGCTCCTCACCACGCTCACTCAACACGCTCCTCACCACGCTCGCTCACCACGCTCGCTCAACACGCTCGCTCACCACGCTCGCTCAACACGCTCCTCACCACGCTCCTCACCACGCTCACTCAACACGCTCCTCACCACGCTCGCTCACCACGCTCGCTCAACACGCTCGCTCACCACGCTCGCTCAACACGCTCGCTCACCACGCTCGCTCACCACGCTCCTCACCATGCTCCTCACCACACTCACTCACCACGCTCACTCACCACGCTCGCTCACCACGCTCACTCACCACGCTCGCTCACCACGCTCGCTCAACACGCTCGCTCACCACGCTCGCCACACTCACTCAACACACTCGCTCACCACGCTCACCACGCACACTCACCACGCTCACTCACCATGCTCGCTCACCACGCTCCTCACCACGCTCGCTCACCACGCTCCTCACCACGCTCCTCACCACGCTCCTCACCACGCTCGCTCAACACGCTCGCTCAACACGCTCGCTCACCACGCTCGCTCACCACGCTCACTCACCACGCTCGCTCACCACGCTCCTCACCACGCTCCTCACCACGCTCCTCACCACGCTCACCACCACGCTCGCTCACCACGCTCGCTCACCACGCTCACTCAACACGCTCACTCACCACCCACACTCAACACGCTCACCACGCTCGCTCACCACGCTCGCTCACCACGCTCGCTCACCACTCTCGCTCACCACGCTCGCTCACCACGCTCGCTCACCACGCTCGCTCACCACGCTCGCTCACCACGCTCCTCACCACGCTCGCTCCTCACCACGCTCACCACGCTCCTCACCACGCTCCTCACCACGCTCCTCACCACGCTCCTCACCACGCTCGCTCACCACGCTCCTCACCACGCTCCTCACCACGCTCCTCACCACGCTCCTCACCACGCTCGCTCACCACGCTCGCTCACCACGCTCGCTCACCACGCACACTCACCACGCTCGCTCACCACGCTCACCACACTCACTCAACACACTCACTCAACACACTCGCTCACTACGCTCACCACGCTCGCTCACCACGCTCACCACGCTCACCACGCACACTTACCACCCACACTCAACACGCTCACCACACTCACCATCCACACTCACCACGCTCACTCACCACGCTCACCACACTCACCACACTCACTCACCACGCTCACTCACCACGCTCACCACACTCACTCACCACCCCCTCTCACCACACTCACCACCCACACTCACTACGCTCACTCACCGCACTCACCACCCGCACTCACCACCCGCACTCACCACCCGCACTCACCACCCGCACTCACCACCCGCACTCACCACTCCTCACTCACCACCCACACTCACCACCCATACTCACCACTCACCACCCGCACTCACCACCCGCACTCACCACTCCTCACCCCACTCCTCTCACCATCCCTCACCTCCGAGGTCTTCCGACATGGCGCGATGGTGAGATGTTGACTACCTCGCCTGGTACGCAGGAGGTCATGGGTTCGATCCCGACCCTGACGACGCCTGCTGCTGCTGTTGTATATTTGGAGTCTGCGTCTCTCTCATCATCATCATCACGGTGGCTAGGAGATGTTGACTACCTCGCCTGGTGTACAGGAGGTCGTGGGTTCCACCACCACCACCATCATCACGGTGGCTAGGAGATCTTGACTACCTCGCCTGGTGTACAGGAGGTCGTGGTATATTTGAAGTTTGCATCTCCCTCTCTCTCTCTCTGCCCGTGATTGCATGGATTTTTCTCCGGGTCCGACGGTTTTTGCCCTCCACCCCATCGTGTACCACAGTGGCAGCCTTCATAGCCGCCGCTGCTGCTACTAGCTACCAGCACACTTGCCCCTGACGCGTCTGCTCAGGCTACCCGGGGGACCTTTGTCTTTGTGTCAGAGGGAGGTGGCCCTCTAGCGTGGGACATCTCTAACATACAGCTGCTGCTGCTACTCGCTACCAGCACACTTGCCCCGACGCGTCTGCTCAGGCTACCCGGGGGACCTTTGCCTTTGTGTCAGAGGGAGGTGGCCCTCTAGCGTGGGACATCTCTAACATACAGCAGCTGCTGCTGCTACTCGCTAACAGCACACTTGCCCCGACGCGACTGCTCAGGCTACCCGGGGGACCTTTGCCTTTGTGTCAGAGGGAGGTGGCCCTCTAGCGTGGGACATCTCTAACATACAGCTGCAGCTGCTACTCGCTACCAGCACACTTGCCCCGACGCGTCTGCTCAGGCTACCCGGGGGACCTTTGCCTTTGTGTCAGAGGGAGGTGCCCCGCTAGCGTGGGACATCTCTAACATACAGTAGGTGCTGCTGCTGCTACTAGCTACCAGCACACTTGCCCCGACGCGTCTGCCCAGGCTACCCGGGGGACCTTTGCCTTTGTGTCAGAGGGGGTGGCGCGCTAGCGTGGGACATCTCTAACATACAGCAGGTGCTGCTGCTGCTGCTACTCGCTACCAGCACACTTGCCCCGACGCATCTGCTTAGGCTACCCGGGGGACCTTTGCCTTTGTGTCAGAGGGAGGTGGCCCTCTAGCGTGGGACATCTCTAACATACTGCTGCTGCTGCTACTCGCTACCAGCACACTTGCCCCGACGCGACTGCTCAGGCTACCCGGGGGACCTTTGCCTTTGTGTCAGAGGGAGGTGGCCCTCTAGCGTGGGACATCTCTAACATACAGCTGCTGCTGCTACTCGCTACCAGCACACTTGCCCCGACGCGTCTGCTCAGGCTACCCGGGGGACCTTTGCCTTTGTGTCAGAGGGGGTGCCCCGCTAGCGTGGGACATCTCTAACATACAGCTGTGCTGCTGCTGCTGCTACTCGCTACCAGCACACTTGCCCCGACGCGTCTGCCCAGGCTACCCGGGGGACCTTTGTCTTTGTGTCAGAGGGGGGTGCCCCGCTAGCGTGGGACATCTCTAACATACAGCTGCTGCTGCTACTCGCTACCAGCACACTTGCCCCGACGCGTCTGCTCAGGCTACCCGGGGGACCTTTGCCTTTGTGTCAGAGGGAGGTGGCCCTCTAGCGTGGGACATCTCTAACATACAGCAGGTGCTGCTGCTGCTACTCGCTACCAGCACACTTGCCCCGACGCGTCTGCCCAGGCTACCCGGGGGACCTTTGCCTTTGTGTCAGAGGGAGGTGGCCCTCTAGCGTGGGACATCTCGAACATACAGCAGGTGCTGCTGCTGCTACTCGCTACCAGCACACTTGCCCCGACGCGTCTGCCCAGGCTACCCGGGGGACCTTTGCCTTTGTGTCAGAGGGAGGTGGCCCTCTAGCGTGGGACATCTCTAACATACAGCAGGTGCTGCTGCTGCTACTAGCTACCAGCACACTTGCCCCGACGCGTCTGCTCAGGCTACCCGGGGGACCTTTGCCTTTGTGTCAGAGGGGGTGGCGCGCTACGTGCTGAAGGAGGGCGGCTCGCTGGAGGTGTGGAACGTGACGCGCGCCGACGCGGGCGACTACGACGTGCAGATGACCAACACAGAGGGCACGGGGAGAGGCACCATTCGTCTTGACGTGCACTGTGAGTACTGGGGGGGGGGGGACGTGGGGGTGGGGAGACGTGGGGGGGGGGGGAGACGTGGGGGGGAGACGTGGGGGGGGAGACGTGGGGGTGGGGAGACGTGGGGGGGGGGAGACGTGGTGGGGTGGGACACGTGGTGGGGTGGGACACGTGGGGTGGGACACGTGGGGTGGGACACGTGGGGTGGGACACGTGGGGTGGGACACGTGGGGGGTGGGGAGACGTGGGGGGTGGGGAGACGTGGGGGGGGAGGGGAGACGTGGGGGGGAGGGGGGACGTGGTAGGGGTGGGGACGTGGGCGTGGGGGACACGTGGGGGTGGGGGACACGTGGGGGTGGGGGAGACGTGGGTGGGGGTGGAGACGTGGGTGGGGGTGGAGACGTGGGTGGGGGTGGAGACGTGGGTGGGGGTGGAGACGTGGGTGGGGGTGGAGACGTGGGTGGGGGTGGAGACGTGGGTGGGGGTGGAGACGTGGGTGGGGGTGGAGACGTGGGTGGGGGGGAGACGTGGGTGGGGGGGAGACGTGGGTGGGGGTGGAGACGTGGGTGGGGGTGGAGACGTGGGTGGGGGGGGAGACGTGGGTGGGGGGGGAGACGTGGGTGGGGGTGGAGACGTGGGTGGGGGTGGAGACGTGGGTGGGGGTGGAGACGTGGGTGGGGGTGGAGACGTGGGTGGGGGTGGAGACGTGGGTGGGGGTGGACACGTGGGTGGGGGTGGAGACGTGGGTGGGGGTGGAGACGTGGGTGGGGGTGGACACGTGGGTGGGGGTGGAGACGTGGGTGGGGGTGGAGACGTGGGTGGGGGTGGACACGTGGGTGGGGGTGGAGACGTGGGTGGGGGTGGAGACGTGGGTGGGGGTGGAGACGTGGGTGGGGGTGGAGATGTCTCCCATCCCTCTACTCCACCTCATCTCTCCTCGTCCTTCACGCCCTGCGATGTCCCCCCCCCCCCCCTGCGATGTCCCCCCCCCCCCTGCGATGTCCCCCCCCCCCCCCCCCCCCCCCCCCCGTAGACCACCCGTCCATCCGTCGCACGGTGAGCTCCGTCTACGTGGAGCCCAGCGGCACCGCCGTCATGGTCTGCACCGCCGATGCCAACCCGCTGCAGGAGGGCATGATCACTTGGAGGTGGATGGTGAGTGGGAGGCGGTGTGGGTGGTGTGGGTGGTGTGTGGGTGGTGTGGCTGGGTGTGTGCGGTGTGTGCGGTGTGGCTGGGTGTGTGTGGTGTGGCTGTTGTGTGTGGTTTAGCTGGGTGTGTGTGTGTGGTGTGGCTGGGTGTGTGCGGTGTGGGTGTACAATCCTCTACTCGGGACGGGAGACTGCCAAACAACAGGGAGTGGCTCTTCTTGTGAAGGCGGTGAGGTGTGGGAAGCTGTAAGCCCCAGGCTTACTGTGGGCTCACCTTTCCCTCAACCAGACAGGCGAGGAGTGGTGGTCGTGGTTTCACTTATGCCCCCACTGAAGACGAACATTAGTTGAGGGATGCAGGCAAAGCCGATGAGTCAGATGCCTTCTATGACCTCCTGTCACAGGTGCTGGCTAAAGTGGCCCCTCGGGATAGAGTCATCTTGTTGGGTGACTTTAAATGCCCGAGTTGGTCATGATGCTGGCACCTGGTCTGGAGTGATTGGAGGGCATGGGCCAGATCAGCTCAGTAACAACGGTAGGAGGCTGCTAGACTTCTGTGCAGCCCATGGGCTCGTAATTACCAACACGCTGTTCCGGCATCGGCGCATCCACACAACGTCACGGATGCACGCCGGGTCCAAGCAAGAACATCTGCTGGACTACATAGTGACGGACCCGCGGATGCGAGCCCACGTCCTTGACACCAGGACCTACCGTGGAGCTGATCTGCCCACTGACCATCGACTAGCCATCTGTAAGATGCGCCTGCCATTCTTACACTCCGGTAGTCGGTGTGTACACCAGGGACCCCATTCAAACTCACAGTGGCCTGGTCTCAGCTAGCTGATGAAAGTTGCAAGCGAGAATGAGTACGTGGTGCGGCGTGTAGTAAACATCGCCACTGGGGAGACAAAGGCGGCCGGGCGTGGTTGCTGGCCACCCACCCCCTCGTGCGCCACAGTGCCGGTGGCCTTCATAGGGTGGTGCTGCTACTCGCTAACAGCACTTGCCCCGACAGTCTGTTACCCTGTGTAAACCTGTATCATAGCATGTTCACCACAATTACTGTGTGGTTAATGCAGTGACAGGATTCCTTGCGTAAAGGTTTCTGTTTTGTTGTATGAACATCACAACACAACTGTTTTATTACGGCCAGAAAGGGTCAAAGCTATTCTCATGAGATCCCGTGATGTAGCTGGTCACCCCGAGCTCTCGATGTCCCCTGATAGTGGCATTGCCCTGGTGCTGTCTCCGCCTGTTTGTCGTCCTCTGGTCTAACGCTGTTAAGTGAGACTGGGCTCTAAAGAAAGCCGTCTCTCTGGTGTGGGCCAATCAGTTTCGAAGACAATGCCACCATCATAGACTACCAGAGCCGTGTTTGTGTTTGCGCGTTCACCATGTGTCATTAATGCAGTGGCAGGATTCCTTGCAAAAAATGTTTCTGTTTGTTGTTTGAACATCTTTAACACGACTGTGTTATTATGGCCAGAGAGGGTAAAACACACTCTATTAGTTTGATTTAAAGCTTTCGTGACTGCAGGGATTCATATTCTTGGTTCCTTCGGTAAAGTCACGTAGAAGGGAAACAATAAAATAATAAAAATATAAAACAATAAAATTCTCACACTCTCATATTTTGATACTTGCAAGGGATGTCCCATCATGTAGATGGTCACCCCGAGCTCTCAATGTCCCCTGATAGTGGCATTGCCCTGGTGCTGTCTCCGCCTGTTTGTCGTCCTCTGGTCTAACGCTGTTAAGTGAGACTGGGCTCTAAAGAAAGCCGTCTCTCTGGTGTGGACCAATCAGTTTCGAAGACAATGCCACCATCATAGACTACCAGAGCCGTGTTTGTGTTTGCGCGTTCACCATGTGTCATGTCATTAATGCAGTGGCAGGATTCTTTGCAAAAATGTTCCTGTTTGTTGTTTGAACATCTTTAACACGACTGTGTTATTATGGCCAGAGAGGGTAAAACACACTCTATTAGTTTGATTTAAAGCTTTCGTGACTGCAGGGATTCATATTCTTGGTTCCTTCGGTAAAGTCACGTAGAAGGGAAACAATAAAATAATAAAAATATAAAACAATAAAATTCTCACACTCTCATATTTTGATACTTGCAAGGGGTGTCCCATCATGTAGATGGTCACCCCGAGCTCTCAATGTCCCCTGATAGTGGCATTGCCCTGGTGCTGTCTCCGCCTGTTTGTCGTCCTCTGGTCTAACGCTGTTAAGTGAGATGGGGCTCTGAAGAAAGCCGTCTCTCTGGTGTGGACCAATCAGTTTCGAAGACAATGCCACCATCATAGACTACCAGAGCCGTGTTTGTGTTTGCGCGTTCACCATGTGTCATTAATGCAGTGGCAGGATTCTTTGCAAAAATGTTTCTGTTTGTTGTTTGAACATCTTTAACACGACTGTGTTATTATGGCCAGAGAGGGTAAAACACACTCTATTAGTTTGATTTATAGCTTTCGTGACTGCAGGGATTCTCATATTCTTGGTTCTTTCGCTAAAGTCGCGTAGAAGGGAAACAAGAAAACAATAAAAATATCAAACAATAAAATTCTCACACCCTCATATTTTGATACTTGCAAGGGATGTCCCATCATGTAGCTGGTCACCCCGAGCTCTCGCTGTCCCCTGATAGTGGCATTGCCCTGGTGCTGTCTCCGTCCTGTTTGTCGTCCTCTGGTCTTACGCTGTTAAGTGAGACGGGGCTCTAAAGAAAGCCGTCTCTCTGGTGCGGACCAATCGGAACGCCCTTTCTGTTAGCGCACGCGTGCACGGTTAATGCAGTGACGGGATACCTCGCAAAAAAGGGCTCCGATTTTTGGGCGTCTGAACCCCGTGAACGCGCCTCCCGTTGCCAGCAATGGGGCGGAGCGCAACACGTTCTCTTAAGGGGGCCGTCCATAAATGACGTCACGCACCTGGGGGGGGGGGGGGAGGTTTGAGAAATGTGACGTCACAGCAAAATGCGCAACTTTATGAATGAATATCGACACAGCACGGTTCTACTTAATTAAGTAGACTTTTTAATAAATGTTTTTCTTCCTACAGCATCACATTAAGTATGCAACTACTACAATAGTTTAAAAAGCGATTTAAAGCACGTTTTATTATCAAAATGGAAATACGGTTTTTGGGGGGGGGGGTGGGTGGTGGGGGGCAGAGCTTTGTGACGTCATATTTGAGGGGGGAGGGGGGGGGGGGTCTGACTGTTTGTGACGCCGTGTGACGAGGGAGGGAGGGGGGGTGGGTCAAACACCGTCCAAAATCGCGTGGCGTCATTCGTGGACGCCGCCCCCCCTGCCCCCCCTGCCCCCCCTGCCCCCCCCGCCCCCCCCCGCCCCCCCTGCCCCCCCTAACACTCCGTCTTCGTCTTGACCGACGGGCAGTCGGCGGAGGGCCCCGTGCCGCTGCCGGCCCTGCAGGCCTACCACGAGGGTGGCAGCACGCTCACCCTGCCCGCGGTCAACCGCAGCATGAGCGGCCGCTACGAGTGCACGGTGGACAACGGAGTGCCCCCTCCAGCCCGCGCCAGCGTCCGCCTCTACGTCAAGTGTGAGCACGCCGGCAGCGAGGCCAGCTGGCGCCGCCTGCTGGCGCCTGCTGGGGCCAGCTGGCGCCTGCTGGGGCCAGCTGGCGCCTGCTGGCGCCTGCTGGGGCCAGCTGGCGCCTGCTGGCGCGCTGGCGCCTGCTGGCCTGCTGGCGCCTGCTGGCGCCTGCTGGCCTGCTGGCGCCGCCGCCGCTGCTGCTGCTGCTGCTTGCCGCTCGCATGGCCGGCCGCCTGCTGGAGACGCCGGGGAAGGCCGCTTCTATACTTGGAGACACCAACGGAGGGTCCACTCGCCCTGCCACGTCCCACCCCTCTCTAGCCACCTCCAACCCCTCTAGCCACCTCGCCCAAACCCCCATCGACCTCGCACTCGCACACCCCGAACACCGACCCCGCTCGCCCGGCCGCCCCGCTCGCCCACCCCGCTCGCCCACCCACCCACCCGCCCACCGACCCCGCTCGCCCACCCACCCGCCCACCCACCGACCCCGCTCGCCCACCCACCCGCCCACCCACCGACCCCGCTCGCCCACCCACCGACCCCGCTCGCCCACCGACCCCGCTCGCCCACCCACCCACCCTCCCACCGACCCCGCTCGCCCACCCACCCACCCTCCCACCGACCCCGCTCGCCCACCCACCCACCCTCCCACCGACCCCGCTCGCCCACCCACCCACCCTCCCACCGACCCCGCTCGCCCACCCACCCACCCACCCTCCCACCGACCCCGCCCGCCCACCCACCCATACCCCACCGATCTCGCCCCACCCACCTCCCGTTGAATTGACCATTGGATCGTTAAACACACGTAGATGCTCGGTCCGGTATTCCCGAAATCGGCGAAGCCATGCCCCATTCCGCCATCTGTGGGCCTAAAGCATTAACGCGATTTTTATCATTCATCCTGTCGCGGATTCATTTTATCCTTCGATTTAAAGCTTCCGTGACTGCAATGATTCATCTTCTTTGGTTCTTTCGGTAAAGTCACCACCACGTAGAATGAGAATAAAATAATAAATTGATAAAATAAAATAACACAATGATATTCTCACGACGTTTCGGCCACAACACAAGCGGCCTTCATCAGGTGAAGGGACGAGACTGTCTGGTAGAAACAGCGTGCAAACGCCGTACGACGCGTCTATAAAGTTGGCGACTCGCGAACAAATCGACCGACGAACAGCAGACCTCCTGGGACACCCAACTCATCCACGAGTAGGGGAGTCCCTGGAGTAAGATTCTGCGTCGGGTAGGACACAAACCCGTTTCCCCATTCGTTACCTGGTCGAGCACGGCCCGGTTGCTCGTTGAAACGTAACCTCCAGCACAGCACAGCATCTACAGCTACGTTCCCACCCCCCGACAAACTGCAACCGGTAAGCCCCCATCAGGCGACAGCAGCTGAGTTGCGGTGGCAGCAAATCTCCTAGCTGTCTCCTCCTTTGTGCGTCCTCGTCGTCGTCCTCGTCATCTTCCCACCCCCACCCAAGTTCGTCCGGAGATCGTGAAGAGCGCTCACCTGGCCAAGGTGGCTTCGCTCGGTGACGGCACGGCCAACGCCACGCTGCTGTGCCGCGCCGAGGGCGTGCCGCGCGTCGCCTTCAGCTGGGCCAAGAACAACGCGACCCTGGCGAGCCCACACCCCAGGTGCCCGTACCACCCACGCTACCCGCACCACCACACCCAGGCCACCACCACACTCCACCACCCACACCGACGCCGCCCACGCCACCCACACCACCCACACCACCCACACCTCCACACCCACTCCATACCCATCCACACCACCCACACCTCCCACCCCACACCACCACACTCCCACCCCACCCCACCCCCACCCCACACCACCACACCCCCCACCCCACGCCACCCACACCACACCTCCACACCCCCCCAACCAACGGTGACCCTCGTGACCCCCACGCCAGGTGCCCCCCCCCCCCCCACTACCTACCCACCCACCCCCTCCTGTACACCAGGCGAGGTAGTCAACATCTCCTAGCCACCGTGATGATGATGAGAGTGAGAGACACACAAACTCCAAATCTACAACAGCAGCAGCAGCAGGCGTCGTCAGGGTCAGGGACCGAACCCACAACCTCCTGCGTACCAGGCGAGGTAGTCAACATCTCCTGGCCACCGTGATGATGATGAGAGAGACACAGACCTCCTGTATACCAGGCGAGGTAGTCAACATCTCCTAGCCACCGTGATGATGATGAGAGAGAGACACACAGACCTCCTGTACACCAGGCGAGGTAGTCAACATCTCCTAGCCACCGTGATGATGATGAGAGTGAGAGACACGCAAACTCCAAATCTACAACAGCAGCAGCAGCAGGCGTCGTCAGGGTCAGGGACCGAACCCACGACCTCCTGCGTACCAGGCGAGGTAGTCAACATCTCCTAGCCACCGTGATGATGATGATGATGAGAGAGAGAGACACACAAACTCCAACTATACAGCAGCAGCAGCAGGCGTCGTCAGGGTCAGGGACCGAACCCACGACCTCCCGCGTACCAGGCGAGGTAGTCAACATCTCGTAGCCACAGTGATGATGATGATGAGAGAGAGAGACACACAAACTCCAAATCTACAGCAGCAGGCGTCGTCAGGGTCGGGATCAAACCCACGACCTCCTGTACAGCAGGCGAGGTAGTCAACATCTCCTAGCCACAGTGATGATGATGATGATGAGAGAGACACACAAACTCCAACTATACAGCAGCAGCAGGCGTTGTCAGGGTCAGGGACCGAACCCACGACCTCCCGCGCACCAGGCGAGGTAGTCAACATCTCCTAGCCACCATGATGATGATGATGAGAGAGAGAGACACACAAACTCCAAATCTACAGCAGCAGCAGGCGTCGACAGGGTCAGGGACCGAACCCACGACCTCCCGCGTACCAGGCGAGGTAGTCAACGTCTCCTAGCCACCATGATGATGATGATGAGAGAGAGAGACACACAAACTCCAAATCTACAGCAGCAGCAGCAGCAGGCGTCGTCAGGGTCAGGGACCGAACCCACGACCTCCCGCGTACCAGGCGAGGTAGTCAACGTCTCTCCCCCGCCGCCGCCGCCGTGGTGGTGGTGGCGGTGGTGGCGGTGAGCAGGTACCTGGTGAAGAACAAGCTGGATGGCACGGCGCACGAGAGCCGCCTCGAGGTGGTGAACGCCACGTCGGCGCTGGACTACGCGCTGTTCACGTGCAGCGCGCGCAACGACATGGGCTCCGACTCGTTCGACATACAGCTCGTCAGCACCAGTAAGGTGGACGCCGGAGATTTTCGCGCGATACGCGATGCCAGTAGGGCACGGATGATTACGGATACGTGATGCCAGTAGGGCACGGGTGATTACGGATACGCGATGCCAGTAGGGCACGGGCGATTACAGATACGCGATGCCAGTAGGGCACGGACGATTACGGATACGCGATGCCAGTAGGGCACGGGTGATTACGGATACGTGATGCCAGTAGGGCACGGATGATTACGGATACGTGATGCCAGTAGGGCACGGACGATTACGGATACGCGATGCCAGTAGGGCACGGGTGATTACGGATACGCGATGCCAGTAGGGCACGGATGATTACAGATATACGCGATGCCAGTAGGGCACGGGTGATTACGGATACGTGATGCCAGTAGGGCACGGATGATTACGGATACGTGATGCCAGTAGTGCACGGATGATTACGGATACAGGATGCCAGTAGGGCACGGATGATTACGGATACGCGATGCCAGTAGGGCACGGATGATTACGGATACGCGATGCCAGTAGGGCACGGATGATTACGGATACGGGAACCCAGTAGGGCACGGATGATTACGGATACGGGAACCCAGTAGGGCACGGATGATTACGGATACGGGAACCCAGTAGGGCACGGATGATTACGGATACGGGAACCCAGTAGGGCACGGATGATTACGGATACGGGAACCCAGTAGGGCACGGATGATTACGGATACGGGAACCCAGTAGGGCACGGATGATTACGGATACGGGAACCCAGTAGGGCACGGATGATTACGGATACGGGAACCCAGTAGGGCACGGATGATTACGGATACAGGACGCCAGTAGGGACGCCAATACGCAGCGATGCGCACTGATACGCAGCGCGTGAAGATACATACTGACACCACCCCCCACCCACCACCACCCCCCAGGCCGCCCCGACCCCCCCACGGACGTGCGAGTGGTCAACGTCACCGACATCTCGGCGACGCTCACCTGGCAGGCCGGGTTCAATGGGGGGCTCACGCAGCGCTTCCGTGTCAAGTGAGGGGGGGGGGGGGGTCCGTGGGTGGGGTGTGGGCCGGGTGATGGGGCCGAGTGGTGGGGCCGGGTGTGGTGGCTGGGCTGGGTGGCTGAGCTGCGTGTGGTGTTGGGGCTGGGTGGCTGGGCTGAGTGATGTGGCTGCGTGGCTGAACTCGGTGGCTGGGCTGATGTCTGGGCTTGGTGTTGGGGCCGGGTGGCTGAGCTGGGTGGCTGAGCTGGGTGGCTGAGCTGGGTGTTGGGGCCGGGTGGCTGGGCTGGGTGTTGGGGCCGGGCGGCGGGGCATCTTGTTTATTCTCCCACGGCAGGTACCAGGTGCAGGGGGCGCGCAGCGCCCGCTACGTGGACGTGGACCCGCCACAGGCGACCGCCTTCACCGTGGCCGGCCTGCTCCCCAGCACCGGCTACAACCTCTCGGTCAGCGCCTGGAACCGCCTGGGGCACAGCGACTACCACGGGGCGCCCGTCGGGATCCGCACCACCGGTACGGGCGGGCCGGCGGGCAGGGAGGGGGTGGACGGATCCACCACCACCACCACCACCACCGCCGCCACCCGGCCGCTCCGCGCCGAGGGCGTGAGTGACTGAACGAGGGTGGCTAGGAGATGTTGACTCCCTCGCCTGGTACGCAGGAGGCCGTGGGTTCGATCTCGAAACCTGTCGCCTGCTGTATATTTGGAGTTTGCGTGTCTCTCATCATCATCATCACGGTGGCTATGAGATGTTAACTCCCTCGCCTGGTGCACAGGAGGCCGTGGGTTTGATCCCTACCCCTGACGACGCCTGCAGCTGTATATTTGGAGTTTGCGTGTCTCTCATCATCATCATCATCACGGTGGCTATGAGATGTTAACTACCTCGCCTGGTACGCAGGAGGCCGTGGGTTTGATCCCTACCCCTGACGACGCCTGCAGCTGTATATTTGGAGTTTGCGTGTCTCTCATCATCATCATCATCACGGTGGCTATGAGATGTTAACTACCTCGCCTGGTACACAGGAGGCCGTGGGTTCGATCCCGACCCTGACGACGCCTGCTGCTGCTGCTGTATATTTGGAGTCTACGTGTCTCTCTCTCTCTCTGTGCGCGCGTGGATTTTTCTCCAGGTCCTCCGGGATGTGTCCCCTCCACGTTCAGCATCGACATCACCGCGCGTTCAGAGTGTTTGGCTTCTGCTGTAAATCCCCACGTGATGGTGATATTGGTGATGATGATGGCGATGATGATGCTGATGATGGTGATGATGATGATGGCGATGAGCTGCACGTGGTTGAGCTGCTATCATTTGTGATGGCCCAGGGGTCCCTTCTGAAAGAGAGCTACGTGTGGGGCCTTATGCCTCGTAACAATAAACACAGTTTAGTTCTTGAGTTTTGAGCGAGTGTGGGTGGTGGGGAGTCGTCGGGTGCGACTGTTGCCGCGTCTGTGAGTGAGTGGTAACGGCTGTTGCCGTGTGTGTGACTGTTGCCGCGTCTGTGAGTGAGTGGTAACGGCTGTTGCCGTGCGTGTGACTGTTGCCGTGTCTGTGAGTGAGTGGTAACGGCTGTTGCCGTGTGTGTGACTGTTGCCGTGTCTGTGAGTGAGTGGTAACGGCTGTTGCCGTGTGTGTGACTGTTGCCGTGTCTGTGAGTGAGTGAGTGGTAACGACTGTTGCCGTGTGCGAGTGTCGCCGTGTGTGTGACTGTTGCCGTGTCTGTGAGTGGTTGGTAACGGCTGTTGCTGTGTGTGTGACTGTTGCCGTGTCTGTGAGTGAGTGGTAACGGCTGTTGCCGTGTGTGTGACTGTTGCCGCGTCTGTGAGTGGTTGGTAACGGCTGTTGCCATGCGTGTGACTGTTGCCGTGTCTGTGAGTGAGTGAGTGGTAACGGCTGTTGCCATGCGTGCGACTGTTGCCGCGTCTGTGAGTGAGTGGTAACGGCTGTTGCCGTGTGTGTGACTGTTGCCGCGTCTGTGAGTGAGTGGTAACGGCTGTTGCCGTGTGTGTGACTGTTGCCGCGTCTGTGAGTGGTTGGTAACGGCTGTTGCCATGCGTGTGACTGTTGCCGTGTCTGTGAGTGAGTGAGTGGTAACGGCTGTTGCCGTGTGTGTGACTGTTGCCGTGTCTGTGAGTGAGTGAGTGGTAACGACTGTTGCCGTGTGCGAGTGTCACCGTGTGTGTGACTGTAGCCGTGTCTGTGAGTGGTTGGTAACGGCTGTTGCCGTGTGTGTGACTGTTGCCGTGTGTGATATTGGTAACAATTGTTGCCTTGTGTTCACAGTCGGAATCAAAGACGACTCGGAAATGATTGTACCGCCACCTGGTATGGATCTTCCCACGTCGGGTGAGCACGCCACACCACGCACCACACCACTCTGCACACCACACCACGCACCACACCACGCACCACACCACACCACAGCACCCTGCACGCCACACCACACGCCACACCACGCACCACACCACGCACCACACCACACCACCCTGCACACCGCACCACACACCACACCACGCAAACACGGCAACAGTCACACACACGGCAACAGCCGTTACCACTCACTCACTCACAGACACGGCAACAGTCACACACACGACAACAGCCGTTACCACTCGCTCACTCACAGACACGGCAACAGTCACACACACGGCAACAGCCGTTACCACTCACTCACTCACAGACACGGCAACAGTCACACACACGGCAACAGCCGTTACCACTCACTCACTCACAGACACGGCAACAGTCACACACACGGCAACAGCCGTTACCACTCGCTCACTCACAGACACGGCAACAGTCACACACACAGCAACAGCCGTTACCACTCACTCACTCACAGACACGGCAACAGTCACACACACGGCAACAGCCGTTACCACTCACTCACTCACTGACACGGCAACAGTCACACACACGGCAACAGCCGTTACCACTCACTCACTCACAGACACGGCAACAGTCACACACGGCAACAACCGTTACCACTCGCTCACTCAGACACGGCTACAGTCACACACACGGCAACAGCCGTTACCACTCACTCACAGACACGGCAACAGTCACACACACGGCAACAGCCGTTACCACTCACTCACTCACAGACACGGCAACAGTCACACACACGGCAACAGCCGTTACCACTCACTCACTCACAGACACGGCAACAGTCACACACACGGCAACAGCCGTTACCACTCGCTCACTCACAGACACGGCAACAGTCACACACGGCAACAACCGTTACCACTCGCTCACTCAGACACGGCTACAGTCACACACACGGCAACAGCCGTTACCACTCACTCACTCACAGACACGGCAACAGTCACACACACGGCAACAGCCGTTACCACTCACTCACTCACAGACACGGCAACAGTCACACACACGGCAACAGCCGTTACCACTCACTCACTCACAGACACGGCAACAGTCACACACACGGCAACAGCCGTTACCACTCACTCACTCACAGACACGGCAACAGTCACACACACGGCAACAGCCGTTACCACTCACTCACTCACAGACACGGCAACAGTCACACACACGGCAACAGCCGTTACCACTCACTCACTCACAGACACGGCAACAGTCACACACACGGCAACAGCCGTTACCACTCACTCACTCTCAGACACGGCTACAGTCACACGCACGGCAACAGCCATTACCACTCACTCACTCTCAGACACGGCAACAGTCACACACACGGCAACAGCCGTTACCACTCACTCACTCTCAGACACGGCTACAGTCGCACGCACGGCAACAGCCGTTACCACTCGCTCGCTCACAGACACGGCAACAGTCGCACCTGACGACTCCCCGCCACTCACACTCGCTCAAAACGAAAGAGCCAAACTGGGAGAAGGAATGGTGTTTTTGCGGTGGTTGCGGTGGTCGCGGTGATGGCGATGGCGATGGCGGTGGTCGCGGTGGTTGCTGCTGCGGTGGTGGTGTTGGTGCCAGGCACGCTGCTCTCCCTGCCCGTGCTGGTGGCGGTGGCTGCGGCTGCGGCGGCGGCGGCGCTGGCGAACGCCGCCTGCCTGGTCGCCTGCGTCGTGCGCAAGAGGAGAGCCGCTTCCGCCGGTGAGGGTGTTGCTCAGCGCCGCGACAAGAAACCCGGTGGGCTGCAAAGCCCCCCTTTTTTTAAAAATTTCGATTGAAAGCTTTTCGTGACTGCAGGTGGGGGATCCCCATCGCCTTGGTTCTTTCGGTAAAGTCACACACGTAGGATGGGGAAAATGCAAAAATAAAACCGTAATAAAAATCAAGAGAAGAAAAATTTAAGGAATCGATAAGAAGAAAGCTCTTTTGCTCGCGGAACATTAACGACGACAACACATCATGAGACCTCCTTTGACAGTAACAAGATATCGTAGTAGGTTTGACCCTTTATTTACTGGCGCGATAAAGGTGTCAGTTTTTTGTGCCGGTTAAAAGGGTAAAAACCTATTGCTATATCTTGTTACTGGCAAAGGAGGTCTCATAATGTAAAGGCTCACCCCGAGCCCTCAATACTCTGATAGTGCGCTGTTTTTGAGCTGTACGCCTTTTGGCGTCTTCTGGTCCAACACCAGTGGAGACTAAAGGGCTCTAAGAAAAGCCGTCTCTGGTGTGGACCAATCAAATTCAAGGACGGTGCCAATATCATTATCAGAGTTGTCTCTTTATGTTAAAGTCAGAGTTTACATATCAACAGAGGCATTTAGCATATTGTTAAAGTCAGAGTTTACATATCAACAGAGGCATTTAGTATATTGACACTAAAGAACTGCAACTACCCAACTATCATACAACAAACCGATGTGAAAGAACTAAACATAAACTACATCAATATAATCAATGTACTCAATACATTCTCCAAAAAGTTGAGCTACTAACAATAAGCCGTTATACATTACACTTCTATGTGCAAACGGTGAAAAAGAGCGTTCCAGACGACCGGAGCGTCGCGTGAACGGCTGCGGTGATGTTAAGGCTCCCGGGGCGAGAGTGGTGAGGTGTAACTGTGGTTCATCACGTATAACACGTGTGTTGCTTGGGGTTAGATCGCGTAAATGTGATTAAACCCGCCACCACCCGACACGGCCAATGGGTAAAGGTTTGTGCGTCACGCCAACAGAACGTGGCTAATTCATTACTAGTACAGCACTAGTGTGTAGTGTATACTGTAGTATACCAGTACAGCACTAGTGTATAGTGTATAGCAGGGGTCGGGAACCTTTTTGACTAAGAGAGCCATGAAAGCAAAAAATTTGGAAATTTATTTCAGTGAGAGCCATATAATATATTTTAAAAGTGAATTCAACTAAATGTCAGTATAATAAGCCTCTGAATTTATTCTTTTAAATAATGTTGTTATAACACTCACCATTAATGCGACTTCTGGTGCTGCATGGATTTGCTGATGTCTTTGTAGTCGGGTTGGTACTTGGTGAGGTTAAGCTTCATGCAAGCGTTGAGGCTTTCATCCGTTAAACGTGATCGTAGGTTGGACTTGATGTTTTTAAGATGTGAGAATGACTGCTCACATGCATACGTAGATCCAAACATGGTCAATACAGCAATACTCACACGCTGCAGTGTGGTATGTGACAGGAAGCGCGTTCCAAGTTTTGAGAATCAGCTGGTCTTCGGGTTGGAGTTTTTTTCATTTCTGTCCACATGTGCTTGCTCGCCAACTCCGCTTTCTGTCGTGTGATTCTTTCCAAATCTTCATTCAGTGACTTGAACTTATTCACCCACATGTCTGAGGCCTTCAGGTCAGCCACTTCTGCTTCAAAATCTCTGACGGAGACACCAGGGATGTAATTCAGGTCGGCTGTGTTCAGTGAACACTCGTTTCGATGGGTGATGAACTTAAAAAGACGAGTGTGCTCACGAAATTCTCCAAAGCGTGCTTTGAAGGACTGTAGGAGACTGGATGTGCAGCCAGCTAGCTGGTGGAGATCAAGGTTTTGAATGGGCTCACTTGCTGTGCATGCATCTTTAAATTGGCTCAGTTTTTCAAAATGTAGTAAACGACCTGTTTCAAGATCCGTGATGAAAAGCTCCAGCTTGTTTTCAAAAGCAAATACAGCTTGTTGAAGGGATAACACTGTATTTCCAATGCCTTGCATTTTCACGTTGAGCTGGTTCAGATGTTCAGTCAGATCTACGAGATAGTAAAACTTGAGGAGCCACTCGGTGTCGGCTAGCTCAGGATGCCCGACGCCTTTCATTTCAAGGAAAGTCCGGATTTCGTTCAGGCAAGCCGCAAAACGGCTAAGCACCTTCCCTCTTGACAACCAACGCACATTGCTGTGCAAAAGCAGACCAGGATAGTTATTTACAACTTCATCCAGCAGTGTTTTAAACTGGCGATCATTTAAGGCTCGGGCAACAATAAAGTTGATCACACGAATGACCAGCGACATCACTTCGCCAAACTGCCTGTCACACATCTGAGCACAAAGTGCCTCCTGGTGTATAATGCAATGGAAACTTAGGATGGGTCTATTTTCATGTTCACGGAGAAGCGCCACAAATCCTTTGTTTTTCCCCACCATACACGGAGCACCATCAGTACACACTGAGAGAAGTTTATCCATAGGTAGACTTTTTTCTTGAGCAAACTCCATGAAAGACTTGAATAAATCCTCACCTCCTGTGGACCCTTTTAATGGCAGAACAGCAAGACTTTCTTCGCGCAGTGTGTCACCAACAGCATATCTTGCAATCACGCTGAACTGCGACAAATGGCTCACGTCTGTTGACTCATCCAAAGCCAGAGAAAAGAACAGCGCTGCATTTATGTCCTTCACTTGCGTTTCCTCCACTTTGTTTGCCATCACGATGGTACGATCATGAACAGTTCTTGCCGACAGAGGCATGTCTTGTATCCGTTTGATTATCTTGTCTTTGTTCGGAAGATCATCAAAAAGTTCATTGGCTACATCCAGCATGAACGTTTTAGCATACTCGCCATCTGTGAATGGTTTTCCGTTCCTCACTATTGCTAAAGAACCAGCAAAGCTAGCCGAATTATAGTCACCTTGCCGGGTCCATACGCGGAGTTGCTGCTGGCTAGCTTGCACCCTGCTCAGAAGCTCTTGGCACGCTTTCTTTCTGCTGTCTCCCGCAGGGTATTTTGATGCAAAGGTAGCGTGGCGCGTGTCGAAGTGCCGCTTTACATTCGACCGTTTCAACGATGTAATTTTGTCATTGCAAATTAGACACACCGCAGAACCCGCTCTCTCCACAAAGGCGAATTCTTCGGTCCATTCGTCCTGAAATGTACGATACTCGTCGTCTTTTTTTCTTTTCGCCATCTTCTTCGTCGAAGGGTTAGCTTTGAGCTAATGACCGAGCAGACGCAGTCTCAGACTGATTCAAAAGGGGGCGTTTACCTGTTTTACCCAGCAACGGCAAACGTAGGCCAGTATCATCCAATTAAAATAATGGACAATTGCTCCTGCAGCCCTGAACAGAACATGCGCAGTGAAAAATCGATGGATGGATTAAAACAAGTGAGAATATTTTGTTTTATCTGCGAGCCATATGCAATCATCAAAAGAGCCACATCTGGCTCGCGAGCCATAGGTTCCCGACCCCTGGTGTATATAGTGTAGTAAACTAGTACAGCACTAGTGTATAGTGTAGTATACTAGTACAGCACTAGTGTATAGTGTAGTGTATAGTGTAGTATATAGTGTAGTAAAGGTTGTGTCACGTAAACAGAACGTGGCCAATTCGTTACTAGTACAGCACACACACTCACACACTCACTCACACACTCACACAAGCTCACACTCACTCACACTCTCACACTCACACGCGCAGACACACGCGCACACTCACACGCGCACACTCACACGCGCACACTCACACGCGCAGACACACGCGCACACTCACACTCACACACACTCACACACAACACCAACAACAACCGCCATTCGCCACTAAGTGGCGGTGACATCACCACGACGCTTGTGCCAGGCCATGTGCACCTTGTCCGATTGTACAAAATACCCAGGCAGGCGCTTAGTTTTGGTGGGGCTTATGGTAAGGCCCCATCTCTTAGTGGCACGCTCCAGTCTCAGCAGCAGCGTCTCCAACTCCTCCTCTGAATAAGCAGCTATTACCAAATCATCGGCATATATAACGTGGTTAATCAATAGGGAGCCATCCCTTGACCGCACCCGGGCATCGATCAGCCTCCCATTATATCTGTACCAAATGGAGATACCCCCGGTACAGCTATTGAAGGCTTCACAAACTACGTGGTCAAAATAGATGTTAAATAATGTGGGAGCCAGAGGACATCCCTGTCGCACCCCAAGGTGTACAGGGAATGGCTCTGACTCCCGGCCACGTAGTTTTACCCGGGCCCGCTCACCATCATGAAGGTCCTTAATGATCGTGAGCAGAGGGTCAGGGACTCCAAAAGCACGAAGAACAACCCAGAGCCCAGGCCTACTGATGGTATCATAGACCTTGACCAGGTCAATAAAGCAGAGATGTAGGTCTTGTCGGAATTCCCTACACCTCTGCTGTAGCAGACGGAGAGAAAATATGGAATCTGTGCAGGACCGCCCTTTCCTGAAACCGCATTGGGGCTCCGCAAGCCTCTCCTCAGCGTGCCTGGCAAGGCGATGTTGAATAATCCTTGCCAGGACCTTTCCCGGCACACTGAGGAGTGAGATGCCCCTGTAGTTGTTACAGTCTGTGCGGCCCCCCTTCTTAAAGAGGGGGACCACCAGGGCATCCTTCCAATCCTGTGGAACCCGTCCAGTGGTCCAGACTGTTGTTATGATGTCATATAGGGCAGTCTGTGCACAAACGCCACCCTCCCTCAGCATTTCGCTTGGGAGATCATCTCAGCCCACTGCCTTTTCTGGTCTCAGACTCCGGATCGCCTTCAGTACTTCCTCAACAGATGGCACCTCAGCCAGCCACTCACAGGGGGTGACTTCATCCAATATTTGAGGCACCGCAGCCTCAGCAGGGTCATCCCCACTTTGTGCCACGATGTTTTCCTGGCTGAGGGATTTCCCCTCCCCCAGGACCTCACAGAAATGCTCAGCAAATCTGCAAACCTGTTCCTGGGGGTCGGAGATTGGATCACTGTTTTTTACCCTAATGATGGTAATAGGTGTGGCGCTGCAGGTTACTTTTTTGATGGAGTTAAATAGAGATTTGTGATCGCGGGCCACTGAGGCAGACTGCATCTCCTCAGCAACCCCCGACCACCACCCATCCTTGCAGCGCCTCACGGCTCTCCGAACCTCCGAGCGAATGCTGCGGTAAGCCTCCTCATTCTCCGATGTGGGATTCTGTAGCCGATGACAGTGGGCCTGTCGCTTTTTCTCAACTATCCTGAACACCTCCTCTGTCAGCCAGGGTCTCTGGGGAGGTCTGACCCGCGTACCCAAAGCAGCCATTCCAGCTGCATGAGCCACAGTCTTAAACCTCGCCCATTTACCCTCGACATCAGGAGGAGTGGGGGACGATGCCAACCCCAGCCGCAAGCAATGATAACATTCTCGCTTGCAACTTTCATCAGATAACTGAGACCAGGCCACTTTAGGTTGGAATGGGGTCCTGGGTGTACACCCACCACCGGAGTGGAAGAATGGCAGGCGCTTCTTACAGATGACTAGTCGATGGTCAGAGGACAGATCAGCTCCACGGTAGGTCCTGGTGTCAAGGTCCTGGGCTCGCATCCGCTGGTCCGTCACTATGTAGTCCAGCAGATGTTCTTGCTTGGACCCGGCCTGCATCCATGATGTTGTGTGGATGCGCCGATGCCGGAAAAGCGTGTTGGTAATTACAAGGCCATGGGCTGCACAAAAATCTAGCAGCCTCCTACCGTTGTTATTGAGCTGATCTGGGCCATGCCCTCCAATCACTCCAGACCAGGTGCCAGCATCATGACCAACTCGGGCATTGAAGTCACCCAACATGATGACTTTATCCCGAGGTGCCACTTTAGCCAGCACCTGTGACAGGAGGTCATAGAAGGCATCTGACTCATGGACTTTGCCTGCATCCCTCCACGGATGTTCGTCTTCGGTGGGGGCATAAGTAACCACGACCACCACTCCTCGCCTCCGGTTGATGGGAAGGCGAGCCCAAAGTAGCCTGGGGCTTACAGCTTCCCACACCTCACCGCCGTGCTCCCACGCCCCCTTCATTCTTTTTCGTCTGGCAAAACAACCCCCTACCTCCTCGCGGTGCCGGACGGGTGCGAGGGGCTGGTAACCCCTCCACCTTCAACATTTTTACCACGAACCACGAATAAAAAATTTAACTAATAAGCTTGTGCCGGAGGCCCCGGGGGGACAGGCGTCTATGACGTGTCCTGGCCAAACCCCAATTGGCGGAGCCATGAGATTGAATCTCTACCATCGGGGCTCCTCCAGAAACAACGAAAAGCCACTACGGGTGGCCACGTGGAATGCTCGAACACGCTCACACAACAACAACCGCCATTCGCCACTAAGTGGCGGTGATGTCACCACGACGCTTGTGCCAGGCTACGTGCACCCTGAGGCCACGTGAAGTGTCGAACGCCCGCTGGCAGGAGGTCACGGGGCAGACCCAGGTGCCACGGGTCGACTGACTGAGATGACTGGCTGATGCACCACCTGTGCCCCCTACTGTGCCAACTTGCTGTGCTTCAGCCACCCGGCGCTCCGCTCGTTGTTGGGAGCGTCGCTCCTCCGCTCTCTGTTGCTGTTGGAGGGCGACTACCTCCAACTGCCCAGTAGCGTCCTTCACGAGCCTCCTCCACAGAGGCCGATCTTGACACCGCTTGTACCGGTCATCGGCAAGTCCACTCAGCTCCATGTCCTCCTGTACCACATCACTCCACCTCTTCTCTAGCCCGTGCCGCGCCCACTTAGCCCCCTCGATCCGGCCGAACAAAAGCTGTTTCGGCATGCGGTGACTGGGCATGCGGGCTACATGACCCACCCATCGCAGCCTTGCCTGCTGGAGGAGCTCACCGATGGGACCTTACCCAGATCTTTCAAGGATTTGTGAGCTCCTCACACAATCCAGTCTGGTTAAACCCAGGATGGATCGTAGGCAGGCCAGCCTAAATGTTTCTAACCGGCGAAGATGTTCCATTAGGGGGGTCCACGTTTCGCATGCGTAGAGAAGGGAGGGAATGACCGTGGCCGAGAAGACCTGAAGCTTAGTGCGGAGCGACAGACCAGGTAGCTTCCACAGCGTTACGCAACCGATGAAAAGATATTGCCGCTCGACTGATTCGGAGTGAGACCTCTGCTGTTAAACTGGAGCCAGTCATAAGCACACTGCCCAGGTATGGGAAACTCTCCACTCTCTCCACAACTGCCCCATCACCGATTGGGAGTTGTGGGGGTGGAGTGTCCGATGGTACAAAATACCCAGGCAGGTTCTTAGTTTTGGTGGGGCTGATGGTAAGGCCCCACCTCTTAGTGGCACGCTCCAGTCTCAGCAGCAGCGTCTCCAACTCCTCCTCTGACTGAGCAGCTATTACCAAATCATCAGCATACATAACGTGGTTGAGCAATAGGGAGCCATCCCTTGACCATACCCGGGCATCGATCAGCCTCCCATTATATCTGTACCATATGGAGATTCCCCCGGTACAGCTATTGAAGGCTTCACGAACTACGTGGTCAAAATAGATGTTAAATAATGTGGGAGCCAGAGGACATCCCTGTCGCACCCCAAGGTGTACAGGGAATGGCTCTGACTCCCGGCCACGTAGTTTTACCCGGGCCCGCTCACCATCATGAAGATCCTTAATGATCGTGAGCAGAGGGTCAGGTACTCCAAAAGCACGGAGAACGACCCAGAGCCCAGGCCTACTGATGGTATCATAGGCCTTGACCAGGTCAATAAAGCAGAGATGTAGGTCTTGTTGGAATTCCCTACACCTCTGCTGTAGCAGACGGACAGAAAATATGGCATCTGTGCAGGACCGCCCTTTCCTGAAACCGCATTGGGGCTCCGCAAGCCTCTCCTCAGCGTGCCTGGCAAGGCGATGGTGAATAATCCTTGCCAGGACCTTTCCCGGCACACTGAGGAGTGAGATGCCCCTGTAGTTGTTATCCTTCCAATCCTGCGGAACCCGTCCAGTGGTCCAGACTGTTGTTATGATGTCATATAGGGCAGTCTGTGCACCAACGCCACCCTCCCTCAGCATTTCGCTTGGGAGATCATCTCTGCCCGCTGCCTTTCCTGGTCTCAGACTCCGGATCACCTTCAGTACTTCCTCAACAGATGGCACCTCAGCCAGCCACTCACAAGGGGTGACTTCTTCCAATATTTGAGGCACCCCAGTCTCAGCAGGGTCATCCTCACTTTGTGCCATGATGTTTTCCTGGCTGAGGGATTTTCCCTCCCCCAGGACCTCACAGAAATGCTCAGCAAATCTGCAAACCTGTTCCTGGGGGTCGGTGATTGGATCACTGTTTTTTACCCTAATGATGGTAATAGGTGTGGCGCTGCAGGTTACTTTTTTGATGGAGTTAAATAGAGATTTGTGATCGTGGGCCACTGAGGCAGACTCCATCTCCTCAGCAACCCGCGACCACCACCCATCCTTGCAGCGCCTCACGGCTCTCCGAACCTCCGAGCGAAGGCTGCGGTAAGCCTCCTCATTCTCCGACGTGGGATTCTGTAGCCGATGACAGTGGGCCTGTCGCTTTTTCTCAACTATCCTGAACACCTCTGTCAGCCAGGGTCTCTGGGGAGGTCTGACCCGCGTACCCAAAGCAGCCATTCCAGCTGCATGAGCCACAGTCCTAAACCTCACCCATTTACCCTCGACATCAGGAGGAGTGGGGGACGATGCCAACCCCAGCCGCAAGCAATGATAAAATTCTTGCTTGCAACTTTCATCAGATAACTGAGACCAGGCCACTTTAGGTTGGAATGGGGTCCTGGGTGTACACCCACCACCGGAGTGGAAGAATGGCAGGCGCTTCTTACAGATGACTAGTCGATGGTCAGAGGACAGATCACCTCCACGGTAGTTCCTGGTGTCAAGGACCTGGGCTCGCATCCTCTGGTCCGTCACTATGTAGTCCAGCAGATGTTCTTGCTTGGACCCGGCCTGCATCCATGATGTTGTGTGGATGCGCCGATGCCGGAACAACGTGTTGGTAATTACAAGGCCATGGGCTGCACAAAAATCTAGCAGCCTCCTACCGTTGTTATTGAGCTGATCTGGGCCATGCCCTCCAATCACTCCAGACCAGGTGCCAGCATCATGACCAACTCGGGCATTGAAGTCACCCAACATGATGACTTTTTCCCGAGGTGCCACTTTAGCCAGCACCTGTGACAGGAGGCCATAGAAGGCATCTGACTCATCGGCTTTGCCTGCATCCCTCCACGGATGTTCGTCTTCGGTGGGGGCATAAGTAACCACGACTACCACTCCTCGCCTCCGGTTGATGGGAAGGTGAGCCCAAAGTAGCCTGGGGCTTACAGCTTCCCACACCTCACCGCCGTGCTCCCACGCCCCCTTCATTCTTTTTCGTCTGGCAAAACAACCCCCTACCTCCTCGCGGTGCCGCACGGGCGCGAGGGGCTGGTAACCCTCCACCTTCAACATTTTTTACCACGAAACCACGAATAAAAAATTTAACTAATAAGCTTGTGCCGGAGGCCCCGGGGGGACAGGCGTCTATGACGTGTCCTGGCCAAACCCCAATTGGCGGAGCCATGAGATTGAATCTCTACCATCGGGGCTCCTCCAGAAACAACGAAAAGCCACTACGGGTGGCCACGTGGAATGCTCGAACACGCTCACACACTCACACACTCGCACATACTTACACACACTAACACACACACTCAATGACTCACACTCACAGGTGTACACACACTCACTTACTCACTCACACTCTCACACTCACCGCCTTGCTCTGTTGTTCCAGGAAAGAATCTGCAAGACTTGTAAGTACAACGACAAAGATCCCCCGTGTAGCCTTCATTAACACGGGGGCAAGTGCTGTTAGTTGACGAGTCGCAAGCAGCAGCACGCTATGAAGGCTGTTTATTTGGAGTCTGATACTGCTGATAATGCTACTCCTGATAATGCTACTGCTGATAATGCTACTGATGCTGCTACTGCTGATAATGCTACTGCTGATGATAATGCTACTGATGATAATGCTACTACTCCTGATGCTACTGATGATAATGCTACTGATGCTGCTACTGCTAATAATGCTACTGCTGATGCTGCTACTGCTGATGATGATGCTACTGATGATAATGCTACTACTCCTGATAATGCTACTGCTGATAATGCTACTGATGCTGCTACTGCTGATAATGCTACTGCTGATGCTGCTACTGCTGATGATAATGCTACTGATGATAATGCTACTGCTCCTGATAATGCTACTGATGATAATGCTACTGATGCTGCTACTGCTGATAATGCTACTGTGAAGCTGCTACTGCTGCTGCTGATACTGCTGCTACTACTGTCACTGCTACTATTGAATCTGCTACTACTGACTCTGCTACTGCTAATACTGATACTGCTGCTACTACTGCTACTACTATTGAATCTGCTACTACTGACACTGCTACTGCTAATACTGCTACTAGTGATACTGCTGCTACTACTGCTACTACTATTGAATCTGCTACTACTGACACTGCTACTGCTAATACTGCTACTACTGATACTGCTGCTACTACTGCTACTACTATTGAATCTGCTACTACTGACACTGCTGCTACTGCGCAGGGCCGTGGCTCCGAACCGTTACGCTCCCCACGAGGCGCTCAACCCGGCCGCCCGAAGGACGCTGCTCCTCGACAGCTGCTCGGAGCACAGCTACGAGGCCTACGGCACGGTGGGGGCACCGCCGCCACAGTCACGCACTACAGCCACAGTCACGCACTACAGTCAGTCACGCACTACAGCCACACACTACAGCCACAGCGATGCACTACAGCCAGTCACGCACTACAGCCACAGCCACGCACTACAGCCACAGCCACGCACCGCCGCCACAGCCACAGCCACTCACTACAGCCACGCACTACAGCCACAGCCACGCACTGCAGCCACAGTCACGCACTGCAGCCACAGTCACGCACTGCAGCCACAGTCACGCACTACAGCCACAGTCAGGCACTACAGCCACAGCCAGGCACTGCAGCCACAGTCACGCACTACAGCCACAGCCACGCACTACAGCCACAGCCACGCACTACAGCCATGCACTACAGCCACGCACCGCCGCCACAGTCGCGCAATACAGCAAAAGCCTCGCACTACAGGCACAGTCAAGAACTACAGCCACAGCCACTCACTACAGCCACAGCCACGCACCACAGCCACAGTCATGCACAACAGCCACAGCCACGCATTACAGCCACAGCCACGCACTGCAGCCACAGTCACGCACTGCAGTCACAGTCACGCACTGCAGCCACAGCCACTCACTACAGCCACAGTCACGCACCACAGCCACAGCCACGCACTACAGCCACAACCACGCACTACAGCCACAGTCACGCACTACAGCCACAGTCAAGCACTACAGCCATGCACTACAGCCACAGCCACGCACCGCCGCCACAGTCACGCACTACAGCCACAGCCACGCACTACAGCCACAGTCACGCACCACAGCCACAGTCACGCACCACAGCCACAGTCACGTGCCACGCACCACAGCCACAGCCACGCACTACAGCCATGCACTACAGCCACAGCCACGCACCGCTGCCACAGTCACGCAATACAGCCAAAGCCTCGCACTACAGCCACAGCCAAGAACTACAGCCACAGTCACGCACAACAGTCACAGCCACGCACCGCCGCCACAGTCACGCACTACAGCCACGCACTACAGCCACAGCCACGCACTACAGCCACAGTCACGCACTACAGCCACAGCCACGCACTACAGCCACAGTCACGCACCACAGCCACAGTCACGCACCACAGCCACAGTCACGCACCGCAGCCACAGTCACGCACCGCAGCCACAGTCACGCACCGCAGCCACAGTCACGCACCGCAGCCACAGCCACGCACCGCAGCCACAGCCACGCACCGCAGCCACAGTCACGCACTGCACCCACAGTCACGCACTGCAGCCACAGTCACGCACTGCAGCCACAGTCACGCACTGCAGCCACAGTCACGCACTGCAGCCACAGTCACGCACTACAGGCACAGTCAAGAACTACAGCCACGGCCACGCACTACAGCCACAGCCACGCACCACAGCCACAGTCACGCACAACAGCCACAGCCACGCACTACAGCCACAGCCACGCACTGCAGCCACAGTCACGCACTGGAGTCACAGTCACGCACTGCAGTCACAGTCACGCACTACAGCCACAGCCACTCACTACAGCCACAGTCACGCACCACAGCCATAGCCACGCACCACAGCCACAGCCACTCACTACAGCCACAGTCACGCACTACAGCCACAGTCACGCACTGCAGCCACAGCCACGCACTGCAGCCACAGCCACGCACTGCAGCCACAGCCACGCACTGCAGCCACAGCCACGCACTGCAGCCACAGTCACGCACTGCAGTCACAGTCACGCACTACAGCCACAGCCACGCACTACAGCCACAGTCCCGCACTACAGCCACAGTCACGCACTACAGCCATGCACTACAGCCACAGCCACGCACCGCCGCCACAGTCACGCACTGCAGCCACAGCCACGCACCGCAGCCACAGTCACGCACCACAGCCACAGTCACGCACCACAGCCACAGTCACGCACCACAGCCACAGTCACGCACCACAGCCACAGCCACGCACCACAGCCATAGCCACGCACTACAGCCATGCACTACAGCCACAGCCACGCACCGCCGCCACAGTCACGCAATACAGCCAAAGCCTCGCACTACAGCCACAGCCAAGAACTACAGCCACAGTCACGCACTACAGCCATGCACTACAGCCACAGTCACGCACTACAGCCACAGCCACGCACTACAGCCACAGCCACGCACTACAGCCACGCACTACAGCCACAGCCACGCACCGCCGCCACAGTCACGCACTACAGCCACAGCCACGCACTACAGCCACAGCCACGCACTACAGCCACAGCCACGCACTACAGCCACAGCCACGCACTACAGCGACAGCGACGCACTACAGCCACAGCCACGCACTACAGCCACAGCCACGCACTACAGCCACAGCCACGCACTACAGCCACAGTCACGCACTACAGCCATGCACTACAGCCACAGCCACGCACCGCCGCCACAGTCACTAACTACAGCCACAGTCACGCACCACAGCCACAGTCACGCACCACAGCCACAGTCACGCACCACAGCCACAGTCACGCACCACAGCCATGCACTACAGCCACAGCCACGCACCGCCGCCACAGTCACGCAATACAGCCAAAGCCTCGCACTACAGCCACAGCCAAGAACTACAGCCACAGTCACGCACTACAGCCATGCACTACAGCCACGCACTACAGCCACAGCCACGCACTACAGCCACAGCCACGCACTACAGCCATGCACTACAGCCACAGTCACGCACTACAGCCATGCACTACAGCCACGCACTACAGCCACAGCGACGCACTACAGCCAGTCACGCACTACAGCCATGCACTACAGCCACAGCCACGCACTGCAGCCACAGTCACGCACTGCAGCCACAGTCACGCTCTGCAGTCAGTCACGCACTGCAGCCACAGTCACGCACTACAGCCACAGTCACGCACCACAGCCACAGCCACAGCCACGCACTACAGCCATGCACTACAGCCACAGCCACGCACTGCCGCCACAGTCACGCAATACAGCCAAAGCCTCGCACTACAGCCACAGCCAAGAACTACAGCCACAGTCACGCACTACAGCCATGCACTACAGCCACAGTCACGCACTACAGCCACAGCCACGCACTACAGCCACAGCCAAGCACTACAGCCATGCACTACAGCCACAGTCACGCACTACAGCCACGCACTACAGCCACGCACTACAGCCACAGCGACGCACTACAGCCAGTCACGCACTACAGCCACAGCCACGCACTACAGCCACAGCCACGCACTACAGCCACAGCCACGCACTACAGCCGCAGCCACGCACTACAGCCATGCACTACAGCCACGCACTACAGCGACGCACTACAGCCAGCCACGCACTACAGCCACAGCCATGCACCGCCGCCACAGTCACGCACTACAGCCACAGCCACGCACCACAGCCACAGCCACGCACTACAGCCACAGCCACGCACTACAGCCATGCACTACAGCCACAGCCACGCACCGCCGCCACAGTCACGCACTACAGCCACAGCCAAGAACTACAGCCACAGTCACGCACTACAGCCACAGCCACGCACTACAGCCACAGCCACGCACTACAGCCACAGTCACGCACTACAGCCACAGTCACGCACTACAGCCACGCACTACAGCCACAGCGACGCACTACAGCCAGTCACGCACTACAGCCATGCACTACAGCCACAGCCACGCACTACAGCCACAGCCACGCACTACAGCCACGCACTACAGCCACAGTCACGCACCACAGCCACAGTCACGCACCACCACTCTAAATCAAACGGGGGGGTGGGGGGGGCAAGGTCGCGGGATGCACGCCGGCCCCACCACCGGCCCCACCGCCGTTGGGGCCGGACCCACCGCCGGCCCCAACGGCGGTGGGGCCGGTAGTGCATCCCGCTGGGAGCCGTGGGGCCGTCGGAGAACCCGCGAGAAGTAATGGAAGTCGATGGACTACCGCAAGCATCTGTGTGTGTGTCTGTGTGTGTCTGTGTGTGTCTGTGTGTGTCTGTGTGTGTGTGTGTGTGTCTGTGTGTGTCTGTGTGTGTCTGTCTGTGTGTCTGTGTGTGTGTCTGTCTGTGTCTCTGTCTGTGTCTCTGTCTTTGTGTGTGTCTGTGTGTCTGTGTGTCTGTGTGTGCCTGTCTGTGTGTCTGTGTGTCTGTGTGTGTGTGTCTGTGTGCCTGTCTGTGTGTCTGTGTGTGCCTGTCTGTGTGCCTGTGTGTGTCTGCCTGTCTGTGTGTCTGTGTGTGTGTGTCTGTGTGCCTGTCTGTGTGTCTGTGTGTGCCTGTCTGTCTGTGTGCCTGTGTGTGTCTGCCTGTCTGTGTGCCTGTGTGTGTCTGCCTGTCTGTGTGCCTGTGTCTGCCTGTCTGTGTGCCTGTGTGTGTCTGCCTGTCTGTGTGCCTGTGTGTGTCTGCCTGTCTGTGTGCCTGTGTGTGTCTGCCTGTCTGTGTGCCTGTGTGTGTCTGCCTGTCTGTGTCTGCCTGTCTGTGTGCCTGTGTGTGTCTGCCTGTCTGTGTGCCTGTGTGTGTCTGCCTGTCTGTGTGCCTGTGTGTGTCTGCCTGTCTGTGTGCCTGTGTGTGTCTGCCTGTCTGTGTGCCTGTGTGTGTCTGCCTGTCTGTGTGCCTGTGTGTGTCTGCCTGTCTGTGTGCCTGTGTGTGTCTGCCTGTCTGTGTGCCTGTGTGTGTCTGCCTGTCTGTGTGCCTGTGTGTGTCTGCCTGTCTGTGTGCCTGTGTGTGTCTGCCTGTCTGTGTGCCTGTGTGTGTCTGCCTGTCTGTGTGCCTGTGTGTGTCTGCCTGTCTGTGTGTCTGTGTGTGTCTGCCTGTGTGTGTCTGTGTGTCTGCCTGTGTGTGTGTCTGCCTGTGTGTGTGTCTGTGTCTGCAGGGGGGTAGCGAGCTGTACAGCGACATCACGGGCGGGCGGTCCTCCACCCAAACCACCCAGGAGACGCTGTCTCGCACTGACAGCTACTACAGTGAGACAGCACACAGCACGCACACACGCACACACACGCAGACACACATGCATGCACGCAGACACACGCACACGCAGACACACACACACGCAGACACACACACGCAGACACACACGCAGACACACACGCAGACACACACACACGCAGACACACACACACACACGCACGCAGAAGCACGCAGACACGCAGACACACACGCACGCACGCAGACACGCAGCCACACGCAGACACGCAGACACACACGCACTCACACGCAGACACACAGACACACGCACGCGCGTAGACACGCAGACACGCACGCACGCACTCACACACAGACACACGCACGCGCGTAGGCACACAGACACACGCACGCACTCCCACGCAGACACCTTTGTGTTTGTCTCTGTGGTGCGTCACAGGTGGTACGACGGTGGAGCGCTGGGCCGAGCAGCCCCTGTACGAGGAGGCGTCCACCCCCTCCGACACGGCCCGGCCGCTCTACGGCCGAGCACCGCGCCGTGCCGGACTCCCGGTGAGACGCTCGGTGCGGTCCCGGCGTGGAACCACCCCCAACCACCCTCGCCGTGCGGACGGAGCGTGTCTCCCGCGTGTCTCCCACGTGTGTCTCCCGCGTGTCTCCCGCGTGTCCCCCACGTGTCTCCCGCGTGTCTCCCGTCTCCCGCGTGTCCTCCGCGTGTCTCCCACGTGTCTCCCGCGTGTCTCTCGCGTGTCTCTCACGTGTCTCCCACGTGTGTCTCTCACGTGTGTCTCCCGCGTGTCTCCCGCGTGTCTCCCACGTGTCTCCCGCGTGTCTCCCACGTGTCTCCCGTGTGTCTCCCACGTGTCCCCCGCGTGTCCCCCGCGTGTCTCCCGTGTGTCTCTCGTGTGTCTCTCACGCGTGTCTCCCGCGTGTCTCCCGTGTGTCTTCCGCGTGTCTCTCACGCGTGTCTCCCACGTGTCTCTCACGTGTGTCTCCCGTGTGTCTCCCGTGTGTCTCCCGCGTGTCTCCCGCGTGTCTCCCACGTGTCTCTCACGTGTGTCTCACGTGTGTCTCCCGTGTGTCTCCCGTGTGTCTCCCGCTTGTCTCTCACGCGTGTCTCTCACGTGTCTCTCACGTGTCTCTCACGTGTCTCTCACGTGTGTCTCTCACGTGTGTCTCCCGTGTGTCTCCCGTGTGTCTCCCGTGTGTCTCTCACGTGTCTCCCGCGTGTCTCCCGCGTGTCTCCCGCGTGTCCCTCCCGCGTCTCCCGTGTCTCCACCACCGGCGCGTGTCTTTGTGTCCTCCGTGTGTCCTCATGTCTCCTGTGCGTCTCCTGCGTGTCTCCGGGTCTCATGTGTCCCTCCGTGTCTCCAGGTGGAGCCCATTGAGGAGGAGCCGTTGGACTTTGACGACGAGGAGACGGAGGAGGCTGTTGGAGTCTCTGAGGACCGGACGCTGCCCTTTGAGATGCGTGGAGACCTCGTGTAGCCCCCGCTAGCCCCCACCTCTCTCGCCCCCCACTACCCCCCACCCTCCACTACCCCACCCGCACCCCCCCCCCCCCCCGCTGACTCACGGCAGCAATAATAACGCTCACAGATTTGATTTCATTGTCAATTTTTTTTGCAACAAAAAATAAAGTCGGTAGTGGTTGCCGCTGCTGCTGCACGACCCAACGCCTGCCCGTTCGGCCTGCTCACATTCCCAGAGTTTAACCCCTTCCCGTTCCGATGACGTACGTGTGACACCCCCCCCTTCTGATGACGTAGGTGCATGTGACACCTCTCCCCCCCCCCCATTCCCATGACGTAGATGTATGTAACACCCCCACCCCCCCCCCCCCCGTTCTGATGACGTACGTGTGACACCCCCCCTGATGACGTACGTACAAGTGACCTCACACCACCCCCCACCCCCGTTCCGATGACGTAAGTACGTGTAAGTGAAACCCTCCCTGTTCCGATGACGTACACATGCCAAGCCCTTTCCCAGGAGGACGCACGTACGTGTGTGTGTGTGTGTCACAGTGTGTCACGTGTGTGTGTCACAGTGTGTCACGTGTGTGTGTGTCACGTGTGTGTGTCACGTGTGTGTGTCACAGTGTGTCACGTGTGTGTCACGTGTGTGTGTGTGTGTGTCACAGTGTGTGTGTCACAGTGTGTGTGTGTCACGTGTGTCAGTGTGTGTGTCACGTGTGTGTCAGTGTGTGTGTCACTGTGTGTGTGTACGGGGGAGCGGTGGTGTAGCATCGGTCAGCGCTACGCTGCGTCACGAACCCGGCCGCCCGAGTTCGATTCCCGCTCCACGGCCAACACCGTCAGTGACGACTACCTGAACCGGTCCCCCGGGGGCCTCCCCTAGGTCGACTCGGTCTCAAATGAGTTACCCGGCTGCGCCGTGCAGTGAACATCGCCACTGGGGGAGACAAAGGCGGCCAGGGGCGTGGTGTTGCTGGCCACACCCCCCCTCCAGCCGTGTGCCACAGTGCCGGGTAGCCTTGATAGATGCTGCTCGCTAACGGCACTTGCCCCTACAGTCTGCACGAATGCATACACATTGATTCTTTCGGTGAAGTCGCGAAGCTAGAATCACGACGTTTAGATCGCCGCACGACAAGCAAACCCGTCTTCAGACGATCGCTTGCGCGGCCATCGAGACGTCCGTGATGATCTACTATTGTTTCTGCCTAGGTGACTTGACCGAAAAAACCCACAGAGTCATTCTGCTAGAGGCTACGATGGTGGGGGGGGGGGAGGAGGGGGGAGGAGGTTCGCCCCCTTTCCGTCTCGTTGCGGGCATCAGGCCCCTGGTGGTGTGGCCGCGTCCCCGAGACGCTCCAGCATCCTGTCCAGCCCGGACACCTCCTTCTCCAGAGCCTCCATCTGCGAGGCAATCGACGGCACGGTCAGCACCACCAATACCACCACCAGCCAGCCAGGATTCACCACCACCAGCCAGCCAGGATTCACCACCACCAGCCAGCCAGGATTCACCACCACCAGCCCAGGATTCACCACCACCACCACTAGCCAGGATTCACCACCACCCACTCCGGATCCACCACCACCACCCACCCCGGATCCACCACCACCACCAGCCAGGATTCACCACCACCACCACCAGCCAGGATTCACCACCACCACCACCAGCCAGGATTCACCACCACCAGCCAGGATTCACCACCACCAGCCAGGATTCACCACCACCACCAGCCAGGATTCACCACCACCACCACCACCCACCCCGGATCCACCACCACCACCACCAGCCAGGATTCACCACCCACCCCGGATCCACCACCACCACCACCACCAGCCAGGATTCACCACCACCAGCCAGCCAGGATTCACCACCACCACCATCCACCCCGGATCCACCACCACTACCCATCCAGGATCCACCACCGCTCAAGTCGGTGGCTGATGGGTGCGGTGTAGAGTGTAGTGTAGAGTGTATAGTGTAGTGTATAGCATAGTGTTGTGTAGAGTGTAGTGTAGTGTGTGTAGTGTATAGTGTAGTGTGGAGTGTATAACGTAGTGTATAGTAGTGTAGTGTATAGCGTCGTGTGTATAGTGTAGTATATAGAGGAGTGTAGTTTAGTGTAGAGTGTAGTTTAGTATGTGTGCAGTGTAGTGTGTCGTGTGCAGTGTAGGGTGTAGCTTGTGTGTAGTGTATAGTGTAGTGTGGAGTGTAGTGTAGTGTAAGGTTTAGTGTGTGTGCAGTGTAGGGTGTCGTGTATAGTGTAGGGTGCAGCGTCTGTGTAGTGTATAGTGTAGTGTGGAGTGTAGTGTAAGGTTTAGCCTGTGTGCAGTGTAGGGTGTCGTGTATCGTGCAGCTTCTGTGTAGTGTATAGTGTAGTGTAGGTGAAGTGTGCGTGCAGTATCGGGTGTAGAGTAAGTTTTAGCGTGTGTGCAGTGTAGGGTGTAGCTTGTGTATAGTGTAGTGGAGAGTGTAGTGTATGGTGTAGTGTAAGGTGTAGCATGTGTGCAGTGTAGGGTGTAGTGTATAGTAGAGTGTATAGTGTAGTATATAGTGTAGCGTAGTATGCAGTGAAGCACAATGTAGTGTAGTACATAGTAGTGTAGTGTATATATAGTGGTGTATAGTATATAATATAGTATATAATGTAGTGTATTGTAGCGTGTAGTGTAGTATATCATGTTGTGTGTAGTGTAGTATATAATGTAGTGTAGTATGTAGTATATAATGTAGTGTGTAGTGCATAATGTAGTGTGTAGTATATAATGTAGTGTAGTGTGTAGTGTATAATATAGTGTAGTGTGTAGTATATAATGTAGTCTGTAGTATATAATGTAGTATATAATGTAGTGTGGTGTGTAGTATATAATGTAGTGTAGTGTATAGTATATAATGTAGTGTAGTGTATAATGTAGTATATAATGTAGTTTGTAGTGTAGTATATAATGTATTGTGTAGTGTAGTATATAATGTAGTATATAGTGTAGTGTATAATGTAGTGTAGCATGTAGTGTAGTATATAATGTAGTGTGTAGTGTATAATGTAGTGTGTAGTGTAGTATATAATGTAGTGTGTAGTGTAGTATATAATGTAGTGTGTAGTGTAGTATATAATGTAGTGTGTAGTGTCTAGTATATAATGTAGTGTGTAGTATATAATGTAGTGTAGTGTGTAGTATTTAATGTAGCGTATAGTGTAGTATATAATGTAGCGTGTAGTGTAGTATATAATGTAGTGTAGTGTATAATGTAATGTATAATGTAGTAGTGTAGTATATAATGTAGTGTGTAGTGTAGTATATAATGTAGTGTGTAGTGTCTAGTATATAATGTAGTGTGTAGTATATAATGTAGTGTAGTGTGTAGTATTTAATGTAGCGTATAGTGTAGTATATAATGTAGCGTGTAGTGTAGTATATAATGTAGTGTAGTGTATAATGTAATGTATAATGTAGTATATAATGTAGTGTAGTGTGTAGTATATAATGTAGTGTGTAGTGTAGTATATAATGTAGTGTGTAGTGTAGTATATAATGTAGTGTATAATGTAGTATATAATGTAGTGTAGTGTGTAGTATATAATGCAGTGTAGTGTGTAGTATATAATGTAGTGTGTAGTATATAATGTAATGTATAATGTAGTATATAATGTAGTGTGTAGTATATAATGTAGTGTGTAGTGTAGTATATAATGTAGTGTGTAGTGTAGTATATAATGTAGTGTATAATGTAGTATATAATGTAGTGTAGTGTGTAGTACATAATGTAGTGTGTAGTGTATAATGTAGTGTATAATGTAGTGTATAATGTAGTGTATAATATAGTATATAATGTAGTATATAATGTAGTGTATAATGTAGTATATAATGCAGTGTAGTGTGTAGTATATAATGTAGTGTGTAGTGTAGTATATAATGTAGTGTAGTGTGTAGTATATAATGTAGTGTGTAGTGTAGTATATAATGTAGTGTATAATGTAGTATATAATGTAGTGTAGTGTGTAGTATATAATGTAGTGTGTAGTGTAGTATATAATGTAGTGTATAATGTAGTATATAATGCAGTGTAGTGTGTAGTGTAGCGTAGGGCGACCTGCGCGCGGTGCTCCTGCCGCGTGGTCTCCGGCGTGTCCCGCCGGTAGCCCTCCTCACCGTCCCGCCTACGAGCAGCACTCAGCCGGAACAACACTCGCTCCCTGGTGGCACTCAGACGGCGCACCTCCCGCTCGGAGTCCACCACGCCCTGGCCAGCAACAACAATAGACAACAACCAACAACAACAACAATAGACAACAACCAACAACAACAATAGACAACAACCAACAACAACAACAATAGACAACAACCAACAACAACAACAATAGACAACAACCAACAACAACAATAGACAACAACCAACAACAACAATAGACAACAACAACCAACAACAACAATAGACAACAACAATAGACAACAACCAACAACAACAATAGACAACAACAATAGACAACAACCAACAACAACAATAGACAACAACCAACAACAACAATAGACAACAACAACAATAGACAACAACCAACAACAATAGACAACAACAACAATAGACAACAACCAACAACAACAACAATAGACAACAACCAACAACAACAACAATAGACAACAACCAACAACAACAATAGACAACAACCAACAACAACAACAATCAACAACACCATCACCCTGCCCCCTCCCCCCATGCATCTTCCGCTTGATGTCCGATTACCGTGGTTGGCTACGCACGGTGCGAAAGAAGTTAAACATTGATACACTACACTATACACTACACTATACACTACTACACTATACACTACACTATACACTACACTATACACTACACTATACACTACTACACTATACACTACACCACTATACACTACACTACTATACACTACTACACTATACACTACTGCACTATACACTACTACACTGTACACTACTACACTATACACTACTATACACTACACAATACACTACTATACACTAAACTATACACTACTACACTATACACTACTACACACTGCACTATACACTACACTATACACTACTACACTATACACTACTACACTATACACTACTACACTATACACTACACTACTATACACTACTACACTATACACTACAATTCTACTATACACTACACTACTGTACACTACACTATACACTACAATTCTACTATACACTACACTACTATACACTACAATATACACTACAATTCTACTATACACTACACACTATACACTACTATACACACATTATTCACAACACTATACACTACACTACTATACACTACACTATACACTACACTACTATATACTACACACTACACTATACACTACACTACTATATACTACACACTACACTATACACTACACTACACACTACTATACACTACACTAACACTATACACTATACTAAACACTACACTATACACTACACTATACACTACTACACTATACACTACACTACTATACACTACTACACTATACACTACTACACTATACACTACTACACTATACACTACTACACTATACACTACTACACTATACACTACACTATACACTACTATACACTACACTATACACTACTACACTATACACTACTACACTACACACTACAATATACACTACTACACTATACACTGCACTGTACACTACTACACTATACACTACACTACTATACACTACAATTCTACTATACACTACACTACTATACACTCCACTATACAGTACACTATACACTACACTACTATACACTACACTATACACTACAATTCTACTATACACTACTATACACTACACTATACACTACAATTCTACTATACACTACACACTATACACTACTATACACACATTATTCACAACACTATACACTACACGATACACTACACTACTATACACTACACTACTCTATACTACACACTACACTATACACTACACTACTATATACTACACACTACACTATACACTACACTATACACTACACTACACACTACTATACACTACACTAACACTATACACTACTACACTATACACTACTATACACTACTACACTATACACTACTACACTATACACTACTATACTATACACTACTACACTATACACTACACTATACACTACACTATACACTACTACACTATACACTACTACACTATACACTGCAATTCTACTATACACTACACTACTATACACTCTACTATACAGTACACTATACACTACACTACGATACACTACACTATACACTACAATTCTACTATACACTACACTACTATACACTACACTATACACTACAATTCTACTATACACTACACTACTATACACTACACTATACACTACAATTCTACTATACACTACACACTATACACTACTATAAACTACTATACACACATTATTCACAACACTATACACTACACGATACACTACACTACTATACACTACACTATACACTACTATATACTACACACTACACTATACACTACACTACTATATACTACACACTACACTATACACTACACTACACACTACTATACACTACACTAACACTATACACTACACTATACACTACTACACTATACACTACACTACTATACACTACTACACTATACACTACTACACTATACACTACACTACTATACACTACTACACTATACACTACAATTCTACTATACACTACACTACTATACACTCCACTATACAGTACACTATACACTACACTACTATACACTACACTATACACTACAATTCTACTATACACTACACACTATACACTACTATACACACATTATTCACAACACTATACACTACACTACTATACACTACACTACTATACACTACACTATACTACTATATACTACACACTACACTATACACTACACTACTATATACTACACACTATACTATACACTACACTACTATACACTACACTACTATACACACTATACACTACACTACTATACACTACACTATACACTACACTACTATAAACTACTATAAACTACTATATACTACACTATACACTACACACTACACTACACCACTACACTATACTACACACTACACACTACACCATACACTACACTATACACTACACTATACACTACTATACACTACACTATACACTACACTAACACTATACACTACACTACTATACACACTATACACTACACTACTATACACTACACTACTATAAACTACTATATACTACACTATACACTACACTATACACTACACCACTACACTATACTATACACTACACACTATACACTACACTATACACTACACTACACTGTACACTACACACTACACTGTACACTACACTATACACTACACTATAATACACTACACTATACACTACACACTACTATACACTACGTCACTTCACAAAATTTAAAACGAATGTCTTTACAACTTGTTGTTGTTGTTGTGTTTAGTTTGTTGTCCTTCCTCCCCGCTCACCTCCGACTAGCTACGTTTGTCAACCGCATGAACGCACACACCCACGTACACACACACGTACACACACACACACGTACGCACACACACATGCACGCACACACGTACGCACACACGCGTACGTACGCATGCACACACACGTACGCACACACACACATGCACGCACACACACGTACACATGCACGCGCACGAACACACACACACACACACGTACGCACACACACATGCACGCACACACACACGTACACACACACGCACACAAGTACACACACACACACACACGTACGCACACACACACACACGTACGCACACACACATGCACGCACACACACACACACGTACGCACACACACACATGCACACATGCACACACACGCGCGCGTACACACACGTACGCACACACGCGCGCGTACACACACGTACGCACACACACACACGCACACACGCACACACACACAAGTACGTACACACACACACAAGTACGCACACACACGCGCGCGTACACACACACAAACACACGTACGTACACACACGTACACACACACAAACACACGTACGTACACACACACACACAAGTACACACACACACGTACGCGCACACACGTACGCTCCCACAAACACGTATGCTCCCACACACACACACGTACGCTCCCACACACGAATGTACGCTCTCACACACACAAATGCACGTACACGCGCAGGAACACACACACGCGCACGTACACACACACGTACACACGTACACATGCTCGTGCACGTACACACATGCACGTACACATGCACGTACACACATACACGCGCGCGCGTACACACGTACACACACACACACGTACACATGCACGCGCACGAACACACACACACGTACACACACACGTACACACGCACGTGCAAGTACACACATGCACGTACACACATGCACGTACACACATGCACGTACACACGCGCGCACGTACACACGCGCGCACGTACACACGCGCGCATATGCACGTACACGTAAGCACGAACACACACACACACACGCGCACTGCGCGTACACACGTACACACGCACGTACACACATGCGCGCGTACACACGTACACACGCACATGCACGTACATACACACGTACACACGTACACACACACGTACACACACACGTACACATGCACGTACACACATGCACGTACACACATGCACGTACACACGTACACACACCACACCTATCTCCCGGTGCGTCCACCCCCCCCTGCCCCCAGCATGCATCTCTCTCCCCCCACCCCCCTGCCCACACGTGACCCTCCCGCCCACCTGCAGCGGCAGGTACACGGCGGCGACCCCCCCGGCCGCCACGGCGCCGACGCAGTGGCCCGGCGGGCCGGCGGCCGCCAGCGGGCCGGCGGCCGCCAGGGGGCGCAGCTCACGGCAGCGGCAGAGGGCGCAGAGCGGCACGGCGAGGGCGGAGAGCACGCGGGAGGCCCGCTCACTTCCTGCCTCCAACATCACTGTTACACACACACGCAGTGACACACACAGTGACACACACACAGTGACACACAGTGACACACAGTGACACACACACAGTGACACACACACAGTGACACAGTGACACAACAACAACAACCGCCATTCGCCAATAAGTGGCGGTGACGTCACCACGACGCTTGTGCCAGGCTATGTGCACCCTGAGGCCACGTGAAGTGTCGAACGCCCGCTGGCAGGAGGTCACGGGGCAGACCCAGGTGCCACGGGTCGACTGACTGAGATGACTGGCTGATGCACCACCTGTGCCCCCTACTGTGCCAACCTGCTGTGCTTTAGCCACCCGGCGCTCCGCTCGTTGTTGTGAGCGTCGCTCCTCCGCCCTCCGTTGTTGTTGGAGGGCGACTGCCTCCAACTGCCCAGTATCAGCAGCGTCCTTCACGAGCCTCCTCCACAGAGGCTGATCTTGACACCGCTGGTACCAGTCATCGGCAAGTCCACTCAGCGCCACGTCCTCCCGGACCACATCACTCCATCTCTTCTCTAGCCCGTGCCGTGCCTGTTTAGCCCCCTTAATCCGGCCGAACAAAAGCTGTTTAGGCATGCGGGCTACATGGCCCAGCCAACGCAGCCTTGCCTGCCGGAGGAGCTCACCGATAGGACTTTGCCAAAATCTTTCAAGGATTTGTGAGCTCCTCACACAATCCAGCCTGCTTAAAGCCAGGATGGATCGTAGGCAGGCCAGCCTAAATGTTCCTAACTGGCGAAGATGTTCCATTAGGGGGTCCACGTTTCGCAAGCGTAGAGAAGGGAGGGAATGACTGTGGCCGAGAAGACCTGAAGCTTAGTGCGGAGTGACAGACCAGGTAGCTTCCACACAGCGTTACGCAACCGATGAAAAGATAATGCTGCTCGACTGATTCAGAGTGAGACCTCTGCTGTTAAACCGGAGCCGGTCATGAGCACACTGCCCAGGTATGGGAAACTCTCCACTCTCTCCACAACTGCCCCATCACCAATTGGGAGTTGTGGGGGTGGAGTGTCTGATGGTACAAAATACCCAGGCGGGTGCTTCGTTTTGGTGGGGCTGATGGTAAGGCCCCACCTCTTGGTGGCAAGCTCCAGGTTCAGCAGCAGCGCCTCCAACTCCTCCTCTGAGTGAGCAGCGATCACCAGATCATCGGCATACATAACGTGGTTGAGCAATAGGGAGCCATCCCTTGACCGCACCTGGACATCGATCAGCCTCCCATTATATCTGTACCAAATGGAAATTCCTCCGGTACAGCTATTGAAGGCTTCACAAACTGCGTGGTCAAAATAGATGTTAAATAATGTGGGAGCCAGAGGACATCCCTGTCGCACCCCAAGGTGTACAGGGAATGGCTCTGACTCCCAGCCACGTAGTTTTACCCGGGCCCGCTCACCATCATGAAGGTCCTTAATGATCGTGAGCAGAGGGTTAGGGACTCCAAAAGCACGAAGAACAACCCAGAGCCCAGGCCTACTGATGGTATCATAGGCCTTGACCAGGTCAATAAAGCAGAGATGACACATAGACAAAGATCCCCCATATAGCCTTAACAGACTGTAGGGGCAAGTTCTGTTAGTGAGCACCTATGAAGGCCGGAACGGCACACGAGGGGGTGGGTGGCCAGTACTACGCCCGGCCGCCTTTGTCTCCCCAGTGGCGATGTTTACTCGACACCGTAGCACCAGGTAACTCATTTGAGGCTGAGTGGACTTCGGGGAGGCCCAGAACCGGTTCGGATAATCGTCACTGGCGTGTCTCTGTGTGTCTCAGTGTGTCTCAGCGTGTCTCTGTGTCTCAGCGTGTCTCAGCGTGTCTCTGTGTGTCTCAGCGTGTCCCAGCGTGTCTCAGTGTGTCTCTGTGTCTCTCAGTGTGTCTCTGTGTGTCTCTGTGTGTGTCTCAGCGTGTCTCTGTGTCTCAGCGTGTCTCTGTGTCTCTCAGTGTGTCTCTGTGTGTCTCTGTGTGTGTCTCAGCGTGTCTCTGTGTGTCTCAGCGTATCTCTGTGCGTCTCAGAGTGTCTCTGTGTGTCTCTGTGTCTCAGCGTGTCTCAGTGTGTCTCAGCGTGTCTGTGTGTGTCTCAGCGTGTCTGTGTGTGTCTCAGCGTGTCTGTGTGTCTCAGCGTGTCTGTGTGTCTCAGTGTGTCTCTGTGTGTCTCAGCGTGTCTCTGTGTGTCTCAGCGTGGCTGTGTCTCAGCGTGTCTCTGTGTGTCTCAGAGTGTCTCAGCGTGTCTCTGTGTGTCTCTGTGTCTCAGCGTGTCTGTGTGTGTCTCAGCGTGTCTGTGTGTCTCAGCGTGTCTCAGTGTGTCTCTGTGTGTCTCAGCGTGGCTGTGTCTCTGCGTGTCTCAGCGTGTCTCTGTGTGTCTCTGTGTGTCTCAATGTGTCTCAATGTGTCTAAGCGTGTCTCAGTGTCTCAGCGTGTCTCAGTGTGTCTCAGCATGTCTCAGCGTGTCTGTGTGTGTCTCAGCGTGTCTGTGTGTCTCAGCGTGTCTGTGTGTCTCAGCGTGTCTCAGTGTGTCTCTGTGTGTCTCAGCGTGGCTGTGTCTCTGCGTGTCTCAGCGTGTCTCTGTGTGTCTCTGTGTGTCTCTGTGTGTCTCTGTGTGTCTCAATGTGTCTCAATGTGTCTAAGCGTGTCTCAGCGTGTCTCAGTGTGTCTCAGCATGTCTCAGCGTGTCTGTGTGTGTCTCAGCGTGTCTGTGTGTCTCAGCGTGTCTGTGTGTCTCAGCGTGTCTCTGTGTGTCTCTGTGTGTCTCTGTGTGTCTCAGCGTGTCTCAGCGTGTCTCTGTGTGTGTCAGCGTGTCTCTGTGTGTCTCAATGTGTCTCAATGTGTCTCAGCGTGTCTCAATGTGTCTGTGTGTGTCTCAGCGTGTCTGTGTGTCTCAGCGTGTCTCAGTGTGTCTCTGTGTGTCTCAATGTGTCTCAGCGTGTCTGTGTGTGTCTCACGTGGGGGTCGCTCCCTGGTGAAGCCGTACTGAGCCCGGAGCGTCCGCACCGTCCTCACCACCTCCATCATCAGCTCCACGTCCTCCTCCACAGCGGGAGACAGCCAGCCAGCCTGCACACACGCAGAGACAAAGATCCCCCGTGTAGCCTCAACAGACTGTAGGGGCAAGTGCTGTTAGCGAGTAGCAGCACCTATGAAGGCCGGGACGGCACACGAGGGGGTGGGTGGCCGGCTAGCACCACGCCCGACCGCCTTTGTCTCCCCAGTGGCAATGCTTACACACCGCACCAGGTACTCATTTTGAGGCTGAGTCGAACTAGGGGAGGCCCGTGACTGGTTCAGATAATCGTCACTGGTGGTGTTGGCCGTGAGCGGGAATCGAACCCGGGTCGCTGGGTTTATAGTGCAGCGTAGCGCTAACCACTACATTACCGCACGCACACACACACACGCACACACATGCACACACGCACACACGCACACACACGCATGCACACACGCACACACGCACACACACGCACGCACACGCTCGCACACACACGCACACGCTCGCACACACGCGCACACACGCTCGCACGCACACATCATACACTGACTCACTCACACATCATGCACTGACTCACTCACACACCATACACTCACTCACACATCATACACTCACTCACACATCATACGCCGACTCACACATCATACACTCACTCACACATCATACACTGACTCACTCACATCATACACTCACTCACGCTGCTGCTGACTCACTCACTCACATCATACAATGACTCACTCACACATCATACACTCACTCACGCTGCTGCTGACTCACTCACACATCATACACTGACTCACTCACACATCATGCACTGACTCACTCACACACCATACACTCACTCACACATCATACACTCACTCACACATCATACACTGACTCACTCACACATCATACACTGACTCACTCACACATCATGCACTGACTCACTCACACATCATACACTGACTCACACATCATACGCTGACTCACACATCATACACTCACTCACACATCATACACTAACTCACTCATCATACACTGACTCACTCACACATCATACGCTGACTCACACATCATACACTCACACATCATACACTCACTCACGCTGCTGCTGACTCACTCACTCATCATACACCGACTCGCACATCATACACTGACTCGCACATCATACACTGACTCACACATCATACACTCACTCACGCTGCTGCTGACTCACTCACACATCATACACTGACTCACTCACACATCATACACTGACTCACTCACACATCATACACCGACTCACTCACACATCATACACTGACTCACTCACACCATGCACTGACTCACTCACACATCATACACTCACTCACACATCATACACTCACTCACACTGCTGCTGACTCACTCACACACCATACACTGACTCACACATCATACACTCACTCACACATCATACTCACTCACTCTGCTGCTGACTCACTCACACATCATACACTGACTCACACATCATACACTCACTCACACATCATACACTCACTCACACTGCTGCTGACTCACTCACACATCATGCACTGACTCACTCATCATACACTGACTCACTCACACATCATACACTGACTCACTCACACATCATACACTCACACATCATACACTCACACATCATACACTCACTCACGCTGCTGCTGACTCACTCACACATCATACACTCACTCGCACATAATACACTCACTCACACATCATACACTCACACTACCACTCACTCACTCATCATACACTCACTCACGCTGCTGCTGACTCACTCACACATCATACACTCACTCACACATCATACGCTGACTCACACATCATACACTCACTCACGCTGCTGCTGACTCACTCACACATCATACACTCACTCACACATCATACACTCACTCACACATCATACACTGACTCACTCACACATCATACACTCACTCACACATCATACACTCACTCACGCTGCTGCTGACTCACTCACACATCATACACTCACTCACTCACACATCATACACTGACTCACTCACACATCATGCACTGACACACTCACACATCATACACTGACTCACTCACACATCATACACTCACTCACGCTGCTGCTGACTCACTCACACATCATACACTCACTCACGCTGCTGCTGACTCACTCACACATCATACACTGACTCACTCACACATCATACACTGGGAGTGTCGTGCTGCCAGCTATGGCTGCAGGTTTTTGTCGTACGTGTCATGTATGTGGTTTATTGTTAAATTTAAAATCACAGTTCCTATGATTAATGTTGTTACATTGTTTTTTATAGCTTTCTTTTGGCGATTCGAAAACATATGGTTAACCTCAATTGTCTTATGCTTGTTGTTGTTGGCTTGCACCACGTAGATTTTTGCACGCAGCGTTTTAATACGTTTTTTTTTGCGTGGAATATTTGCTGGTTTATTCCAGGATGTTTCTGTTAGGCGTCGTCGCTTTAAGATGTTCTGGGTTCAAATTTTGTTTGTTGCGGTTGCACCCGACTTAAGAGCCGCATGGCTCACAGGGCTACACCTAAATAAATGAAACTTGAAACAACAACAACCGCCATTCGCCACTAAGTGGCGGTGACGTCACCACGACGCTTGTGCCAGGCCATGTGCACCTTGAGGCCACGTGAAGTGTCGAACGCCCGCTGGCAGGAGGTCACGGGGCAGACCCAGGTGCCACCGGTCGACTGACCTGAGATGACTGACTGGTGCACCACCTGTGCCCCCTACTGTGCCAACCTGCTGTGCTTTAGCTACCCGGCGCTCCGCTCGTTGTTGTGAGCGTCGCTCCTCCGCCCTCCGTTGTTGTTGGAGGGCGACTGCCTCCAACTGCCCAGTAGCGTCCTTCACGAGCCTCCTCCACAGAGGCCGATCTTGACACCGCTGGTACCAGTCATCGGCAAGTCCACTCAGCTCCACGTCCTCCTGTACCACATCACTCCATCTCTCCTCTAGCCCGTGCCGCGCCCGTTGAGCCCCCTCGATCCGGCCGAACAAAAGCTGTTTCGGCATGCGGTGGCTGGGCATGCGGGCTACATGATCCAGCCAACGCAGCCTTGCCTGCCGGAGGAGCTCACCGATGGGACCTTGCCCAGATCTTTCAAGGATTTGTGAGCTCCTCACACAATCCAGTCTGGTTAAACCCAGGATGGATCGTAGGCAGGCCAGCCTAAATGTTTCCAACCGGCGAAGATGCTACATTAAGGGGGCCCACGTTTCGCAAGCGTAGAGAAGGGAGGGAATGACCGTGGCCGAGAAGACCTGAAGCTTAGTGCGGAGCGACAGACCAGGAAGCTTCCACACAGCGTTAAGCAACCGATGAAAATATATTGCCGCTCGACTGATTCGGAGTGAGACCTCTGCTGTTAAACTGGAGCCGGTCACACACATGCTAGGTGATAGTGCAGCGTAGCGCTAACCACTACCCCACAGACACACGCACGTATCCACGCACGCATGCACGCACACATGTTAGGTGCAGGAGGACATGAGACAGACCCTGCAGGTGCCACGGGGCTGACTGCCGTGCCAGGCTAGGTGCAGGAGGAGGTCACGGGACAGACCCAGATGGTGCCACGGGGGTTGACTGCCGTGCCAGGCTAGGTGCATGAGGAGGTCACGGGACAGACCCAGGTGCTATGGGTCGACTGCTGTGCCAGGCTAGGTGCAGGAGGAGGTCACGGGACAGACCCAGCAGGTGCCACGGGTTGACTGCTGTGCCAGGCTAGGTGCAGGAGGAGGAGGTCACGGGACAGACCCAGGTCGTGTCACGGGTCGACTGCTGTGCCAGGATAGGTGCAGGAGGAGGTCACGGGACAGACCCTTGTGGTACCATGGGTTGACTGCTGTGCCAGGCTAGGTGCAGGAGGAGGTCATGGGGCAGACCCAGGTCGTGTCACAGGTCGACTGCTGTGCCAGGCTAGGTGCAGGAGGAGGTCACGGGACAGACCCTGGTGGTACCATGGGTTGACTGCCGTGCCAGGCTAGGTGCAGGAGGCCGTGGTGTCACGGGACAGACCCAGGTCATGTCACGGGTCGACTGCCGTGCCAGGCTAGGTGCAGGAGGAGGTCACGGGACAGACCCTGGTGGTACCATGGGTCGACTGCCGTGCCAGGCTAGGTGCAGGAGGCCGTGGGTGTCACGGGACAGACCCTGGTGGTACCACGGGACAGCTCACCACGAGCTCGTCGTCGGGGAAGGCCGCGACGCAGACGCTGGGCGCTGCGTCCGTCACGGCGCGGGGGTGCCGCTGCCACAGCTCCTCGGCCACGAAGGGCGCCAGCGGCGCCAGCAGCCGCAGCCCGACCTCGACGGCGGCGTGGAGGGCGCCCAGCGCCACCCTCGCCTCCGCCTCCGCCGCCTCCGCCGCCTCCTCCGCGCCCGAACCGCCGCCGCCGGTAGCAGCGGCAGCGGCAGCCAACACCGGCTTCACAGACTCCTGCGCGGGAGGGGGGGGGGGGGGAGTGGGAGGCGGTAGGCGCGTACCGTTGGAGCGTACCGTAGGCGTGCATCGCAGTAGCATACCCTAACGCGCGTGCTGTGTGTGTGTGCAGTATGCGTGTACCGTACACAGGTACCGCGCATATCGAGCGAGCGTACCGCAAGTACCGTACGTGTGTACCGCGTATACAGTACGTGTGTGTGTGCCGCGTGTACAGTACGTGTGTGTGTGCCGCGTGTACAGTACGTGTGTGTGTGTGCCGCGTGCACAGGACGTGTGTACCGCGTGTACAGTACGTGTGTGTGTGTGCCGCGTGTACAGTACGTGTGTGTGTGTGCCGCGTGCACAGGACGTGTACCGCGCGTACAGTACGTGTGTGTGTGCCGCGTGCACAGGACGTGTGTACCGCGTGTACAGTACGTGTGTGCCGCGTGTACAGTGCGTGCGTGCCGCGTGTACAGTATGTGCGTGCCGCGTGTACAGTACGTGTGTGCCGCGTGTACAGTGTGTGCCGCGTGTACAGTGCGTGCGTGCCGCGTGTACAGTGCGTGCGTACCAGGTAGACGTCACAGAGGTCGTGCAGCCACAGGGCGTGCACGGCGCTGGAGGCCGCCGGGAAGGAGAGGCCACGCAGGGCCTCGTTGGAGGCCCTCACGGCCACGGCCACGCGGGACAGCAGCCACGCTGGCATGCCGGCACCCTCCACCACCACCTACAACCACCACCGCAACCACCACCATCACCACAACCAACCACAACCACCACCATCACCACAACCAACCACAATCACCTACAACCACCACCATCACCACAACCACAACCACCACCGCAACCACCACCATCACCGCAACCACCACCACAACCACCTACAACCACAACCACCACCATCACCTACAACCACCACCATCACCACAACCACAACCACCACCATCACCTACAACCACCACAACAACAAAATAAACCACCACAAACCTTGAACCACCACCACAACAACAACCGCCTACAACCACCTACAACCACCACCGCAACCACCTACAACCACCACCGCAACCACCACCACCACCGCAACCACCACCACCGCAACCACCACCACCATCACCACAACCAACCACAATCACCTACAACCATCACCACAACCAACCACAATCACCTACAACCACCACCACAACCACAACCACCACCACAACCACAACCACAACCACCACCATCACCTACAACCACCACAACAACAAAATAAACCACCACAAACCTTGAACCACCACAACAACAACCGCCTACAACCACCACAACCACCACCATCACCACAACCACCTACAATCACCTATAACTACCACAATCACCTACAACCACCTACAACCACCACCGCAACCACCTACAACCACCACCGCAACCACCACCACCGCAACCACCACCACCACCGCAACCACCACCACCACCATCACCGCAACCAACCACAATCACCTACAACCACCACCATCACCACAACCAACCACAATCACCTACAACCACCACCACAACCACAACCACCACCATCACCTACAACCACCACAACAACAAAATAAACCACCACAAACCTTGAACCACCACCACAACAACAACCGCCTACAACCACCACAACCACCACCATCACCACAACCACCTACAATCACCTATAACTACCACAATCACCTACAACCACCACAACCACCATCACCACAACCAACCACAATCACCTACAACCACCACAACCACCTACAACCACCACCACAACCACCACCATCACCACAACCACCACCATCACCACAACCAACCACAATCCACTACAACAGTGGTTCTTAACCTTGTTGGAGGTACCGAACCCCACCAGTTTCATATGCGCATTCACCGAACCCCTCTTTAGTGAAAAATAAAATGTGATTTTTTTCAAATTCAAGACATAGATATGTTTTTTACTGGTACACAAAATGAGCCGTGCATGAACATTACCTTGTTCAAAGAATAAAACCAACACAATGCATAAACTCACAACAAATTACATACCTGGAAATCAATGTGACTTCTGCTGTTGCCTTTGAGAGATCAGTTCAGATATGCGTGGCTTCACCTTGGCAAGTGCCACTCTCATGTCATTTTCACAGCAAAGTTCGTTCCTTTTCTTCGTTTTTATGTCCAGCATCCTCGAAAAGGATTGCTCACAAAGATATGTTGTAACAAATGGTATAAAAAAATCCAGGGCTTTCTTAGCAATAACTGGATACTTGTTCATTTGTCGACACCAAAACGTTGAGAGCGTTGTTGTTCTGAAGAGTTGCTGTTGAACCTGGCTCTGCTGAATTTCAATGATTTCGTCGAGGAATTCATCATTGACATCTGCTGTTTCAACAGCAAACGTGAACGGCTGTCTCACCCATGCTGGATATGACTCTCTTGTAGGGAAATATCCGTCGAGAGACTTTGCAAGCTCATCTAAGTGCGTGGCAATTGTTTGCTTCAGTTCCGTGGATACAGAAATATCTCCGATTCCAGACACATCTTCGATCTTACTTGCACAGTCGTCCAGAAGCGGGAAGTTTGCGAAGTTATTGTTCTCTGTTCGTCGTTTCCATAACGGTAGCTTTTTTTGAAAAGCCTTCAGGTGTTCTTCCGCTTCCATGATATTGACTCCACCACCCTGCATCTGCTGATTGAGATGATTGAGAGCTGCGAATATATCAGCCATGTACGCTAAAATGAGAATGAACTCAGGATTTTTGAAGCAATCTGCATGGCAGTGTTGGTGCTCTTGCAAAAACAGGGCTAATTCCACACGCATGGCAAAAACACGATTCAGCACCTGTCCCCGGGATAACCACCGAATATTAGAATGGAGCAGAAGTACCTCAAATTCAGAGCCCATTTCTTTACACAGCTCACTGAAGATGCGGTGCCTCAGAGCACTTTTTCGCACATAGTTCACACATTCCACCACAGTTTTTAATACTTCTGCCATTTTTGGAGGTAAGGTTTTTGTTGCCAACGCATGCCTGTGCAGAATACAATGCGTCACAATGATGTGTGGTGCATCGGCCTTTACTAGCGCACCAAAACCAGACTTTCTTCCCAGCATGACTGGAGCTCCGTCCGTACAAACTGCAGAAACCATATCCCATGAAAGATTGTTGTCTCTGAAGAAGTCATCCACAAGCTTCTTCACATCGGCTGCCTTCGTTGTTGTTGTAAGAGGCTTACAAAATAAAAACTCTTCTTTTATCATGTCGTCTTTCACATAGCGTACAAAAACAGCAAGCTGGCTTAGATCAGAAAGTCTGTGGTTTCGTCGAGTTGAAGGCTGAATTTTGCCGGGCTTGAAATCAGATCCGCGACTACTTGAGCCAAGATGTCTTTACTCATGTCTTCTATTCTGTCACTGACGGTGTCATTTGAAAGGGGAATTTGGGATAATTTACCTTCGGCCGCTGTTCCGAGTATCAGATTCGCCATCTTTAATGCAGCTGGTTTCACAAGTGTTTCACCAATGGTGTGTGGCTTGCCCTGCTTTGCGATCAGGTAAGCAACTTCGTACGATGCTGTCAGGATCGGTTTGTTAACAGGTACAAATCCAAGAGCAGGCAGAGTGGCCCTTTCATCGAATCTGGCTCTCTTCACCCTGAATTCAGCAAGTGTTGTGTTCTTGTATTCCCCGTCTCCATGCAGCTTCAAGAAGTGTTCCTTTAGTTTTGCCGGTGCAAGACTAGAGTTGCTCAACTTGGCGTTGCAAATCATGCAGATAGGACGCTCACTCCCATCACGTTCCGTGATACATGAGAATCCATGTTGTACATATTCGTCTGACCACTTTCTTCTTTTGCCCGACATAGTTAGTATGGATAAAATATTAAAGAAATCACACGACGTACGACAACAACAGTCACACGTTGACTACTGAGTACGCACTAAATTCCCCGCAGCGCTGATTGGCCAAGCAGTGTAGCATGATCATCTGCAGCCAGTGATGGCCAAGCGGGCCGTGTGTGTCATCACAAATTTACACAATAATTCAAGTGTGTCCGGACCTCCGTGGCGGGGGCTCTGCCGAACCCCTGAGATCGACTCACCGAACCCCTGGGGTTCGATCGAACCCAGGTTAAGAACCACTGCACTACAACCACCACCATCACCACAACCACCTCCAACCACCACCACCACAACCACAACCACCACCATCACCAAAACCACCTACAATCACCTACAACCAACCACAATCACCTATAACCACCACCACAACCACCACCATCACCACAACCACCACAACCACCTACAACCAACCACAATCACCTACAACCACCCCCACCACCATAACCAACCACAATCCACTACAACCACAACCACCATCACCACAACCACCTACAACCACCATAACCACAACCACCACCATCACCACAACCACCTACAATCACCTACAACCAACCACAATCACCTAAAACCACCACCACAACCACCACCATCACCACAACCACCTACAACCAACCACAATCACCTACAACAACCACCATCACCACAACCAACCACAATCACTTACAACCACCACAACAACAACAAAATCAAGCACCACAAACCTTGAACCACCACCACAACAACAACCGCCTACAACCACCACCACCACAACAACAACCGCACGGTGCGGTTGAGCGGTGCGGGCGAGCCCCTCACCCCGGTGAGTGGCGCTGGTGAGTAGTCTCGCCCCAGGGCTCTCTGGGTGAAGTGGAAGGCGTTCCACACCTTGTTGCAGAAGTGTCGCCAGCTCAGGACAGTCGCCACGTCCACACTCACCTCGTCGCCTGCCGGGGTGAGGAGCGCGGGAAGCCGTGGTGAGGAGGGAGGGAGACGCCGGGGTGAGGAGGGAGGGAGACGCCGGGGTGAGGAGGGGAGGGAGACGCCGGGGTGAGGAGGGAGGGAGACGCCGGGGTGAGGAGGGAGGGAGACGCCGTGGTGAGGAGGGAGACGCCGGGGTGAGGAGAGAGACGCTGTGGTGAGGAGCGCGGGAAGCCGTGGTGAGGAGGGAGACGCCGTGGTGAGGAGGGAGACGCCGTGGTGAGGAGGGAGACGCCGTGGTGAGGGGAGAGAGACGCCGAGGTGAGGAGGGAGAGAGACGCCGTGGTGAGGGGAGAGAGACGCCGGGGTGAGGAGAGAGACGCCGGGGTGAGGAGAGAGACGCCGTGGTGAGGAGGGAGGGAGACGCCGGGGTGAGGAGGGAGAGAGACGCCGGGGTGAGGAGGGAGAGAGACGCCGGGGTGAGGAGGGAGGGAGACGCCGGGGTGAGGAGGGAGAGAGACGCCGTGGTGAGGAGGGAGGGAGACGCCGGGGTGAGGAGGGAGAGAGACGCCGGGGTGAGGAGGGAGGGAGACGCCGGGGTGAGGAGGGAGGGAGACGCCGGGGTGAGGAGGGAGAGAGACGCCGTGGTGAGGAGGGAGAGACGCCGGGGTGAGGAGGGAGATGCCTTGGTGAGGAGAGAGAGAGACGCCGGGGTGAGGAGAGAGACGCCGGGGTGAGGAGAGAGAGAGACGCCGGGGTGAGGAGAGAGACGCAGTGGTGAGGAGGGAGACGCCGGGGTGAGGAGAGAGACGCCGGGGTGAGGAGGGAGAGAGACGCCGGGGTGAGGAGAGAGACGCAGTGGTGAGGAGGGAGACGTCGTGGTGAGGAGAGAGAGAGACGCCATGGTGAGGAGGGAGAGAGACGTCGTGGTGAGGGGAGAGAGAGAGGCCATGGTGAGGGGAGAGAGAGACGCAGTGGTGAGGAGAGAGACACCGGGGTGAGGAGAGAGAGAGACACCGGGGTGAGGAGAGAGACGCAGTGGTGACGAGAGAGAGGCCGTGGTGAGGAGAGAGACGCCGTGGTGAGGAGGGAGGGAGACGCCGGGGTGAGGGGAGAGAGAGACGCCGGGGTGAGGAGGGAGAGAGACGCCGTGGTGAGGAGGGAGACGTCGTGGTGAGGAGAGAGAGATGCAGTGGTGAGGAGAGAGAGAGAGACGCAGTGGTGAGGAGGGAGACGCAGTGGTAACAGTGGTAAGGAGCAAGTACTCTGTGTGAATTCTCTGAGTACTCTGTGAGTATTCACAGAATACTCTGTGTGTGTTGCATACCGGTGGTACGGATTGAGTAGAGTGTGTAGAGTATTCTCTGTGAGTATTCACAGAGTGAGTACTGTGTACTCACTGAGTACTCTGTGTGCGTTGCGAACCGGTGGTACGGAGTGAGTACTCTGTGTGAGTACTCTCTAAGTACTGTGTGAGTACTCTCTGTGTGTGTTGAGTACCGGTGGTACGGAGTGAGTAGAGTGCCAGGCGCAGTCCGTCTGCTCCACTCTCTGGGATCCCGGACGGAAACTCCTTCCTCTGTGTGGTGAGGGTGGTGGTGAGGGTGAGGGTCATGGTGGTGAGGGTGGTGAGGGTGGTGAGGGTGGTGGTGAGGGTGGTGGTGGTGAGGGTGGTGAGGGTGAGGGTGAGGGTCGTGGTGAGGGTGAGGGTCGTGGTGAGGGTGAGGGTTGTGGTGGTGAGGGTCGTGGTGAGGGTTGTGGTGGTGAGGGTGGTGGTGAGGGTTGTGGTGAGGGTCGTGGTGAGGGTCGTGGTGAGGGTTGTGGTGGTGAGGGTGGTGGTGAGGGTTGTGGTGAGGGTCGTGGTGAGGGTTGTGGTGAGGGTGGTGGTGAAGGTTGTGGTGAGGGTGGTGGTGGTGAGGGTCGTGGTGAGGGTCGTGGTGAGGGTCGTGGTAAGGGTCGTGGTGAGGGTGGCAGTGAGGGTGGTGGTGAGGGTCGTAGTGAGGGTGGTGGTGAGGGTGGTGGTGAGGGTGGTGGTGAGGGTTGTGGTGAGGGTTGTGGTGAGGGTGGTGGTGGTGAGGGTGGTGGTGAGGGTGGTGGTGAGGGTTGTGGTGAAGGTCGTGGTGAGGGTGGTGGTGAGGGTGGTGGTGAGGGTGGTGGTGAGGGTTGTGGTGAAGGTCGTGGTGAGGGTGGTGGTGAGGGTTGTGGTGAAGGTCGTGGTGAGGGTGGTGGTGAGGGTGGTGGTGAGGGTGGTGGTGAGGGTTGTGGTGAGGGTGGTTGTGGTGAGGGTTGTTGTGGTTTCCCTCATCCTGGTGATACCGATTGTTGTTGCGAGTTGTTGTTGTGGTTGTTGTTGGTTGTTGATGGTGTTGTTGGTTGTTCGTGTTGTGTGTTGGTTGTTATTGTTGTTGTTGTTGCTGGTTGTTGTTGTTGCTGGTTGTTGTTGTTGCTGGTGGTGGTTGTTGGTGGTTGTTGTTTGTGGTTGTTGTTTGTGGTTGTTGGTGTTATTCGTGTTGTGTGTTGGCTGTTATTGTTGTGTGTTGGTTGTTATTGTTGCGTATTGTTGTTGTTGTTGCTGGTTGTTGTTGTTGCTGGTTGTTGTTGTTGTTGTTGTTGCTGGTGGTGGTTGTTGGTGGTTGTTGTTTGTGGTTGTTGTTTGTGGTTGTTGGTGTTGTTGGTTGTTCGTGTTGTGTATTGGCTGTTATTGTTGTTGTTGGTTATTGTTGTTGCTGGTTGTTGTTGTTGTTGGTTGTTGTTGTTGTTGTTGTTATTGTTGTTGTTGTTATTGTTGTTGTTGGTTGTTGATGTTGTTGCCTCACCTGCCCCTCCTCCGCTGTTTTCAACTCCCTGGGGTCTAAGTTTCCCGCACGGAGTTTCCTCTGCAGGTCCTGGGGAGCGAGAAATACTCATCATCACCAACATCATCATTGTCAACATCAACATCATCACCAACATCATTGTCAACATCACCAACATCATCATTGTCAACATCAACATCATCAACATCATCATCATCATCACCAACATCACTATCATCATCACCAACATCATCACCAACATCATCATTGTCAACATCACCAACATCAACATCATCACCAACATCATCATTGTCAACATCACCAACATCAACATCATCACCAACATCATTGTCAACATCACCATCATCACCACCACCATCATCATTGTCAACATCACCATCATCACCATCATCACCATCATCATCACCACCATCATCATCACCACCATCACCAACATCATTGCCATCATTATCAGCAACATCACCAACATCACCATCATCACCAACATCAACATCAACATTGTCAACATCAACATCATCAACATCATCACCATCATCATCACCAACAACATCACCATCATCGGCAACATCACCAACATCACCATCATCACCATCATCACCAACATTATCATTGTTGTGGCGTGGTGGTGGTGGTGGCAGCGTGGTGGTGGTGGTAGCGTGGTGGTGGTGGTAGCGTGGTGGTGTGGTGGTGGTGGTGGCGTGGTGGTGGTAGCGTGGTGGTGGTGGCGACGTGATGGTGGTGGTGGCGTGGTGGCGGTGGCATTGTGGTGTTGTGGTGGTGGCGTGGTGGTAGTGTGGTGGTGGTGGTGCGGTGGTTATGGTGCTGGTTGGCGTGGTGGTGGTGGTGTGGTGATGGTGGTGGCGTGGTGGTGGTGGCGTTGTGGTGGCGTGGTGGTGGTAGCGTGGTGGTGGTGGTAGCGTGGTGGTGGTGGCGTTGTGGTGGCGTGATGGTGGTAGCGTGGTGGTGGTGGTAGCGTGGTGGTGGTGGTGGTAGCGTGGTGGTGGCATGGTGGTGGTGTGGTGGTGGTGGCGTTGTGGTGGCGTGGTGGTGGCGGTGGCGGTGGTGGTGGTGGTGGCGTTGTGGCGGCGTGGCGGTGGCGGCGGTGGTTACGGGTAGAGACGCTCCGTTGATGACGTCCATGGGATCGATGACGTTGCCCAGGGATTTGCTCATCTTCCTCCCGCGGGCGTCGCGCACCATGGCGTGGAAATACATCTACAGAGACAAAGGTGCCCCCCCAGGTAGCCTTCACGGACTGTCGGGGCAAGTGCAGGGAGACTGGGTGAGTGGCCTGGTGAAGAAGCAGAGCAGCGTGGCTACCTGCGGGAAGGGCAGCTGTCCCGTGAGCTGTTGCCCCAGCATGGCCATCCGGGCGGCCCAAAAGAAGAGGAGGTCCTGGCCGGTCTCCAGCAGCGAGTTGGGGTAGAAGCTCGCCACGTCAGGCGTCTACGCAACAACAACAACAACGATGGCAACAACAACGACGATGACGACAACAACGATGACGACGACAACGACGACGACGACAACGATGGCGACAACAACAACGATGACGACAACAACGATGACGACAACAACAACAACAACGATGACGACAACAACGATGACGACAACAACGATGACGACAACAACGATGACGACAACAACAACGATGACGACAACAACGATGACGACAACAACGATGACGACAACAACAACAACGATGACGACAACAACGATGACGACAACAACGATGACGACAACAACGATGACGACAACAACAACGATGACGACAACAACGATGACGACAACAACGATGACGACAACAACAACAACAACGATGGCAACAACAACGACGATGACGACAACAACGATGACGACAACAACGATGACGACAACAACGACGACGACGACAACAACAACGACGACAACAACAACGTTACGGTGCCAAAGAAGTTCAACACATATACACTACAATACATGCTACACTGTATACTACACTACACTATACACTATTTACTACTATACACTACACTATACACTATTTACTACTATACACTACACTATACACTATTTACTACTATACACTATTTACTACTATATACTACACTATACACTATTTACTACTATACACTACACTATACACTACACTGCACACTAATATACACTACACACATATACTACTATACACTATATACTACTATACACTACACTATACACTACCACACACTACTATACACTACTATACACTATATACTACACACTACTATACACCATATACTACACACTACTATACACTATATACTATACACATACACTAGACTATACACTACACACGACACACATACACTACACACTACTATACACTATATACTACACCATACACTACACACTACAATACACACTGCACTACTACATACTACACACTACACTACTATACACTATATACTACACTATACACTACTCACTACTATACACTATACACTGCTATACACACATACACTACACACTATATACTACACACATACACTACACACTACTATACACTATATACTACACCATACACTACACACTACAATAAACACTGCACTACTACATACTACACACTACACTACTATACACGATAATATACACTACAGACTACACTATACACTACACTACTATCCACTACAATACATGCGCACGCACACACACATGCATGCACACGCACGCGCACACACGCACACACGCACACACACGCACACACGCACACACACGCACACACGCACACACGCACGCACACACATGCACACACACACAACAACAACAACAACAACCGCCATTCGCCACTAAGTGGCGGTGACGTCACCACGACGCTTGTGCCAGGCTATGTGCACCCTGAAGCCACGTGAAGTGTCGAACGCCCGCTGGCAGGAGGTCACGGGGCAGACCCAGCAGGTGCCACGGGTCGACTGACTGAGATGACTGGCTGATGCACCACCTGTGCCCCCTACTGTGCCAACCTGCTGTGCTTTAGCCACCCGGCGCTCCGCTCGCTGTTGTGAGCGTCGCTCCTCCGCCCTCCGTTGTTGTTGGAGGGCGACTGCCTCCAACTGCCCAGTAGCATCCTTCACGAGCCTCCTCCACAGAGGCCGATCTTGACACCGCTGGTACCAGTCATCGGCAAGTCCACTCAGCTCCACGTCCTCCTGTACCACATCACTCCATCTCTTCTCTAGCCCGTGCCGCGCCCGCTTAGCCCCCTCAATCCGGCCAAACAAAAGCTGTTTCGGCATGCGGTGGCTGGGCATGCGGGCAACATGACCCAGCCATCGCAGCCTTGCCTGCCGGAGGAGCTCACCGATGGGACCCTGCCCAGATCTTTCAAGGATTTGTGAGCTCCTCACACAATCCAGTCTGGTTAAACCCAGGATGGATCGTAGGCAGGCCAGCCTAAATGTTTCTAACCGGCGAAGATGTTCCATTAGGGGGGTCCACGTTTCGCAAGCGTAGAGAAGGGAGGGAATGACCGTGGCCGAGAAGACCTGAAGCTTAGTGCGGAGCGACAGACCAGGTAGCTTCCACACAGCGTTACGCAACCGATGAAAAGATATTGCCGCTCGACTGATTCGGAGTGAGACCTCTGCTGTTAAACTGGAGCCAGTCATAAGCACACTGCCCAGGTATGGGAAACTCTCCACTCTCTCCACAACTGCCCCATCACCGATTGGGAGTTGTGGGGGTGGAGTGTCCGATGGTACAAAATACCCAGGCAGGTGCTTAGTTTTGGTGGGGCTGATGGTAAGGCCCCACCTCTTAGTGGCACGCTCCAGTCTCAGCAGCAGCGTCTCCAACTCCTCCTCTGACTGAGCAGCTATTACCAAGTCATCAGCATACATAACGTGGTTGAGCAATAGTGAGCCATCCCTTGACCGCACCCGGGCATCGATTAGCCTCCCATTATATCTGTACCATATGGAGATTCCCCCGGTACAGCTATTGAAGGCTTCACGAACTACGTGGTCAAAATAGATGTTAAATAATGTGGGAGCCAGAGGACATCCCTGTCGCACCCCAAGGTGTACAGGGAATGGCTCTGACTCGCGGCCACGTAGTTTTACCCGGGCCCGCTCACCATCATGAAGGTCCTTAATGATCGTGAGCAGAGGGTCAGGTACTCCAAAAGCACGAAGAACGACCCAGAGCCCAGGCCTACTGATGGTATCATAGGCCTTGACCAGGTCAATAAAGCAGAGATGTAGGTCTTGTTGGAATTCCCTACACCTCTGCTGTAGCAGACGGACAGAAAATATGGCATCTGTGCAAGACCGCCCTTTCCTGAAACCGCATTGGGGCTCCGCAAGCCTCTCCTCAGCGTGCCTGGCAAGGCGATGCTGAATAATCCTTGCCAGGACCTTTCCCGGCACACTGAGGAGTGAGATGCCCCTGTAGTTGTTACAGTCTGTGCGGTCCCCCTTCTTAAAAAGGGGGACCACCAGGGCATCCTTCCAATCCTGCGGAACCCGTCCAGTGGTCCAGACTGTTGTTATGATGTCATATAGGGCAGTCTGTGCACAAACGCCACCCTCCCTCAGCATTTCGCTTGGGAGATCATCTCTGCCCGCTGCCTTTCCTGGTCTCAGACTCCGGATCGCCTTCAATACTTCCTCAGCAGATGGCATCTCAGCCAGCCACTCACAGGGGGTGACTTCATCCAATATTTGAGGCACCGCAGCCTCAGCAGGGTCATCCTCACTTTGTGCCACGATGTTTTCCTGGCTGAGGGATTTTCCCTCCCCCAGGACCTCACAGTAATGCTCAGCAAATCTGCGAACCTGTTCCTGGGGGTCGGAAATTGGATCACCGTTTTTTCCCCTAATGATGGTAATAGGTGTGGCGCTGCAGGTTACTTTTTTGATGGAGTTAAATAGAGATTTGTGATCACGGGCCACTGAGGCAGACTCCATCTCCTCAGCAACCCGCGACCACCACCCATCCTTGCAGCGCCTCACGGCTCTCCGAACCTCCGAGCGAAGGCTGCGGTAAGCCTCCTCATTCTCTGACGTGGGATTCTGTAGCCGATGACAGTGGGCCTGTCGCTTTTTCTCAACCATCGTGAACAACTCCTCTGTCATCCAGGGTGTCTGGGGAGGTCTGGACCGCGTACCCAAAGCAGCCATTGCAGCTGCATGAGTCACAGTCCTAAACCTCGCCCGTTTACCCTCGACATCAGGAGGAGTCGGGGACGATGCCAATCCCAGCCGCAAGCGATGATGAAATTCTCGCTTGCAACTTTCATCAGATAACTGAGACCAGGCCACTTTAGGTTGGAATGGGGTCCTGGGTGTACACCCACCACCGGAGTGGAAGAATGGCAGGCGCATCTTACAGATGACTAGTCGATGGTCAGAGGGCAGATCAGCTCCACGGTAGGTCCTGGTGTCAAGGACATGGGCTCGCATTCGCTGGTCCGTCACTATGTAGTCCAGCAGATGTTCTTGCTTGGACCCGGCATGCATCCATGATGTTGTGTGGATGCGCCGATGCCGGAACAGCGTGTTGGTAATTACAAGCCCATGGGCTGCACAAAAATCTAGCAGCCTCCTACCGTTGTTATTGAGCTGATCTGGCCCATGCCCTCCAATCACTCCAGACCAGGTGCCAGTATCATGACCAACTCGGGCATTGAAGTCACCCAACATGATGACTCTATCCCGAGGGGCCACTTTAGCCAGCACCTGTGACAGGAGGTCATAGAAGGCATCTGACTCATCGGCTTTACCTGCATCCCTCCACGGATGTTCATCTTCGGTGGGGGCATAAGTAACCACGACCACCATTCCTCGCCTCCGGTTGATGGGAAGGCGAGCCCAAAGTAGCCTGGGGCTTACAGCTTCCCACACCTCACCGCCACGCTCCCACGCCCCCTTCATTCTTTTGTTCAAAAGAAGACCCACACCCTGTTGTTTGGCAGTCTGCTGCCCCGAGTAGAGGACTGTCCACCCCTCATGGTGGCAGGAGCCAGAGCCGGTCCACCGGACCTCCTGAATGCCGCATAGATCCAGGCGGTACCGGTCCAGCTCCCGACAGAGGAGTGGCAGCCTCTCCTCTGCAGTGAGCGTTCGAACATTCCACGTGGCCAACCGTAGTGGCTTTTCGTTGTTTCTGGAGTAGCCCCGAGGGTAGGTATTCAATCTCCTGGCTCCGCCAATTGGGGTTTGGCCAGGAGACGTCATAGACGCCTGGCCCCCCGGGGCCTCCGGCACAAGCTTAGTTGTTACATATTTCAGTTTAATTCGTAGTTTCGTGGTAATTAATTGAAGGTGGAGGGGTTACCAGCCCCTCGCACCCGTCCAGAGCCCCCGTTTAGCCCCTGTGGTGGACACATATGCCATGAGGGGAGGAGCCAATCAAAATTGGATCTCCCCCCACAGCGCTGTCCACGACAGAGTTGCCCGTCCGGCACCGCGAGGAGGTAGGGGGTTGTTTTGCCACACACACACGCACACACACACACGCGCATGCACACACGCGCACGCAAACACACGCACGCAAACACACGCACACACGCACACACACCCACCCACCTGGTCCGGCCAGCCCAGCACAGCGAAAGGCAGCAGAGCCGAAGAGAACCACGTGTCCAGCACGTCCTCGTCTGCACAAAGACAAAGGTGACCCCCAGCGTGTGTAGCCTTTGGCGGGCTGTAGGGGCAAGTGCTGTTAGTAGCGAGCAGCAGCAGCAGCAGCAGCACCGGCGAAGGCCGGCAGGGTGGCACACGAGGGGGTGGGTTCAGCAGCACCACGCCCGTCCGCCTTTGTATCCCCAGCGGTCAAAGATCAAAGATCCCCCATATAGACTTAACAGACTGTAGGGGCAAGTGCTGTTAGCGAGCACCTATGAAGGCCGGAACCGCACATGAGGGGGGTGGGTGGCCAGCACCACGCCCGACCACCTTTGTCTCCCTAGTGGCGATGTTTACACACCGCACCAGGTACTCATTTGAGGCTGAGTATACCTAGGGGAGGCCCGGGACCGGTTCAGATAATCGTCACTGGGTGTTGGCCGTGAGCAGGAATCGAACCCGGGTCGCCGGGTTCATAGCGCAGCGTAGCGCTAACCACTACACTATCGCTCCCCACACACACACACACACTCTCACACACACACACCTACACACACCTACACATACAATGGACAAAGTGGCGTAGTGTATAGTGTAGTGAATAGTGTAGTGTATAGCGTAGTATATAGTAGTGTATAGTGTAGTGCATAGTGTAGTGTATAGCGTAGTATATAGTGTAGTGTATAGTAGTGTAGTGTATAGTAGTGTAGTGTATAGTAGTGTAGTGTATAGCGTAGTATATAGTAGTGTATAGTGTAGTGCATAGTGTAGTGTATAGCGTAGTATATAGTAGTGTAGTGTATAGTATGTAGTCTATAGTAGTGTAGTGTATAGTAGTGTAGTGTATAGTGTAGTGTATAGTAGTGTAGTGTATAGTAGTGTATAGTGGAGTAAAGTATATAGCGCAGTGTGTAGTGTATAGTCTTGTATGGTGTAGTGCATAGTAGTGTATAGCGGAGTGTATAGTCGCGTGTAGTATAGTATGTAGTGTATAGCGTAGCGTAGTGTATAGCGTAGTATATAGTAGTTTATAGCGGATCTTATAGTCGCGTGTAGTGTAGTATGTAGCGTATAGCGTAGCGCAGTGTATAGCGTAGTATATAGTAGTTTATAGTGGATCGTATAGTCGCGTGTAGTATAGTATGTAGCGTATAGCGTAGCGCATAGTGCAGTGTATAGTGTAGTGTATAGCGTAGTATATAGTTTATAGTGGAGTGTATAGTCGCGTGTAGTATAGTATGTAGCGTATAGCGTAGCGTAGTGTATAGCGTAGTGTATAGTAGTTTATAGCGGAGTGTATAGTCGCGTGTAGTATAGTATGTAGTGTATAGCGTAGTGTATAGCGTAGTATATAGTAGTTTATAGTGGATCGTATAGTCGCGTGTAGTATAGTATGTAGCGTATAGCGTAGCGCATAGTGCAGTGTATAGTGTAGTGTATAGCGTAGTATATAGTTTATAGCGGAGTGTATAGTCGCGTGTAGTATAGTATGTAGCGTATAGCGTAGCGTAGTGTATAGCGTAGTGTATAGTAGTTTATAGCGGAGTGTATAGTCGCGTGTAGTATAGTATGTAGTGTATAGCGTAGCGTAGTGTATAGTGTAGTATATAGTAGTTTATAGTGGATCGTATAGTCGCGTGTAGTATAGTATGTAGCGTATAGTGTAGCGCATAGTGCAGTGTATAGTGTAGTGTATAGCGTAGTATATAGTTTATAGCGGAGTGTATAGTCGCGTGTAGTATAGTATGTAGCGTATAGCGTAGCGTAGTGTATAGCGTAGTGTATAGTAGTTTATAGCCGAGTGTATAGTCGCGTGTAGTATAGTATGTAGTGTATAGTGTAGCGTAGTGTATAGCGTAGTATATAGTAGTTTATAGCGGAGTGTATAGTCGCGTGTAGTATAGTATGTAGTGTATAGTGTAGCGTAGTGTATAGCGTAGTATATAGTAGTTTATAGCGGAGTGTATAGTCGCGTGTAGTATAGTATGTAGTGTATAGTGTAGCGTAGTGTATAGCGTAGCGTAGTGTATAGCGTAGTGTATAGCGTAGTATATAGCGTAGTGTATAGTGTAGTGTATAGTCGCGTGTAGTATAGTATGTAGCGTATAGCGTAGCGTAGTGTATAGCATAGTATATAGTAGTTTATAGCGGAGTGTATAGTCACGTGCAGTATAGTATGTAGTGTATAGCGTAGCGTAGTGTATAGCGTAGTGTATAGCGTAGTATATAGTAGTTTATAGCGGAGTGTATAGTCGCGTGTAGTATAGTATGTAGTGTATAGTGTAGTGTAGTGTATAGCGTAGTGTATAGTAGTTTATAGCGGAGTGTATAGTCGCGTGTAGTATAGTATGTAGTGTATAGTGTAGTGTATAGCGTAGTATATAGTGTAGTGTATAGTGTATAGCGTAGTATATAGTGTAGTGTATAGTGTAGTATATAGTGTAGTGTATAGTGTAGTGTATAGTGTAGTGTATAGTGTAGTGTATAGTGTAGCGTAGTGTATAGCGTAGTGTATAGCGTAGTGTATAGTGTAGCGTAGTGTATAGTGTAGTAAGTGTGCGTGCATCCTGAACTTCTTTCGCGCCGTACGTAGCCAACCACGCTAATCCGCGGTGCGCGGGTTGTTTGGGGGGAGGGGTGGAGGCACAGCCCCCCCCCCCCCCGCCAGCCCCCCCCCCCTCCCCAGCCCCCCCTCCCCAGCCCCCCCTCCCCAGCCCCCCCTAATTCGCCGGCTGTGTGTGGCATCGTGAAGTTGCTGCTGTACCCTGCTGCAGAGTGAAGGAGTCTGGCTGCAGCCCCAGCTGGGACTGTGCCTTCAGCTTGGCCTCCGACTCGTCGCGAGCGCACACCCACAGCTCCTCCTGCGGCACACAAGCAGCACAGCAGCAGCAGCAACAGCAGCAGCACAGCAGCAGCACAGCACAGCAGCAGCATAGCAGCAGCAACAGCAGCAGCACAGCAGCAGCAGCACAGCAGCAGCAGCAGCAACAGCAGCAGCACAGCAGCAGCAACAGCAGCAGCACAGCAGCAGCACAGCAGCAGCAGCACAGCAGCAACACAGCAGCAGCACAGCAGCAGCACAGCAGCAACAGCAGCACAGCGGCGGCAGCATAGCAGCACAGCAGCAGCAGCACAGCAGCAACACAGCAGCAGCACAGCAGCACAGCAGCAGCAGCACAGCAGCAGCAGCACAGCAGCAGCACAGCAGCAACAGCAGCAGCACAGCAACAGCAGCAGCACAGCAACAGCAGCACAGCAGCAACAGCAGCAGCACAGCAACAGCAGCACAGCAGCAACAGCAGCAGCACAGCAACAGCAGCAGCATAGCAGCAGCAGCAGCAGCAGCACAGCAGCAGCAGCAACAGCAGCAGCACAGCAGCAGCACAGCAGCATAGCAGCAGCACAGCAGCAGCATAGCAGCAGCATAGCAGCAGCAGAATAGCAGCAGCACAGCAGCAGCATAGCAGCAGCACAGCAGCAGCACAGTAGCAGCAGCAGCATAGCAGCAGCGCAGCAGCAGCATAGCAGCAGCATAGCAGCAACAGCAGCAGCACAGCAGCAGCACAGCAGCAACAGCAGCAGGACAGCAGCAGCACAGCAACAGCAGCAGCACAGCAACAGCAGCAGCACAGCAGCAGCACAGCAGCAGCACAGCAACAGCAGCACAGCAGCAGCACAGCAACAGCAGCAGCACAGCAACACAGCAGCATAGCAGCAGCATAGCAGCAGCAGCAGAACAGCAGCAGCACAGCAACAGTGGCACAGCAGCAGCACAGCAGCACAGCAGCACAGCAGCAGCACAGCAACAGCATAGCAGCAGCATAGCAGCACAGCAGCACAGCAGCAGCACAGCAGCAGCACAGCAGCACAGCGGCAGCAGCAACAGCACAGCAGCAGCATAGCAGCAGCAGCACAGCAGCAGCACAGCAGCAGCACAGCATCACAGCAGCACAGCAGCAACACAGCAGCAGCACAGCAGCAGCACAGCAGCATAGCAGCAGCAGCACAGCAGCAACACAGCAGCATAGCAGCACAGCAGCAGCACAGCAGCATAGCAGCAGCATAGCAGCACAGCAACAGCAGCACAGCAACAGCATAGCAGCAGCATAGCAGCACAGCAACAGCAGCACAGCAGCAGCACAGCAGCAGCAGCAGCACATACACAAGCATCAAACACAAACACCGCATACGTACACATCACGTACACTGCTACCTCGGAGATACAACTTAATTCGTTCCGAAACCGAATTGTTCGAACACCGAATCAATTTTCCCCATAAGCACGAATGGAAATCGCATCAATCGGTTCCCCACCCAAGGATCCTCCTGTTACGGGCCATTTTTAAACACAAAGTTCACAATATTAAAATACAGTACATGAAAGCATGCAAAAAAAACACACAGTTATAATGAGTAGAATATAAATGAACATTGGACTTCACACTTTACCCGCAGTAAGGAGAGTGGGTGTCTTGAGTGGAAGGTGGTGAGGAGGGGAGGAGGGGGAGTCCCCCTCCATAAACACGTTGGCTGATTGCCCTTCAGGGGGTTCTTGCCTCTATTTTGCCTTTTGTCGAGCACTAACAGTGATTATTCACTTGAGGGCCCTATTTACTAAAAGCCAATCAAGAGAGGATTTTTTATTTAAAGCTTTCCTTTACTGCAGTGATTCATATTCTTGGTTCTTTCGGTAAAGTAATAGGTTTAACCCTTTTAACTGGCACAAAAAAAACTGACACCTTTATTCAAGGCATCGTGTCTGCAATAGCCGCAACACAAGCAGTCAAAATGCAAACAAAAAGAGACAACTCTGATAATAATATTGGCACCGTCCTTGAATTTGATTGGTCCACACCCGAGACGGCTTTATTTAGAGCCCAGTCTCCACTGGTGTTGGACCCAGAAGACGTGTCAATTTTTTTGTGCCAGTTAAAAGGGTTAAACCTATTGCTATACCTTGTTACTGGCAAAGGAGGTCTCATAATCTTCTTTGGTTCTTTCGGTAAAGTCACGTAGAATGAGAATAAAATAATAAATTGATAAAATAAAATAACACAATAATATTATTATTATTTTATGTGAGAATATTATTGTGTTTTTTTTTATTTTATTTTATCAATTTATTATTTTATTCTCATTCTACGTGGTGACTTTACCGAAAGAACCAAAGAAGATGAATCCTTGCAGTCACGAAAGCTTTAAATCGAGGTCTCATAACGTAAATCTTTCGGTAAAGTCACGTTGAAGGGAAACAATAAAATAACAAAAATATATCTAAAACAATAACATTATCGCGACGTTTCGACTGCAACACAAGCAATCATCATCAGGTGTGAAAACCACACCTGATGATGATTGTTTTATATATCTTTTATTATTTTATTGTTTCCCTTCAACGTGACTTTACCGAAAGAACCAAGAATACAAGAGAGGATTGCTTCTGCCTCCGTTTGAAGATGCTTCCGAAATGACTCAATGGCATTATCATCATCATCATCGTAAAAATCGCCTGCCACTAGCTGGCTCCCTCCCGCCTTATCTGGATGATATTTTTCTACAAAAATTGTGGACCTCAGCCCATTTTGCCACCGTTG